CGCAGCACGCGCCGCCCGACCTCGACCTGCGCGTCCCGCGTCGCCATCGCGTCGCGGTGCTCGCCCTCCATCCGGGTGACCACGCCCTCCAGCTCCGCCACGTCCCGCACGTACCCCGCCACCGCGCCCTTGAGCCGCTCGATGCTGACCTCGAGCTCGGCGACGCGGCCCCCGCGCTCGTCGAGCGCCGCTCTCGCGCGCCGCAGTTCGCCGTTGAGGTCGTCCATCGCAGCCACCCGCGCGCCCAGCTGCTGCCGCAGCGAGAGCTCGAGCTCGTGGTACTCGTCGATCGAGGCCTCGTCCTCGCGCGCGCGTTTCGCCAGGTCCCGCAGCCGCGTCAGCAGCAGGTCGAGGACCTCGCCGCCGTGCGACGACAGCGGCAGGGTGATCTCGCCGGGAGTCAGGTACTCGAGTTCCAGCCGGGCGGTGCGCAAGGCGGCTGAGAGCGAGGAGATGACCTCGGACGCGTCGGCGCCGGGGAAGCCCAGACCGCAGAGCGACGCGTCGATTTCCTGCAGCGCAGCGGCGCGGTCCGAGGCGGCGCGGAGGAGAGCGGCGATCTGCGACTCCATCGTCGCCAGCGGGTCCGGCGAGCTCTCGAGCGGCGCAACCGTGGACAGCTGTCCGGATAGGCGGTCGGCGAGGGACGAGTAAGACGCGAGGGTGCCCGTGAGCTTGGACATTTCCATCCGCAGCGACGCCACCTCTTCCTCCAGCCGTTCCTTGTCGGGGTCGGGGAAGCAGGCCTGCACGCCGACGTCGGCCAGCGGGCGCACCTCGCTCGTCCTCCTCGTCCTCTTGCGCGAGGACGGTGTCGCTGCTGCAGGGCCGGAGGCGGCGACGGGACTCGTGAGCGGCGGCGTCAGGAACGACGAGCGCACGCGCGAAGGCGTGCTGCAGACCATGTCGGCCATGGTCGCGTCCCCAAAGGCCGTGTCGTCAGCGAACTGCACGCGCCCGCCGCCGCACACGGACTCGGCCTCGACCGTGTCCGTCTCCATGAAGAAGTCGTCGGCGAAGGGGTCCCGCGCCGCGAGAGTCCAGTCGAAGCAGCTCCGGTCCCGTGCGGTGGCGCCGGCAGCGGCGGACCGCTCCGACAGCGCGGCGCGGAGCGTGTCGACCTCGCGCTCGAGAGCCCAGATGCGCTCGGAGTCGAGGATGATGGTGGCGTTCTGCAGCTCGTAGATCTCGGCGTCCTTCTGCCGCAGCTCGTGGCGCAGCCGTTCGACCTCGGCCTGCGCCGCCTTGGCGCCTTGGCGCTTCTCGGCCGCGATGGCGTTCATCTCCTCGCTGAGCCCGTTGCGGCGGATGCGTCGCTGGACGCGGCCCGAGAGTACCTGGCGGAGGGGGAGGAAGTGTACCTCGCCGCTGGTGGGCAGGTCGGTCGTCGTTGCGGCCGTGCGACCGCCGCCGCTTCCTGGGGGGGTACTGCTGCTGCCGGCGGGTGTAGAATGGCGGCGGCGGCGGGAGGTGGACGGCGTGTTCCGGCCGAGGAGCGTGCGGTTCATCATCGGCGTCAGGCCGGTGGTAGATGAGTGACGAGTCGTCGTGCGCGGTGTCGAGACAGACGGCCCCGGGTCTGAGAAGCGAACTTTGCGCTTTGCTGTTGTCTTGCGCGGGGTCTGGGATGTCGAGGGTTGTGATGCTGGGGCTGACGAAGCTGCGGGATTCGCCCCGGGTAAGCTTCGACGCGTGCGCCGTAGCGCAATAGGCAAGTCGTCGTCGGTCATGGTGAGACGGCTGGATGCCTCGAATCAACAGTAGGTTGACTATCCTGACAAGAACAGAGGAAGATGTCAAGCTGAGAAAGTATCTGAGAGTGGTGGCGGGCGGAAGTAGGATGGATATATGCCCTGCTGTATCTGTTGAGAGTAAACACTGATCGATGACAACGACGACGTAAACAGATTCAACGGCTCCCTTGGCTGGGCATGTGTTCCATCCGTCAATGCAAGTAATGTTTGCTTAACCCACGCTTCTCTCTCACCCACTATGTCTATCTCGCGGTATGTGTCCCCCCTCCCCCTCCCCCCTCTTGTACCCCAGGTTGTTGATAAAGGCTATTGTTTACACATTTCCTATCTCGCTCTAGCTCTGCCATCCTCCCCCCCTGCCGGGACTCCGTTTCGGCTCCGCCCGCGCTGGGATCCGTCGACGCGCGTCGACCAATCGTTTCTGTCGCCGGCGCGGTCGTTCTAAACAAACCTCGACCGGGTCCGTGGCCGGTTCTAGCGTGTTTTTGCTGTCCACAGCCGTGTCACCGTGGATGAGCTATCCGTACTGCCTTCGGAAGCATACGGATACAGTATGGCAGTCTGCAGGGATGGACACGCCTCGTCGCGGTCCGAGGCACCCTTGACTTGGAGATGGAGAGGTCGCGATTCTGGACGCGCTCATTGGCCGCGCAGACTGATACAGCGCCCCCCCGAGGTTTTGCGTGTTTCTATCCGTACTTCGTCCATAGCAACCGCCTTCAAGGGTGTTTGGTCAAGGCCTGACAACATTGGAGTCTTGTCTGTGCTGCTGTCATGGACATTCGTGAATCCTACGCTCCCTTGCTTAAAGATGCCCACCTAGCCTCGAGAAACACATTGTTGTTTTCTCGAGTCTTATCCCAGCCGGAATACAAGATCCTATGTACATTCCCAGCCCCCCTGTCGACGCCATCGCCGTTGACCATTGGATGACACGCTGCATCTCGGCCCGCCTCTGCACCTCTGAATCCCTGTCCCTCTCGCTTTTGCGAGTCCCGCCCCTCCACCGCACATCCCACACCTCACACCGCCAAATATTCCCGGTTGGGAATAATAATCCCTCATTCCAGCCAGTCCTCCAACAATCAAATGGTCTGGTGGTGTAGTTGGTTATCACGTCAGTCTAACAGCTCGAGGACATCTCACGATATCTTCACTGCGCACTGAAGGTCTCCGGTTCAAGTCCGGGCTAGATCATCCACATGGGCGATTGGTTTAGTGGTATAATGACCGCTTAGCATGCGGTAGGTCCAGGGTTCGATTCCCTGATCGTCCATCTTTTTGTCCGGGGTTCGCCCTGATGCGGCCGTCTGGGCCCTTGTTCTGTACCAACAGTTCTTGTGCGTAGATGAGGGAGAGTGAGTGAGAATGGTTCATCAGTGGTTGCAAACACTTGTATAATACTTGGTTGCCGAGCAAGACACGTGGGGAGATAATCAGCTATCTACAGACCCTTGGGTGCGCGTGGTATGTATGCATTATGTATTAACCATATTCTTCCATCCCAGTCTAGTCTTCTCTTTATAAAGCACGTATACGTAACGTAGCCTGACAAACAACCCATTAACCATGACAACATGATGTCGATATAACGAGGGTATCATCGCTCTCCATCTCCTCCGCCAAAGCAGAGCAGCTACCGGTTCTGCGCAATCCATTCCGCCACCATGCCGCGGTAGTCCTGCGGCTCGTAGCTCTCAAACAGCTCGGCCCAGACCCCGGTCTTGCGCCGCGTCTCCACGCCCATGTCCCCGAGCAGCATGTCCCAGTACGGCAGCTGATCGAACACCAGGTCCGGGTAGCACCGGCCGTGCCCGTACGGCGCCCGGTACTGCGCCCACCGCTGCAGCAGCGCCGCCTCGTCGAACACGCGCCCGGCCCTGCGGTCCACGTCGAGCGACGGGATCCGGCCCTCGAGGTACGCCAGCGCCCACAGGCACTGCACCTCGAGCCGCATGATGTTGGCGAGGTTGCTGAACGCCCCGAGGAACACGAGTGTCCGGTCGTCCCGCGCCGCGAGCCCGGGCGGCGCGATGCCTCGGTACAGCCGCCACGGCGTGTAGGCGACCTCGGACGACGCCCCCGGGTGGAACGGTCGCGTCTTGGACGACGACGGGTCGAGGAACGGCCCGTCCAGAAGCCGCGGGAAGCGCTTCCCGATGACGCCGTCAGCCCTGGCGTTGGCCTCGTTCCAGCGCGCCGTCTGCTTGGGGGCCCAGCGACGTCGTCGGGATGCCGAGGTCCGAGTGCAGCGACGCCGGCTCGAAGTTGATGGTCGGCTTCGCCGAGAAGCCCGTCGACGCCACCAGCAGGTCGGCGGCGAGCGTCGTTCCGTCGCCGAGGTGGATCGTGTGGTCCGAGAGATGGTCAATATCCTCGCGGTAGATCTGCACCGTGCCGTTGCGGACGTACTCGAAGAAGTCGTCCTCGAAGCTGAGGATGCCCGAGGCGGTACCGTACCTGCGCAACCGTCCGTGTGAGTAACAGGTCCAGATTCTCCTGTAGGGCCAAGCAAACAGGGGGAGGGGGGGGGATGGATGCTCACCAGAATTGGTTCTGCTCGGGCTGCAGCACCTTGGTCTTCTCGTGCGTCTGGTACCCGCAGTCGTTGATGGTGTCGTGCCGGATCAGCTTCCAGAACGTCCGGCTGACGACCCTCCCCACGGCGCTCTCGTGCAGGAACCGCCGCACCCACGAGAGGCCCGACAGGTCCGGGAACAGGCAAGGCGACATGAAGGCGCAGATGCGCCGCGTGACGAGCCGCTCGCGCCAGACCTTGAACGGGCCGAGCTGCGTGAACGCCGTCGCAACCCACACCGGCCCCCGCCCGGACCGCCGGATCACCCACCGGACCTTGTGGCCCGTCGAGGCCGCGAGGTGTACCGCGTCGTACGCCGACTTGCTCCCGCCCAGGACCGCCACCGTCTTGATCTCCGGCGACGCGAACAGGTGCGCCTGCGGCCCCAGGTCGGACGAGTGCACGATCGGCGCCGCGAACGCCTCGGACCCGGCCATGACGGGCACGTGGGGGACGGTGAGCACGCCGGTGGCCACGATGAGGCGCGCGCACGTCACAGTCCTCGCCTCGCCGCCGGCCTCCTCGACGTCGACGCGCCACTCTCCCTCGTCCTCGGGCCGCGTGACGCGCACGACCTTTGTGTTGAGCTGGATCTTGTCCCACACGCCAAAGTGCTTGGCGTACTCGACGAGGTACTCGTGCATCACCGCGCCGGGCACGTGCTGCTTCATCTCGAGGCCGAACCGCTTATAGTCCATCGGGAAGTCGGAAAAGTCCATGGCCGTCACGAGGTTGTTGGTCTTGAGGTTCGGGTAGATCTGCTCCCGGGACCAGACGCCGCCGACCGACGCGCGGCCGTCGACGATGAGCACGTCGGCGGCCGGGTCACGCTGGAGCAGGGTCTTGGCGGCGCAAAGGCCGCTGGGCCCGGCGCCGATGATGAGCGTCTCGACTGTAGGCGCCATGGCACGCGGTTTTCCGGATCGCGATTTCGTAGGGGAGCTCGTTGTTTGGGGTGTGAGAGCGGGAGGGGGGGGGGGGGGGGGGACACACTTCGGATAAGGAGGTGAGGGACAACAGTCAAGTTCAACGGTCTGAGAAAGAGACATGGAGAGATGCCTTTTGTTCTTAAACCCAAAAAGTAGGATGACCGAAACCAGTGGTTGGCTGATACCTAAAACACGACGGCAGACTCTCGGGTTCTCCGGCAGAGTTTGGGACATGCTGAAATCTGCTCCAAAGGGCCATGAGGCCCCTTCATTCCCCCCCAACTCGGAGTGCCGCATCTGATTTCGGTAACCAACATTGCCAACGAGGATTATGCGCTTGGTCGGGGAGGCGCCCGCCGGCGCGCGAGGGCTGAGCATCCGCATTCTGCTCATCGTCTGACGGTTATGTCGGAAGGGGAATAGACCAGGCGACAGGGAAACGAATAAGCCGACCTATCTTGCCCTGAGGCGGTGCTTTGCCATGGCTAGCGCCCAATCATCGGCCGCGAATTGTATACTCAAGCTTTCCTCACGACGCGCCACCAGCAACTACCTAGGCGATTCCGTGGTCCCTCCAGCTAGCCTTAGCGGTCCATCCCACAGGAGACCATGTCAGTCCTGTGTGCGACAGTGGGCGCAGGTGTCAGACAGCGCATGCATGGAGGGCGCATTCCAGACCCTTGGGAGATGTAGGTCTAGCGTCCCACGACTCTGGGTCGTCTGCGGCTGAGGCCAGCGCAGTCGAGCGTGGCGTTCTCGAACGAGTGAGCTTGGAATCTGGGGGGGGGACGCCGACTGCTTCCGCCTCTCGATCCTTGGCGCGGATTCGCATGTTGATGGCCGGCAACTTTTGTCTCAGCCTGCGAGGAGGAGGAGGGTCAAAGTTGGGACGGTTAAAGCGTGTAGCACGGCGGAAACTCGCACGTCCCTCTCCATTCCATTCTATCCGTGTCAGCCGACAATCTATTACTAGATGATAATCACACGAGGGAGAGAGACACAATGGTTGCAAGAGTTTGTTCATGTCAGCTGACGTCTAGTTCGGCAGTGCTGACCGCTCAGGTTTCCCATCTACTCAGCGGCGGACACTTTTCTTCTTAACCCTCTTCTCTGTACGCTAACGTCTGTTCCCCACGCGGTCGCCTACATATGCATGGTTAACGGCAGAGCGTCGTCGTTTTGGGGGCTTAAGGAGACAATGAGACCTGAACGCCACAGAATCCCAAAGAACAGCCGGACGGATTGCCGGCTGGATGTGCTCGAGGGCATTGGCATGTGTTCTGATAACGTGTCGAGCATGCGGCAGTAACCGCTTGCCAGGGACGCGCCACGTGTTGCTTGCTTATTAGTACGTCGGGGAGGTCCTCGGAATATACCGTGTTCGAGACCAGAAGATGTATTCTTGGCCGTCGTCCGTCAGTGAGACCGGGCATGTCAGATAGCCAAAATCGACTTTTTTCAGTGCCTCTCTATCCTACGGTATCATGGCGAAGTGTCAAATCAGTTGTGGCCTTCCCCGTGCATTCATGCTCATCTCAACTGAAACACGTTTTGCGCTTCTTGTGCACTAATTATGTCTTTGCTTACCTAGCAACGTCTCTCACACTCTCTTCTCGTTTTGGCTCTCCTCACAAATCAGCAATGTACGAGCCCTCGGATAACTCCATGACCTTCACCAATTACATTGGCACATTTACCGAAATAATGGTTCCTTCTGATGTTTTTGCGACGTCGGGAAGAGCCGTCTCTTGGCGCCTGTGAATGAGGTCGATATGGGAATATGGAGATTGAAAACATCAAGGAGAACCTCGGAAAGGCTCCAATTGAGACGCTCTCAGTTTGTAAAGCTCTGTATTCGTCCAGAAAATCTCCCAACCCAAGAACGTCTTGAGCAGAAAGACTGGCACCAGTGCTGGGACTTGCTTGACTTGATTTTAGCGATTGAAACACTGTCAAGTCTGATGGAGAATTATACGAACAAGTGGGAAACCATTGGACCAAAGTGACCGAGAGGCCTCTGCATGGCCTGGAACTATCGAGGGCCTGGGTTATTAAAGTTTTGAGACAGGCGCGGGCCGTGATGATGCGTCAAACCAATATTGATACACGTAACAATGCCTTATCAGGTCATCTACAGATGAATGCCGTCTCTTCCACGGTTAAACATTCTCCTAGCAATGCTTACACACCGAAAAAACCTCGAAGAAACTGGGTCGACGCACGTCAGCCTTCGTCCAGTACTCTTTCATTTCAGAAAAAAGTGATGATGGCGCCGGTGATTCGATCTTGCTACCGTAACCGACGTCGCGTATGCCCGCATGTAAGTCGAAACTTCTGACGATTATCAAAATCATCGTCAACATCATCGCGCCTCTCTTCTTCATCCTCTCTATAACGGGCCACTTGCAACTTCGGCATAAAAGGATGTAGTAATGGTAGAAGCTTCTTTGAAACGATCTAGAAACGATATCATGTGAAAAGAGGGGCATTGAGGAGAGTTGCCCCTTGATCTAGCCTATGGTGATATGGCCCTCACTGTTGTCTCAAGTTATCCCAGGTCTAGCATCTATAGCTTTTGAACTTGCTTTTACAAGCTCCCATGCATAATCAGAAAAGTGAAGTATGTTTCATCATTTCTTCACAAGAAATTGTTCATCTGTTGTCACGAGGCACTTCTTCAGGTGGGAAAAGTCACAGAGAAACGGCTGAAATTTCTACGTGAGACTGTAGGGTCTGGTCCGTAGATATACGTGTATCCTCAGGGTAGATCGCGTAAGTGGGATCAGACTATGAGATGTTCCGATTCTAATGAAATCCCACAAGACTGCGCGATGCCGTGCGAAGGCATCGCGGCACACCCGCCTAGGTGGGTTTGACGGTTCTCAGACGCAATACACCTAGAAGTAGCTACATACCAAAACCTCGTTCAGAACGATTAGAACTAACCATGAGATGTCGCTTTGAAACAAGCAAAAGCAAGGGATACAAGAGAAATAGTCGTGCGACGCCGCATATGGTTGTCGTCGTCAAAGCTGGTCCAGCTCATCCTCCTTTTGTTAAGTAGAAATATTTATATAAGACAGCGGGCTCCGATTGGCCGGTTGACCAGCCGGCCCAGCGCCTGCCTCCTTCGGTTTTATTGCCCTCTTATAGTTCTTCTTTTCTGTCCTCTCCATCAACAACTATACTACCTATATGTCCGCGATACTCTCGTTTTCCCCCTGTCTTCATGTGCGCTGGCGCTATCTTCCCACGGCGGCTTGTCTAACAGGATACTGACGTTTAGATAGATGCCTTCCCACAAGAAAGAACTTAAGCGCGCCCGCACCGCTACGGCGCGCGCTGCCGCGCATAAGAATCGCGCCGAAGCGCGCGGGGGTGATGGGGTAGTCGGCAGCACTCAGGATCCCCCCGAGGACGACGACGACTACCTTCATGTAGTTAAGGTGCGGGCCAAGACCCCCGAGCCTGTCCACAAGAAAGACTTCGAGTGCCTAAGGTGCGTCTTGAGCGCACTTCATGGACATTCTTCTGGGTGGTGCGTGCCGGCGACAGGCCGGTCCAAGAAGTGCCGTCGATGCGCGGATGGCAGGACCCCTTGCGTCCTGATCCGCGAGGGCAGCGAGCTCCGTCGTCTAGCCGGAGAGTTCCTGGCCGCAAAGAGGGGCAATGTGGCTTACAGCGTGAGTTTCTACACGGACCTTGATTATACTTCGTTATTGACTTTCGTCTAGCGCCTCAGCCGAGCAACTAACGCCTTACGGAGCCGTGTTGCATTCGAGGGCACCCTTGTCGCTGGGGACCCTCGGATCAGTACGCAGAAGTGCGACGAGGTAGATGCGGGAGGACCACCCTCACAGCAACCTTCGGGTTGGCCTGGTGACATCGCGCCGAACCAAACTGTTGACGCGGCATCGTTGGGTGGTTCCGCCTCCAGCAGGACCGTTGCTGTTGCGAACGAGAATCAGATAAACGCTCTTCGGGCCGCAATCGACGGCCTCGTTGTCAGCTCGCTCCCTGAGGCGCAGCTGGCGGCGCACCGAATCTTGATGGATCAGTACGTGGCGCTTCTGACGGGTAGAGAGCGCTGGTTTTAACCCCGAAAATGCGAGAGATTGATTGCATTGACTGCCCTAAGGGGTGCGGGTTGCTTTTGGCCACGAGCTAGAGCACACGACAGGAGAAGAAATAAAGTAAAAGATTTTAACTCAACGAGAACACAGTAGAGACGTATAGCGCATATATATAGCTCGGTAGTGGAGGGCACAAAAGATTATAAGCTCGCGACAAGGCCGGAGAAACGAACCTTGGTTCATGAGGTCTCGTGAGTCTCAGCGCCAAGCTCCCATCTCTGGCAACACCTCATTCTCCTACCGGCCCCCTCCAGCCCAATGACCGCCATTCCAGCCATGGGGTTCACAACATCGTTGACATCGTTCAGAATAATGCTGACTTCGCTAGTTACGTACTTGGCTGTGTCTCTGAGCGAATCCTACAAGACGCGAGAACATGTTACTTGACATTGAGCTGTTGCTTTCCACATAATCAACGCGATCTTGTTAAACTTGTTCGGCTCCGAGTCTGGCCATACGTGAATAGCCAAGGAGTGTCGGATCTGCCGGAGCCGATAGATCGGTACCGACAGTCGCCTCCGAAATCCGGAGCCGAAGGCCCCGCAGCCCATTGATCGGGTTCAACCCATCAGTAGGTGCGCAAGTGGATGACACGATGTGTATCACGGGACGTGGCATCGGCATATCAGCTTTATCCTGATTTAATCCTTGAGAAATAGCCTGGGTTGGCTTTTGTGGCCCACCTGCAACCTGCACTGACGCCCATCGAGGATCTCCTTGACAAAGGTATATAACCGTCAAGGGTCTGACACGATTGCACTCTTGGCCCATCGACTCGAACGAGGAGCATATAGAACGAACTCCATTATTTTCAAACTTTCCTCGATACAATGTCCTCGACCCGAATCGCGCTTGCCGGTGCGACAGGCCACCTCGGAGTTCCCCTGCTCCAAGCTCTGCTTGACGCAAACTTCTTAGTCACTGTCCTTTCACGCAAGGGCGGCAGCAACGCTGCCAAGCTGGCGGTTCATCCCAATCTAGACGTACAGAAAGTAGATTTTCGGTCCATGGAGTCCCTCCGTCCGGCTCTTGTGGGTGTGGAGCTGGCGAAAGGTGCGCTCGCAGACGTTGATGGTGCGATGCTCGGCCTCTGCATTTGCGGTGCCACGAGCAGTGACTACGGGTGCGACTTTTCTGATCGCCTGGACAATGAGCTGCTGGGTATCGAGAAAATGGACGAGAAAAAGTTGAGGGCCTTGATTGCAAGTTTCCTAGGATAGCTCCAAACTGATAGGGGCAGATGGCTAGGTGGAAGGTCTCCTCGCTGCTATCCAGACAGGAACCGCACAGCCAATCTTCGGAGCGTAATTCGAGCACCTGTTGACTGCTCTTCAAAAGTAAAAGGACTACCGTGACAAAGCGACCTATATGTTCGGTTGTTCTTGAGTTTCGGGGGGTATTGGGCGTGCTGCTGTTAATTGACCAAAAGGTTTGCTCCTGTTCCGACTGTATCCAACTCTTCCTTTCTAAACTGGAATGGAGTAAAAAAAAGGGGAAAAGAAAAGAAGAGAAAAAATAAGAAAAGAAAAGGACCACTGATAGTCTCAATATCATACTATATGGCATTTTGAGTGACCGTTATCCGTATTTCAACACCTGAATGGGTTGCTAGGCGAAAGGACACTTGGTCTGGTTGTGTCCACCCAACGTTCTGACCAATGATCTGCTTCGACTTTGAAGTTGCGGAATACCAAAGTCGCATCACACATTTTGGATTAGAAATCATAGCCCACCACCTCTCATTTTGAGTACAACCACCGGCCGTTCCGGAGACCGAGGTTACAACTCGCGTGTATCAGGCAGCCCTCTATCAAACAACTCGATGCGAAGCAACAGAAAACAGTACTCCAGCTGTGATGGCTGCCGCCGTTCACGCGTTGCATGCAATGCCTCCCAGCTTGGCTACCACCCTGGTAATTTGAGTTGGAAGGGCAGTTGTGCAAGAAGCGCCAGACTCAAGCAACCATGCAGTTCCCAGGTGATGGCTCGTCCAGCGGAGGAACAAGACACGAAAAATGCATATGGCTAACGATACGTAGTGGATCAGCAGTGCAAAGAGGAATCACGCTGCACAGCCACCGACGTGTCGACCTTAGACACCCATCGCGACTGAGACCGAAAGCCCAAAGGATCTTGACATTGCCGACCAAGGCCAACTTGATTTACTTCTAACGCTGTGGTCCAATTCTTTTGTGATGCAGAGTCTCGAACCCGTGCTCGACCTTGCAATTGGGACTGGTAGCTGCCCATTAGTGTAACATTCGTATGACCTACCATCCAGGCCGAAGCGAGACGCTGACAGCGACAGTACCAACTCCGGCAGCACTGATATGCCTCTGGGCATTGGGATTTTCAGCGCCGTTGATGCCAATACGACCAAGGCGGCGGAGGATCACGAGTCAAACCGTGAGTGCGAGAAGGATTCCGAGGCCGCCGCGAAAAGAAACGAGAGTGTGAAACGATCCTTACTCCTGGCGGCCAAGGCGTTCACGGCCCGGTGGCTTCCACTCATACTGAGCCAGACCAACTACCCGACAGATGACGTCGAAGAAGTCACCCGGAAATCATGGCGTGCTGCCAGAAACGACATGCTCAAAGTCATGAATAGGGTTTCTTATCAGTCCGTCTTGACGCTGTTTATGTTCTCGCAGACCCCGATACCACTTGGCATCTCGGAGGACGAGGAAGAGGACGGCGTAAGTGGGTTAGTCTGTCTCCATACCACTCTTTTGCAAGTGCAGAGGCTCCGAGAGCGGCACGATGGTCGACAGTTTCGCGGGTCAGGGGTAGAGACTTGGGTCAACGCAATCGCAGGCCCTAGCTCTGACCCCAGCTCCACCCAGAGTTACCTGCAGCTCGAAAGCAGGATATACTGGGCGGCCGTGGGTTGGGACACTTCGACATCTTTGGCGTACAACGTGAGGGCTTCCCTGACCTCCGGGCTGAAAGGCGCATGCTTGGAGCCGGTGTGGCTCCTAGTCAGGGCGTTCCTCGTGGGATCGTTTCATCCGCAGACCGAGACGTGGCGAACAAAGGGGTTCAAAGTGACGGACGAAGCCGCTCGGAAGATCTTCTCCGGCGCAGCTGTCGGCTCCATGTACGTCTGGAAGAACATTACGTCGCTGAAAGAGGCGTTGAGAGAGGGGGTCGACGAGGACAGCCTTATTCTTACGTGGAAGAGCCTTCTGGACGCGATTGACGTTTATCGAACCTCGATCTGCACACTAGTAAACACCTGCGAGAGACAGCTTCACTACTTGGACCAGGAACGGCGCTTGTGCTGGTTTGAAGTCAGTCTGCAGTACCACTTGGGCATTCTGACCATGGCAGATGCATTCAGAGCGGCTCGTCGGTCTGATCTGCTGGCGCAAGTTCTTGACCTGAGCCAGGACACGGAGAAAGATATCTTCAACGTCCTACGGTATGGCACTGACAGCACATACACGATACGTCGTCCAAGAGAGACAGCACCCGCGACGGGATTAGCTGAAACTACGGATGCACCTCAGTGAACAGCCACGGCAAAATCTCTGATAACCATTTACCCCTTAATGTCCAGGGTAAGTGATTTATTGGCGTTGACAAAGAGAGTCATAGACTTTAAATATGCACAAGGCACTATCAACGATGAGGTGTACTCCTGCCTGAATTCGGTCTTGATCAAGGCTCTTAGTCGACTTCCTCAATATCGCCGACGCGATACGCTCTATGGGAAAATTCCTTAGATATATGGAGATTACTATAGCTGAACAATATCAGCACATACTTTCTCGTGCTGATGCCCTTCATGTTCTAGCTATCGCTAGCAACATGAGAATTGCCGGCTTAATCAAGATGGTAAGTCCCCACCGCGATGCCTAACCTCGTTAACATTATCAGTTAACATGAAGAAATCTTGGGCTCGGTGTTCATTACACTAGAAGCGATGGACCAGGTTCGGCTGAAACTTTGACCATGGCTCATGGGCGAGGCTCGACTTTCAATAGTTGCTCTTGGGACAGGACGGCGAGCATACCATGCCGTATATGAAGTATAACACGTGCGCACTTTGCACTTTTTCGCCAACAATTCTTTTGAAACCATGCCAACGATGCAATTGGGTATATCTGCGCCGCCTCGCGGTAACTCTGCTTTAAAACACAAAACAAAACTCTTCATTCTCTAGATCCGTCAGATTGTCAAACGCCCTCGCGCCGACGTCGTCCGGTACGTTCTCCTCGCCAGACGCAGCCATCTCGTGGCCGTTCTCACCCGTCTTGCTCGCGGCCTGGTCCTGCTTCATCTTCTCGGCCTCGGCGGCGGAGAACAGGCTGGTGTCGACGATGACGGCGCTCTTGCCCATGGCGACGCGGCGCTTGCTGTGCGAGCGGTTGAGGAAGGCGAGGTACAGGCTCGTCGCGATGACCAGGACGACGATGACACAGTAGAGGGCGAGGTTGGAGGTCAGGCCGCGGGCATATCTGGGTGACTCGGAGGGCTTGTACAGGAGCGGGCCGACGACGTTGCCAACGGACTGGCCGACGAAGAGGAACGCGGATGTGCACTTCCGCTTGGTATCACCGGCCGTGTTGGCGGCGGACCAGCTGTAGATAAGAGGGGCTGGGGATGACATGTTAGTCGGGAGGTTTCCCTGGCGGAGGAGGCGAGAAGGGAGAAAGGGCTTACTGATGCCGGGGTAGACGGAGATGAGGTAATATCCGATTAAACGTGCGGCTTTCTGGCCGGTGGTAGGGAGAACCATCAACATGACGCAGCCGATGATGGGGGGAACACAGAGTCCGGCAATGACGGGGCCCTTCTTGTGGATCTTGGTCGCAATCCAGGAACCCCCGACGGTGGAAACGAGTTGTACAAAGCCAAAGGGGATGTTGAAGAGGATGGTCTGGAAGGAGTCGAAGCCAAAGGACTTGACGATCAAAGGACCAAAGGTGGAAATGCCTCCGGAGGGGATGCTGCGGCAGTGTCAGCACACACGGGCAGCGACAGGTTACAGGGACGACGGTGAAGACTTACGAGATGGAAAAGACCAGGAAGAACCAGCACCAGGTCTTCAGATCCAGCAGGCTTTCCTTCAGGTGATCCCACCGCCATTCGCGTGACATGACACCCTGCTGGTTCATGCGGAGACGCTCAATGGCGATGAGCTTGTCGTGATCCTTAAGGAACTTTGCCTCGACAGGGGAGTCAGGCATGAAGAGAAACATGACGATGGAGAAGACGACCGTGATGATGCCGAAGAACATGAAGATGATCTACTTGATGTCAGAGGGAAGTTCAGCAGGATCATGGGGGGGGGGGGGAGGGAAGACGTACCTGGTACTCCTTGAGGGGCGACGAGATGTGGCCGAGACCATACGTGATGAGACTACCAAACTGCGGGATATCAGAGATGGGTTGGGGGGAGCAGCCAGCTTGCGAGGTGATAATACACACCATGTTGGTAAAGCCGTTCATGGCATACCAGTAGCTGATTCTCAGCGTCTGTTCGCGTCGGCGCCACCACATCTGGGTGATGGCGACAAACGACGGCGCCACGCTCGCCTCGAAGGCGCCGAGGAAGAACCTGGCGGCCATCAGACCGCCAAAGTTGTGGGCGGCGGCCATGCAGGACAGGGTGACGCCCCAGAAGGCGACCATGCAGCTGGTGAACTTGCCGATGGGCAGCTTCACCAGCAGCCAGGCGAGCGGGAACTGCATGACGAGCTGGGCGAGGTAGACGACGGAGCCCAGCCAGCTGTACTGGTCGCCGACGAGGTTCGTGTCCTTGATGAGGCCGAAGACGGAGGCGTAGGCGAGGGTGGACTTGTCGATGCCCTGGAGGAAGTAGACGAAGAGCATCAGGGGCAGGATGACCATGTCGATGCGGCGCAGGACGCGGGCGTTGTCGGCGGGCGTGACGACGACGCGGTCCTCGGGAGAGGCGTCCGCCTTGCCCAGGAGCTCGGCGGCGGCATCGCGGCGGTGGGCCGGCTGCACGGGAGCGTGCTCGACCTGGTCGACGGGCGTCTTGCTGGTATCCTCGGTGGTGGCCATGGTGACTCTTTGTGTTTCGTCGTAACCCTCTGACCAGACACACACGGATTCTTTGTATTGAGAGGTAGGCAGGCTGGCTCAGGTGGAATCGAAACACAGTCGATAAGGGACCAGCAAGAACGGGAGAAGTGGGAAGAGCAGTCGAGATATGGGCGCCATCAGCCCGGGAACATATCGGCTGACAGCCTGGGTGCGACTCGGTTGCCGAGAACAAGTGACGAGGGGTGGATCATGACATTGTTCATCATTGGTGTGTATCATTCATGTGTATCTCAAAGTATCAAGCCGGGACTAGGGGGAGGGGGTGCAAGTGATTGACAGGGGGGACGGTTGGCCAAGACCATGGCAGCGGTGTCAACAGAGCCTCTATATGATTTTTCCAAAAAAGGGCTCGTTATCTTTACCCGATTGGTTCAGTAAATGTGCAAGGGGTCCAAATGACGGACCTTGTCTGACGAAGTCGACTTCACGTCTTGACTATCGCTACATGTAGTACCGGGCTACCAAGCAAGTAATTCCTCACGATTGGTAACAAGCCGCCGTCTGGTGTTGACGGCCAGGGGTCGGTCAGACCAGAAAGGACTTCACGCGGCACGTTGTTCGTCCCAATCAGTTGGCGACAAGCTGAGGAACGGGCTCAACTTGACTCGTTCCGTATGCGCGGAACGCCAGCCCACAACAACATGGAGTCCTTCACCAATAAGAAGGAGCATCACGAGTGTGGCCCGGGTCAGCATTGACGATTCGTAATCCGAACTCTTTTGAGGAGTTGGGGTCCGGAAAAGAAGCTAATATGTCCCCCACATGGAAAACCGACTTCTCCGCGCGGGGAACTTTGGGGATTTACCTTCTTTCGTGGAGGAGGGAAAAGGAGGAGAAGGGCGGCGAAGGGCCGCGGAGAGGACCGGCGCAATGGACAGGCTGCCCCAGACGACCCCCAGACATTGAAAGGGAGAAGTGGAGGAAGATGCAGAGGAGAGCTGTCTTGGTTGGACAGGAGGATCATGGATGAGACGACCATGGCGCGGACGGAGCTGTTAGCATCGGAAGATGGCCGATATCGTGACGAGCCCACCGAGACGACATGATGTTCTTGAACCCACTCCGGCTCTCATTGGCTGTGGTCCGTAAGTTGCCGACCTTCATGGCCAAGCCGGCGGGGGAGATGCGGAGATGAAGGGCCACGTGATGATCTAAAGCATGATGAGAGAAACATTGTGCTCCCCGCACGGCATACGGCGGCATCTAACCGCATTTGGGTCGGCTTATGATACGATCCTACAGTAAACACTCCACAACGGCTAGGACAAGTCCCCTACCGACGAGTCAGGGACCCGATACTCATTGGTCATGGTCTCCATCCGTGAAAGCAGCCGTGCAAACTTCCCCGTCCTCAGCCTCTCATCAGTCTGGGGATATGTGGATATCCGGATGGCTTCGCTGTGGGGGACGTCTCCTCTCCAATGGGCGGCATCTCGTGAAAGGGACGCGTCTTTAGTTCATCACACTTTGCATGAGCTTCGGCCAAACACGAGCTGCCAAGTCAGGTTCACGATGCCAGAGGGCCGATGCCGCCGCTCTGCGGCAGTGCGCTTTGTACGAGAGAAGGCGACTTTGGGTGAGGCCTCGGAAACTTTGAGCTTTTACTGGATCTCCCAGCATCCGGCTCCCCTCATCCTGTCTATGTAGTATATGCATGCAAAGTCCAACATCCTTCCTCAACCCCACCTGCTTTGTGTTTTGCTCACATCCGCTCGGCAATAAGAACGGTCTGCTTGCCTGGATACATACGTCCTTTCGTTCTGTCTTGTGCTTTTTTTCCCCTCTCCTATTCACGAATCTGGAGTCCGGATAGTCCCAACAAGAGACCCAGATATCACTTGCCCAAGATGCTTCTCCAAAACGAGAGAATCCCTACAAAGTACGCACCCAAAGGGGCAAAGGGGGCGGCTTCAAATGCCTCGATCCAGCTGCAGTCATCCGAGGGTCAGACTGAGCCCTTCACCTTCACATTCGAAGTCGTGAGGTCAACCGTCTTCCGCACCACCGTCACCTCCAAGTCCCGCCCCTTGCCCCCCTTCCCGAGCGCACACAAGCCCAGCCCCGGCTCGGCGCCCAAGGATGTCGATGTCAAGACGTCGGAGGGCACACAAACCTTCACCACCTCGGCCGCAAAGGCCGTCGTCGAATGGACCGGTGACACGCCCATCGTCTCCCTCTACGCCGGCCAGGATGCCGCGGGGAAACCCATCCACGCGGACCTGCCGTTCCGCTCGTACGCCGCCGACGGCCCCGGCATCGCCCACTACTCGGTGTACAAGAAGGGCACGCTACACGTCGGCCTCGGCGAGAAGGCGGCGCCCATGGACCTGAGCGGCCGCGGCTTCATCATCTCGGCCAGTGACACCTTTGGGTACGACGCCTACCGCACGGATCCGCTGTACAAGCACATCCCGCTCCTCATCAACGTCACGCCCGAGGGCGCCGTCGGAATCTTCTCCACGGCGCACTCGCGTTCGACTTGGTCCATCGGCTCTGAGCTCGACGGCATGTGGGGTGCCTACAAGGTGCACCGCCAGTCCCACGGCGGCCTCGAGGAGTATCTCATCGTCGGCAAGACCGTCGCCGAGGTCGTGCACTCGTACGCCGAGCTTGTCGGCTTCCCGCTGCGCGTGCCGAGGTACATGATGGGCTACATCGGCGGCGGCATGAAGTACAGCGCCATGGACTCCCCGCGCGCCCACGACGCCATCATGGGCTGGGTCAAGCAGTGTGAGAAGCACGATATCCCCTTCTCGGCCTTCCAGATGAGCTCCGGCTACACCGTCGCCGAGACGGAGCCCAAGACCCGTAACGTCTTTACCTGGAACTACCACCGCTTCCCGGACCCGCGCGCCTTCACCCGCGAGGCCCACTCCCACGGCCTCCGCCTGTTAGCCAACGTCAAGCCGTACGTGCTCGCCACCCACCCCGAGTACAAGAAGCTGTCCGCCGCCGGCGCCTTCTTCAAGGACCCCAACACGGGCAAGACGGCCGTGACGAGGCTCTGGAGCGCCGGCGGAGGCGAGAGCGGCGAGGGGAGCCATCTCGACTTCACCAGCAACGCGGGCTACCAGTGGTGGTATGACGGCGTCGTCGGGCTCAAGAAGGTCGGCATCGACGTCATGTGGAACGACAACAACGAGTACACCGTCCCCGACGACGAGTGGCAGTGCGCCCTCGAGAAGACGGACCTGGTACCGATCCCCGAGGGCCTCAGCCGCAAGGACGTCGGCATCTGGGGTCGCGCCATCCACACCGAGCTCATGGGCAAGGCCTCCCACGATGCCACCATCGAGGGCAAGCCCGAGGAGCGCCCCTTTGTCCTGACGCGCAGTGCCACGGCCGGCACCATGAGGTACTGCGGTGCCTCGTGGAGTGGCGACAACGTCACCGCCTGGGAGTCCATGAGAGGCGGCAACTCCCTGGCCCTGAACGCCAGTTTCTCTCTTCTCCACGTAAGTCCCGGCAACACCTCTTCCTGTCCCTCATGATCATGCCACTAACACGCAGCAGTGCTACGGACATGACATTGGAGGCTTCGAAGGGCCCCAGCCCACCCCGGAGCACCTCGTCCGCTGGATCCAGCTGGGCGTGCACTCGCCGCGCTTCGCCATCAACTGCTTCAAGACCAGCGAGGAGGACAACCTCATCGGCGGCGTCATCGAGCCGTGGATGTACCCGACGGCGACGCCCATCATCCGCGCCACCATCAAGCGCCGCTACGAGCTGGTACCCTACACCTACTCCCAGAACCTGCGCGCCCACCACACCGCCGTGCCGCCGCAGCGCTGGACCGGATGGGGCTACGAGTCCGACCCGGAGGTGTGGACCAAGGAGATCAAGAACGGCGACACGCAGTACTGGTTCGGCGACGCCTTCGTCATCGGCGGCGTGTACGAGCCGGGCGTCGACACGGCCAAGGTCTACCTCCCCAAGAAGGGCGACGGCAGCGACTACGGCTTCCTCAACACCAACGCCCCCTACGAGCACTTCGAAGCCGGCAAGTGGCAAACCGTGCTCTCGCCCTGGTACACCTCCATCCCCATCATCGCGCGCGTCGGCGCCGCCGTGCCGGTCGGAAAGCCCCTCGATACGACCTCCCGCAAGGAGGACGATCCGGAGTTCCCGAACCAGGCCAAGGACGACTGGCGTGGCGTCGAGATCTTCCCGCCGCCCGCGCTGCGCGGCGCCGCCGCCAAGGGCGTCCAGACAGAGCCCGCGGCCGACGACGACGTCAAGGGCGTCGTGTTCGAGGACGCCTGGTACGAGGACGACGGCATCAGCCGCGAGGTGGCGGCCGAGTTCAAGTTCACGATCCGCTACGAGATCGTCGACGACGCCATCTCCGTCGACGTGAAGGCGGCCGTCACGGAGGGATCCAAGGAGGGCTGGAGCCCGCTCTGGCTCGACAAAGGCATCGACGTGTTGTTGCCGGTGGGCGAGGAGAGGCGTGTCATCTCCAAGGCGGGAGAGGCTACCGAGAAGGCTTTGGATGCGAGGGGACGCAGGACGTGGAACGTCCCCGTTTCCCTATAGCTACAAAAACATCTTGTAATATTGTAACACACCAAAGTTGGACTATGTATGAAATGAGACAAGTGTCATGACAGCACAACTATGTTCTCCGCCGTCTCCACGTGTTTAAAGATGAGACACGTTGACCAACCTCGCGGTGATGGCGTCAAGGAGCTTACACTACACCTTTCCCAGCTTGACATAGCACGACGTCGGCATCGTCGTGAGCCCAGAGTAACTGTCCTAGCCACTGAGCTCCTCGCTCAGCTCCTGGAACTCAAAACTCCACACCAGAAGAAACAGCACGATCCTCATCTCCAGATACGACAGCCTCCTCCCGAAACACGCTCGCAGCCCGTGCCCGAATGTCATGAACGGCCCCGCGTTCGAGTCGAACACCTCGCTCCCCTCCGCGTCCCTCTTCAGCCACCGCTCCGGCACGAAGTCCCCGACGTCCGTCGGGTCCCACGCGTGCGTCCTCTTCAAGATGCTCTTCCCGCTCTCCGACCGCTTCGAATCGTCGACCGGCACCGCGGGATGCAGGACCCCCGGCCCGTGGGACAGGAACATGACGATCGTCCCCTTTGGTATCACCGTGCCGAGGATCTGGGTGTCAACAAGAGCCTCGCGGGTCATGACGGGGAGGGCTTTGCAGCAGCGGAGAACCTCTTCGACGACGGCGTCGAGGTACGAGATCGAGGTCTTGATGATCTCGCCGACGGGCGGCGGGCCATCGGCGGAGGGGAAAGCCGCGCGGAGTTCGGCCCGGAGACGGGTTTGCGCGGACTGGTTCCGGGTGAGGAATTTGATACCCCACTGCGTTGCCGCCGATGTGGTGTCGTGCCCGGCGACGAGGTAGCCGAGGAGCTGGAGGGGGGAGAAGGGTGATACTTGGTCAGTTTCGCGGCGTTGCGGTGTCAAGAACTGGAATCAAGTCTCACCTCGTCTTTAATGGTGCCCGAATAGTACTCAGGACTCCTCCCTTCCTTCTCCGCAATCGATCTCTCCCGGATCAGCATCTGGTCCATGGCACATCTTGGCGGCAACCCGGCCTCGATCCTCTTCACCGCGTTCCCCAGCTCCCGGGTCTCCATGATGGCCTTCTCGACAAGGGCTTCCTTCATCGACTGCTGTCTCATGATGAACCAGCTCCGCAGACGAGGGAACGACGACGAGAAGAGGGTGCCGGCGGCTTCCCCCACGGTGCTGAGCGCTTTGACCAGGGAGTCCGGCCGCGGGTTCTCAAGCTTCACGGGGAGGTCTTGGTCGCCGGACGTGGCAGGCGGCGATGGAATGGACTCAAAGTGCGCGACGTTGCGCGCCGTGATGTTTCTGGTCGGGTCCGGGTTGAACGCGGCAGACAGGATGACATCGAGGGCCAGGTTGTGGATGTCTTTGGCGGCTTCAAAGGGCCGTCCGTTGCTGATCCTGTTCTTCTGCTTCCAGAGCTCGATGAGGCGCATCGAGCTGTCATACACCTCTGGCCCCGACACCTATCTTTGTTCGGGCCCCCGGTCAGCGGCTGTGCTCTACTCTCACGGCGGTGGCCATCGACAGCCTCGACAAGAGACGCTCTTCTCACCTCGTGCAGAAAGCCTGGCAACATCAAGTCTTTGCCCAGCTCCCGGTTCTTCTTGAGCCGGGGGTCGTCATCCGCCATCGTGAGACGATGGTTGGGGATCATACCGCCCAGCATGTCCTTGAACTTGCTGTTCCGCTTGAACTCGGACGTTCGACGCATGGAGATATCCTGCGCTTCGACCGGATCGGCGCAGATGACGAGAGGACGCGTGAAAGGGCCGAGGAAGAGCTGTACGAGAGGGCTATCGTGACGGCGGGGGCTGGTCGGCGAGCTACTCACGCCGTGATGCCACGGAGCCTATATCGGGAATGTCGCCCAACACCCGTTTCGCCGAGGCAACGTTGTAAGGGATTCCCTTGAAGGGCTTTGGAAGCGCCGCATTACGCAATATGTAGAGAAAGACTAGCACACCGACGATGGCCATCATCCAGCTAGGAGGTGCCCATGACAGGCCATCGCGCAGTCCATTTTTCATCTTCTCTTCTATCTCGACAGGTTGACTACAGTAGAAGGAGAGTTGGAGTTGGAGCCACGACGATATTGGAAGGGTGTCTGGGGGCTCGGTGAGTCGTGGTCTAGCGCAACTTTATAGAAGCTGTGCCCATTCCAGGTGAGGCGCCAACTCTATGCCCCCCCCCCCCTGCCCCGGCTAAGATTTAGACAGACGATCCGCATGTATCAATCGCGCGTCCAGTACCGATATGCGTCTGCGGGGAGGTAGGGTACCACCCCTAGTGAAATGTCTTACTCGGCACTAATTCAGTCCGCACAGGTAGTTGATCACTCAAGGCCTAATACAGGACATATGTATGCTATGCGAGAATTTGGGTACAAAACGGAGACGAGAGGCTGCCCAAGCAGTATTGCATGTATGCCTGGTACCAAGGTTGTGTGCGGTAGGAGCGTGTCAGTAGCCTATAGCAATGCTATAAGGGGCCCCTTGTGACGCCTCCGGTCCTACCCTCAATCCTAACCTGTTATAGGAATAACGCTAGCGTTCACGAGCAGTGCCTCGTACCGCGGCCTCCGCGTTCATCCAGGAGTAACCCCCCCCCCCCCCCCCCCCCCCCCCCACCCTGCCACTCCTTCGGGATCTACCGGTTCCTTAAACCGGGAAATTGTGGCATAACTGCGAGTTTGTATGTATATAATGGCCAACGTGTTGCTTTGCCCAATGGGATGGGAGACAGGTCTGAGGAATGGCAGGAGAAAGACCCAAGGAATGGGTTAAGTTTCCGAAGCTTCCGGCCTGATGGCCCTGATTGCATGCCTCTTGTCAGCTTGGCGTGCGTCAAAAATGCTTCACTACCGGCACAGTCAGATTTTCGAGAAATGAAATGCTCAGCCAAAGATAACTCGGGAATCACTGCCGCCGGAAACGGCCAATGGAGGCAGCGGCCTCTGTACCAGCAAGCCAACCTGTTTCCACTTCCTTGGACGACCTCTTTCCGGAGGAGGATATCCGTCCACACAATGAAATCAGTAGTCACGGTCAATGGCACTCGGAACCTACGATGAGGGTGCAAGATGGTGTCTTTGGTGCCGGCGGCAAACGTGTGCTGCTGAATAATTGATGTGAGCCGACGGGCCAATCGAAGTAGCTGATGGCGTTACGCTACAATCCAGACTCTACTAATTCCGGTATAGCGGGAGGCTACCGAGTTACGATAGCCTTTCACACCTCATCTTGCTTCCATAGGGGAGGAGGGGGGGGGACGATGTTCTTCCCAACGTCACTCGTCGAGCTTGGGATTCGCTCCGGTAACGGGGAGCTGATAGCCTGGGGCTCAGTTCCGAGTCCCATTCTATCAGCAAGCAGTGATTTAGAACTACTGGAGCATGTCATATGCGTTTTCTGTTCAATTTTCATACGTCTATACGTCTGTCTATCCGTACATGTAACATTGCTTTCAACATGTCCCCCGGTTATATGACGGGCCCTCCCCGTAAGTAGAAACACAACGCGCGAAATAGAAACATGAGCCCCTGATACCCGTACCCTCGAACCTTGCCTTCATGTCTGCGCCCTTACCACGTCCGATCTAAGCCGCAGGGAAGTCGTTTGGCCAGCACTTCTCCTTGGGCCAGAGCTTGGCGTCATGGGTGCCAGCGTGAACCTCAAGCTGGGTCTTGTTGGTGTTGACAATCTCCTTGCGACAGTTTTGGCACTGACGTTCTTAATTAGCCTTTCCGGTGTGGGCGACGGCGACAGCAACGGTGTTGATTCAACTCACGATTGATGTGGGCTTGGGAGGCTTGACAGGGAGACCATTCGGCTTGTGAGGGATGCGAGTGCCGGCCTTTTCGGCGGCCCTGTGCTCGCGCTGGATCTAGAAGAGCGTAGCCTCAGTCGCGTCTCACCGACAGGGGTAGAAGATATACTTACTCTTGCTTTCTTGCTGATGGGCATTTTGACTGAGTACGACACGATGATTGATTGATTGTGGCGGCAGAAGGGAAGATGAAATCTCTTTCTCTGTGGATATAGCGGAATCCAGCGAATCATATGCCCGAGACACTAGCCTACCCCGTTTAACGAAACAGTTATATCGGTCCGTGCCTATACATCAGAGTCCAGTTGAGCCTAGCTGCTCAACTTGAAGTGTTTGATCCAGCAGGTAAAACATAACAGTATGTGCGATAAATAGGTAGGTCAACTCGGGTGAGTCCACGGGTTCCATCCGATATCTGGTATTGTCGCTCCGGAAGTCCAACCTTCTGAAATGTAATTCCGATGCGTCCCGGTCGGCCGGAACAAATTGTCACCCTCCCCGGGTTCCTCCGTCCATAATCCCGCAGACGCCGCCCGACAACCCACCGATTCGCACCGTCAACTGCCCCATTTGCCGCTCTGTCCATTATCTAATCTCCTTCGGTCATGCCGCAGGCTTGTCTTCTCATTGACGTCAAAAGCCATTAGGCATATGCCGTCTCGTACTAGCCCATGTCCTCATGTATCTTCTGCGGCAGAAAACACTGACCCGGCCATCTGGAAGCGCGATGTGATCGCCAGCTTTCATGCAAAACCCGGATTGAAAAGTTGCCCGGCCCATAAAAGACGAAATTCAGCGGTCAAAGATCATGTCCAGCTACTCTGGGAGCTCTCGCACTCCTGAAATCATCCGTCTTGACTCGCGTCATGTCGAGGTCAACTACCTCTTACTGATATACAAGCGCCTCCAAGCAAGCTATTTGGCATTCTTGAGCGGAATCGTATGGTCATGACTTTTTTCTGCATCTCGGCCCCTGATGTATAATGAAACGATGCATTTATGTAGCTTGTTAGAATTCTGGATGGAGAAAAGCTTATGGACGTGGAGAGATATGAAGCCGGCCATATCAATGAACCACGTCACCTGGCGTCTTTACAACAAGTTTCAATGCTTTCACACTCAAGGCACTAATTTTATCAACGTTCTCCCTTAATTGCAACCGTTAGAGACAGGTTTTCAACCTCTGTCAAAGTGGATTGCATGTTAATCGAATAAAAGACAAGGAGCGCTTGTCGGCGTTGTAGTCCCCATGACATATGCCAGCCAAGACTTGCTAGATCGCACACCTGTAAATGGATTCGAATTAGATCCAGAACGATCTCGGATAAATTTACAAGTAATCAATCATACGCGCAAGCCCATGCCCTCTTACACTTTAATTCAGTATATACTGGCGACGGAAAGCTAGTGGCAGACTTGGAAATTGCCGTCAGACCATACCCAAGACACGGTATTCGGTGTTTGTTATGAGGTACAAGAAGTTGAGGAAGAACATCGCAACCATCAGCTTCATGTCCAGCTTTTACAAGAGCTTTCTCTCGAAGATGGTTCCGCTGACGAACGACTCGTAAGACCTGCTCCGAAAGACATCATTCCTTGGAGCGTTTGGCTGCTCAGCCACGCCCATCACCGTGATCTCCTCGTCGAACTTCTCAACCATTCTTGAGTTTCACTTTGGTCGCCCCAGCTCAAGCTCCAGAGGGTCTGGCATCGTCGATCTCCAGATGTAGACGTAACTTGACGATGACGGCGGATCGGATAGGGCGAGCCGAGCGTCCTTTCGAATGCCTTCGAACGATGATTATCGCGACGGAGCGTGCCCGCAGCAAAAATACGGGATTTGGGACACCCGACGACAGTTATAAAGGTTCCGATCCGATTCCTAAGCGGTAATGCCAAGACTTGGTCCAGCTGACAGGGTTTGTGGGTACCTTGCCATGTCCATCTGTGAGTTGTCCGTAGATGACAGGCTGTGTACCTCGGACCGTTGCTGCAGGCCACAAACTTGTGATGGTGAGCGGGAGTTCGATGTCAAACGTCTCGAAATGCAGACTGCTGCTAGAGTTTAATGCATAATCGTCCGAGCTTCTTGACTCATATGGGAATAAGAGAGCAAATGTTCCTGCATAGGCTGAGAGCAGCACGATGAGGCTTCCGTGCTTATTACTCAGCGGACAGGCCGTAGTTGTAGCCTCCTCTCGCGACCATCAACAAGGCCGCAAGCACCTCTTTATTGGCTCTGAATAATTATACCAATGTCGATCGTACTCGACCGTGAAAATTTTGAGTTCTTAGCATTGGTATTGTTTTGCTACGAATGTCTGGAGAAGCCCATGCACGTCGCTAAACGCCGGCAACCAACATGATAAATGACCAGCCAGCAACAAGTTAAAACTGGGTATAACTAGAAGAGATGCAGACGCAGTGTGAGTATGCAACAGTGGTGCCGTAAATGGTTCTGTTTGGTCCTAGCTGTCCTTTTCACTTGGTCGTCGCCGACTCGGCGACCGTTTCCTATTGTCTTTTTCGCCCTCCCTCCCGGCAAAGTAAACAAGTGCCTTGGTCTTGATCGAAAACTTGGTCTTGATCTTGTTCTTCTGATGTCCCTCTCGACCAGCGGCCCGAACGGGCTTTGCTTGTGGCAACTCAGCGTGTTCAGTCACAATCGCCTCTACCCCGCGGCTTGATGGAGGTGGAGGATCATGCGGGATGTGGTCCCGGCCGTAGTAGTAACCATCGCTAGGAAGAGGTGGTGCGTGTCGATATGTGGTTGTTGGCAGAGCTGGAGGTGTCCGGAAATACGAATAAGAATAGGCTGCAGGAGCTGCAGCAAACAACGCTTTCGATTAGCAAAAATTCGGACGGACTCTAGCGGGTGTTGTAAGTCTTACCTGTTTGTGTGTGACTTGCGACGCCGAAGCTGGACCTTCGGCTTCTTGGTTTACCCTCTAAGAAGCTTTTGAAGTGTTGGGGGCTCTAGGCTTGCTGTGCTTTGCAGTATGGCTAATTGACCCCGACTTCTGGTGCATTGGAGGCTCGGGATCGACTTCAATGACTGTAGGTGATTGAGTCATCGGATGGGCACCAGAGTGAGAAATATTTGACCCTGATCGGTGACTTGTTGGAGGGCTTGGCTGAACGTTAACCTTCTCAGCATCGTCGTATTTGGTTACAGGTTCATTCAACTCTTCCAATGGGGGCTCTTGGTCGACGTTTATGATTTCAGGGGATGGTACTCTCGACTGTGGCCCAGTAGCAGGGCTTTTCATGCCCGATGGTGATTCGACAGGAGAGCTTGTCTGACCGTTGGCATGCTCTGCAACATTGGATTTGGGCGTAGACTCAGCCGGCCTCTCTGGAATCTCAGGCTGATCTTCATCTTGTAACTCGGGAGAAGTGGACTTTACCCCCCCATTCGACTGGTGATTTTGTCTGGGTGATGGTTGAATGAGTGTTGACTTTTTGTTTCCTGTCGTGTGCTCGGGTGAGGGTAGGTCGGATTCCGTGGGGACGTCAGGAAATTTGACCGTCTTTTTCTCCCTGTGTAACCCGTTGAAGGGTGCCGGCAGTACCGGTGCTGTAGGTTGTCGAAAAGATGTAGCTTGAGCGGTGTTGCCAATGGATGAGATGTTTCCCTGACGACCCTGACCTGGAAAACCAGGCGCATGTTTAATGTTGCTCGAGGATCCCGATATTATTTCCGGATCAGCTATTACAATTTTGGGACGATGAGCAGGAGGTGGAATTGGAATATAAACACTGGGCTTGGTGGTTGGAGCAGTGCTTGTTCTCAATGGGCTGCCTCGGGGCATCGCCGTGACGCCCTCCTTCAACGGGCCGGACTGAAAAGTAGAAGGAAGCCTTGACCTGGAGGGGAGCGTGGAGTCAGGTTGTGGTTGAACTGGATAGGCGCCAGATCTGTCGCTGGCTGGTGGCACCCATGACGCTGAGTAGTTTGTCGATGGCCTCTGGTTGCCTGCCGTAGGAACAAACTTGGCAGGATATTTTGATGACACTGGAGCTGTTGGAGGATGGGGTATATGTCCTGGACCTGAAGGCGTAGGTGACTTGGGGTTCTCCGAAGCAGGCGATGTCTTGGAATATATCGGACCTGGTGGGGATCTCGAGTATGTTGGAGGGGGTCTTGGAGGCCCAGAGCCTGGGGGAGGTGGCGGATATTTGTCGTTCAAAAAGTCTTCACCTGAAGGAGACGGAGAAGTATTACCAAGGTGCCTGGGTCCTTGCCGCCCCCCGGGCCCGGTTGATGATCGGGGGGACCATGGAGAGGGTCGAAGGGGCGCCGATGGAAAAGGTGCATTGCCCCCGCGGGGTGATTTGACAAATGGTTTGTTCTTCCGTCGTCTTTTGAGAGTCCAACATCCAAGAAGCAAGAGTGTCAATATTGTAGCGCACGTACCGCCGATGATTGCCCCAAGCTGCTGGTTGCTGACGCCTTCGGATGAACGTGGAGGCGGCTCTGTTGGAATACCACCGTGAAGCGTCACAGTTGCGGTTCGAGTGCTCAAGGTTCGGGGGAACGTCTGAGGAATGGTGATCTGAGTGGTTTCATCCTGCCTCTCAAGCAACTCCTTGACTTCGATACACGCAGTGGGTGTAGGTCCTTGCCCGGATGGTTGTGAGGCTGGCTCTTGTCTGGCCGCAGTGTTAAGTGGCTGAGCAACCATCCTAGGCTGAAGCCAGGATCAATCAAATCGTCATTGAGCTCGAGAACCTTCAGAGGTTCTCCAAGGCCTCTGAACAGTTGCTATCCTTGAACCCGCTCTGTTCGTCGGTGTGACTCTCATGATAACTCACTCGGCCGCGGTGGACAAGGGAACAAAGATGAGGTTGGGACCTTCGGAGGAGTCTTAGCCACCCACATGATCCCTCATTCTTACAAGCCAGCCAGCCCTCTTGGCCGACTCCCGCGCGGCAGCTCGGGAAATCCCTCGATAAGGCTGTGCGTTGCACTCATTCTTCAAGCGGAGGCTGATAGGTACTCCATAACACGTCGAAGGTACTCACGGAGTTCTGGAGAAACCGATGAATGGCATGCCGACTCTAACAGCATATAGGTGTCTTCAGCCAGGCAAGATGAACTGCATAGTGAACAAAAGAAAACGTAGTGTCGGGTCAGAAACTTATTAGGGAATATAGGAATTGTAATAGAGGAACTGTTCGTGGCCATGGGACTGATGCTACAACTGTGCGTGGCCTTACGTGCCGGCGGGCTAAATACACATAAGCACGCCTCCACTAACAACGATCATGACTGACAGGGATCGTAAACGCCGCAGGAGGTCAGCTGGAACACCCCGCCCTTTAGCCGTTAGCTTTCAGCCAAGACGGTTCGATGTTTTCCCTCAAAATGACCAAAGTAGGCTCTGGTGCTGTTGACTGGACTACAACTGTACGAGTTTTGTGACTCTTTACTTGTCAGATCGGGCCCCAACGCAGATCTTAATCACGCCGCCGGCTTCGACGGTACAAGGCGCGCGAAGGCTACCATTGTCCCGTCGTCTCTCTGTCCATGTTTCCGCCGCTTTCCAGCAATGTGGCCGACTCAAGCGGGGAACGGCGATACGCAGCAGCCTCTATTCCTAAAACACCATGTTCATCATGACCAACCTTCAAGCTCCAACCAACCCAACCCAAATACGAACGGATCGAAAAGGGAGACGGGTTTTCGGAATCAATCTGGTTTATCTACAGATATCTCGGGGAATAAAATGCTGAGAGGACAGAGCGCCGAACCTACGTTAAGAGCTTCTGCAGGTCAACCCGCGCCCTTCTTGAACACATCAAATGAGGGTGACATAAACGCCAAAGTCCATCGAAGCATCAAAACCAAAGAAAAGAGTCACCAGGTAGTAGGAAACTCGGATTCGCAACAGATACCGGTAATTACTAAACCAAAGGCTGTTGACAGCAGTCCAGAGCATTCAAGCCTCGAGAACCGCACGAACCTGAGTCTTCAGGACTTCAACAGAGCTATCAGAGAGGCCGCCCAGATGAAGAAAACTGATCCAAGCAGGGCTGCCAAGTTGATTCTGGACGCAATGTTGTGGGACATTATCAAGAAACTCCCCCGCGACAACTTTGACATCGTAGTAGCGCGGCACCATCTGGGGGAGTGCTACTTTCTCATGGGGAACTATGGCGAAGCCGAGAGATTTTACCGACAGGTTCTCCAAGCCCGGAGGTCCCAGAAGCCCCCCGATTCTTCAAAGATTCTGCAAGCCCGACAGGATCTAACGGCCTCGCTCATCCAGTCCGCCATGGAAGAGGAGACGCGAAATGTTGCGAGAGCCGAAAAGCTCCACTTTGAGGCACTGAGTCTCGCCGTGAAGAACATGAATGAAGAAGACAACGACATCCGAGGCGAGGACATTGATGATGTACTTCATTGCACTAAAGTCTTGCTGAAAAGCCAAGACCGAAAGCCCCTGGAGCTTGCCAAGCTGAGCAGGACTCGTGTCCGGGCGTTGGTCCAAATAGAAGACGACATGGACGACGAGGAACTGATTGATATGCAACACCACGGGATTGTAGCGTTTAAGCACTTCACCGTGGACCTGGAGGATCGAAAGAGCGGGTACGAGGTTTACAACACTGTTCAGTCCCGGATACGGGAGTATGGCGCCCAGGATCCCGATCAGTCCGAAATGGCAGTATGCATAGGAGACGAAGTCGAAGATGAGTGGAGAAAAGCCACAGGGTTTCTAGCTCGTAAGAGATGGAGACGGTGCTTGGGCCAGGTGCGAGCTGAAGTAAGGAGGGATGTCCTACCCCAGAAGAAAGAGATTCGGGACAAGTGGCATCTCTCTTGCCGCAGACTAATGGTCAAGCAAAGATGGAAGAGAGCGTTATCGGAAGCCAAGAAGACGGCCAGGCGGAACATCAATTGCCACAGGAAGTTGGTTATAGACCAATGGAACTCATTGGTCCAAGAGGCTTTGCAGAGGAAGAAGGAAGAAGAAAACAGGAAGAAGGATGAGGAACGTAAAGGGTTGAAAGAAGAAGCCAAAAAGAGGAAGAGAGAGGAAGGCCAACAGAAGAAGAGGGACGAAGAGCAGAGGAGACTGGAACATGAAGAGGACAAGAGAAAGAGGGAGAATGAAGAGAAGCAGATGGCGGAGGAGCGAGAGAGGAAGAGGAATGAGGAGGGAAAGAGGTTAGAAGAGGAAGATAAAAGGAGAACGGACGACGAAAACCGAGTCAAAAGGTTGGGCGGAGAGAGAGAACATGAAACCAGGAAAAAGGAATTTGAAGATAAGCGAGGAGAGGAGGAGGAGCAGGAAAGGAAGAGGGAAGGGAAAGAAGAAGAGGCTCTGAAGAGACAGATGAATATGCAGAACGATTTCGAGATCCAGCAAGGGATCAGCAGAACAGACACAGGATATTCAGAGTGGTCGGAACCTGGTGCGTATACAACATCTTCAGAGGCATTTGGGGATATCATTGGGACAATGAAAGAGCTAACAAAACACACATCCGCAGAAACACCGATGCATATAGATACAGAGCCGGCCTTTTTCGATTCGGAGACCATCCTTAGCAGCGTACAGTAAGTTAGTCTTCGTTCAAAACTAATGACCGTTGCTTCACAGTCGTTAACGATGACCTGTAGGAACAGCGAGAAGTGGGTGAGGGACTTTATCAGGTCTCGCAACACGATTCTCAGTCCTCACCATGACAAGAATATGGAACGAGTCAGAGTTACCATCATCGATACTGGCCTCGACAAAACCCATCCGTTTGTCATCAAGCGGCGATGGCAAGATTCCAGGCAAGCAGCTAACAAAAAGGTTGCTCTCTTCAAGGACTTCGTGACGGAGAACCCCAGTGCCGAAGCAATTGATGAGGACGGGCATGGCACTTTTGTCGCTGGAATTGTGCTTCAACTCGCACCACTCGTTGAGCTCTCCATAGCCCGAGTGGCCACGACCCGGGCCTCCCTGATGAAGGATCCTGACGCGGAGGGAAAAGTGACAAAGGTGAGTGCTTGACACTGGACTAGGGCCCTTTGCGAGGGAATGTATCTACGGGAGGCATCGGCTAATGAGCATTACTCTGCCATTACTAGGCAATCATCCATGCTATCACGGAGTGGGACACAGACATCATCTCAATGTCGTTTGGGTTCCGAACTTATAAAACCCAACAATTTCGAAAAGCAGTCGGCAGGGCCAACTGGGAAAATAAGATTCTCTTCGCGGCCGCGGGCAACTTTGGGAACTCAAAGGCCAACGTTTCTTTCCCGGCTCGGTTCCCGGGGGTTTTCAAGATCTTTGCGACCGACCACCAGGGTGGAAAGTGTTCCTTCAGCCCGAGCCCGGACCTGGAAAAGAGCTACTGCTTCAGCATCCTGGGCCACGACGTCGTGTCTATCTGGCCGGAAGCTGTGAGGGACAAAGACAGGGAGACGCCGCTGAAGGTGGTGAACAAGAAGAAATCCCCAGGGCTGTGGGTCGCCATGTCGGGGACCTCGTTCGCGACGCCGATCGCCGCGTCGGTCGTTGCCATCCTGTACCAGTTCTACGACGCGAACAAGGCCGAAATCAACCTCGAACCGGGGCTGGACTTCAAGACGGTCGACAGCGTCCGGGCCATACTCTTGAAGATGAGTATGGCGCCCACAGAGGACCAGCACAACTACCTCAACCCTTGGGTGGGCCGGGACAACTACTTCAACTTCAGCGGTGAAGAAAAGAGCGGTCCTGTGTCCTTTTTCGCTCAGATGCTGAGGCTTTGCTTAGGTGCTTGGGTCAAGTAGGTTTCGATGTCTCTTATGATGAATCAAATGTTTGTTTGTACATGTTGGCAGATGAGAAACAAGTGACTGCACGGTGTTGTTTAACCAATTCCAAGTTTGTAAAGATGCACCAGAGGCTTTGCCTGAGGCTACAGATACCAGACAGCTCTTTGTTTTGGCGATACTATTCTGCAACTATGACTAGACACTCGCCACCATCGACTTCGTCAATGCCGTCGATCTTCTCGTTTCGGGCAGGGAGAGAGTCTCCAAAGTCCTCCTTCTCAACCAAGACCTTTTCGAGTTCATCAACATCAACAACGACCTCTTCCGGCACCTCTTCATCGCTCTCTTCCTCGGAGCTCGTATCACTACCGCCTCCCCCAGCACCATGACCGTGCAACTCAGCCCCGAAAACATCCTTCCCCAGCAGGGACTTGTTGCTGCTGAAGTTGACGTGGACCTTGCGGAGTCTGTAAGCGAACACGAAATCGTCATCCGGCGTGCTGCTCTCGACGATACTGTTGGACCGGTCCAGCCTGCCTTGTGCGCCGGCCGTGACCATCCCCCCGGTCCCGGGGTCTGCGCCCAGCTTCACAGCACCGCTAGTCGTCTTGCTCATCCCATACGAGACTTGGCCGGGCCTCCTCGCGATCTTGATGCCCGTGATCATGTACAGGATCTTCTTGCTGAGGACCATCTTCTTGAAGAAACCCTCGCGCGTGAGACACTTTTGCACCGCCGCCTTCTGCACGCTGGAAGTGACGTAGCCGGACTCCTTGCCCGTTCCCAGCTCGAGGAACGCCGTCTCGAGCTGGGCCGCGCTCCACGACTGCGTGAACTCGTTGGACGCGTGTGTCGAGGCCTCTGCGGTGATCACCGCCAGGAACTGCGCAAAGACGCCGAGTTCGCCGGCCGCTCCCTTGGACTTTTCCAGGGACCAGTCGTTCCTGAGAGAGACATGAACGGTATCTGCAGGGAGGGGCCTGATGGGAGGCGCCAGGCGGCGGTAGGGCGTGTGAGGGTCCTCGATGAGCTGGCCGAGTTGGATCAGGCCATCGGGCTTGTAGTCTGTACTACGGAGGATGAAGTACGTCTTGCGTTCGGGTTTCATCATGTTCATAGGCATCTCGGCTGTGCTCCATATGTGTGCGGGACGACACAGAAGGAGAGGTCTGGAAGGCCAGGCTCGATGCGCCTTCAGTGACTTGTTTTTTTAATGGGCGTCACTGTATGCGCCCTGAGGTTCTTACTGTGTCTGTTAGACGTGATTGAGGAGCCCCGTTTGGGTGCGTCGAGAGCTGCATGTAAGATTGCGCGTGCCTACCCCTCAATCTTCAACCCTGCACATCAAGTCGGCTATCCCGTATTAGTCTAATTAGTTGCTTCGTTGCTGTGAGAGGTGACTCAAGTGACATTATACAGCTTACCTAAAGTACCCTACTATTAGTGACCTGACCTACATAGATTAGAGGCATAATGTGTAAAGTTACATACGTCCTAACTTGAAGGGGGGTAGATTAAATTAGATCGTTAAAAGTAGGGCAGCTTTCTGGAAGTAAAACTAGTTAAATTAATAGGCCACAAGTTCAGGAGTGTCGATGTAAGGAGTAGTAGTTCCCCTTTTGGCTCAGCCGCTCTGTACGATAAACTGTGTGATGGTGGCCAGAAACTCGCAGTAAGATCTGTCTATCTCGACCTATTATTAGTTATTCGACCTTTGACCTGGTAAATATAACATGAGAAGAAATCTTTACTTTCTTCAATATTTTTGTTGTTGTTGTTATTGTATTTAACGCTGGAAACGTCCCTGACAAGGGCAAAGGGCGCCTGGGGTCTAACTTCGGGGTATAAACACATGTTTCCAACTCAAATCCTGTCCTGCCAGATCGCCCTATCGTGGTTTCCGTATCCCTTTCATAAACCTCCCAGGAGGTGTAACTTTATCGTTCCTGCTGTCAAGAGTCTAATGCTCGTCAGCGTCCAGGTTACATTCGGTGTCCCCCAGTCGTTCTGTGTTACAGAGAGCTTTTGGGTTTCATTTCTTCAAGAGGTGAGAACTAGCATTACTTTCCCAAAAGTATGTCCCTATTATCAACTTCTAATAATTTTCAATCATCTGATTGAAAGTTTCTCACCATCTGTTTAAATATCAGTCATAATATTAAATGACTATGAAATTAGCGCATGACTTACATGATATGATCGCCCAGGACACGGTCGTAACACCAAGTTCTGGCATGCCTATTCGGGGATTTGAGTTGTTTACTCAGGATTGTGTTAAGGTAAATTCTCATAGAAGCGCCGAGATCTGTGATTCAAAAGGCAGAATAGAAGCAACATAATAAAACAGACAGGGCCCCTATGAGTGGTCACAAAGAAAGTTATATATAAATGCAGGAGTGTATGTCTAAGGGGGAATTGGGTAGACTTTGTGCTAGATAGAATTCATTAGAGAAAGTCCGAGTACACCAATCTTCTAGAATGATCCGCTCAACATTACAATTTCGCTGGATATCATCACATTTCTTTTGGGTTAGTACTCTCATGTGACCACCGGTATACGACACAATCGCATTTGCAATGGAGTAAACTAAATCTTTTTACGCCATCTTTGAACCCGTCATCTTTATACCACTGTTATCTTCCCCACACGAGGCTTTACTGTAAGACTGGTCACACCTCGGCCGTTGCACGTCTAGTTTCCCTTCTTGCCCTTACCACCACCATTACCACCACTGAGTGCCTACGGTTATATGTCAGATTGTCGCTTCGGGCAGCAGATTGCCAATGGTACTCACAGCCTTCTTGTTCTCCTTGTTCACCTGGATGCCCTTGTCAAACTCACCCTGGAGCTTGTTAAGGGTCTTCTTATCAGACGCAGAGTTATTGCCTGTCAGACTCTTGGCCTGCTTCTCCTCCTGAGCCTGCGCGCCTTGGACCTGGGAAGCAAAAGTAGTTAGCACCCAGTCTCGCTCGCCCGCCTCATCCAATGGCAGCTCTCGGAGGCGTTTCTTTTTCGCACCTTCTTTAGGCCATTGACTAGGGCGGTGTTGCTCTTATCGGCGTTCTTTTGGTTATTTGCGCGGACTTCCTCTCCCTCCTTGACGGTGCTGAGGAGCTGAGACTTGGCGCTATTGAAGTTGCCGTTAGTCTCGGCCTTCTTCACGGCGCTGGCGTCTTTCTTCTCCTGCTTTTGGATGGAAATGTTCTTGTCAATGCCGGCAGCCTCCTTCTTGGCATTGCTGCCGCCACCACCACCGCCGCCGCCCTTCGCCTTCGCACCGCCGTTCGCCCTTGCGACGACGGCTTCTGCCGACGCTGGCAAAGGCAGAGCAACGGCAAGGGTGAAGAGTAGGAAGAAGGAGAGGACGAGTTGGAAGTAACGCATTGTGACAGGCTTCTTATTAGCGACGTACACTTATAAAGAGTAAAGTATGTGGAAATGCTAAGAGTATGCTTAAGAAGTAATGGCTGGGAGGAAAGTCAGACTGCCGAGCAGAATACAACAGGCGTCAACAGTCCAGATATATAGTTGATTGTTCGACTTCATCACTGCATGAGAACTTTCGCGATGCTCTCTAAGACGGTTAGATTTATTTGCTTCCGGCAAGGGGCACTGAAGAGCCCTGCCCCGGCCCGATCGTAATACCCCTCACTTTCTTACTCGTGATGCTTTCGGGATGTTTCTTGCTCTCTACGAAGTCCAGCCTTTGCCTTCCTGTCTGCTGCGACTACAATATACACATATCCATGTCTTGTCAGAAGCCCAATTAGTTGGCAAGCGACAAGCTTTTGGGTGGCCCCAAAACGAAGAAGGTTCAGCCGCATCCGTGTTTTAGGCTGAACTTCTACCTCGCTTCTCACTGCTACGGATTCCAAGGGAAGGATATTGTTTAGTTTACACACATTACACTAATAGATGCCGACAACCGAAACGGGGTCTATCCCGCCAAATCATGGTGCCTCGCCTATAGGCTGACCATGGATCATGGGCTTTGTCGGTGGGGTCGATGGTCTCGAACGATGAATGCCTCTCATGGATAGCGTCCATTACGATCGCCTTTGGTCAGGGTGACACGGCTGTGATTTTATGGTCTATGCCTGGCTTCGGTCCTGGCTTTTCATTCTCACAACCTCTTCTGCAAAGGTGTATCAAGTCTTCCCGAAGCTTTGTTAGGTTCGGCATGCTTCACGATGATCGCTCCACGTCTAAATCTTGTCTTCTTTCCTTGTGATTCTCTCGTCCGTCTCACGCTCTTCACGAACATGACGCTCCAATCATCACTCTTTATAATGGCACGTCGCCATCGGATATGACTGCTCACCTTGTTGGCAGATCTTCGACGCAACCACGGTTCATCTACCAATTGCTTCAATACCCTCAACATATTCAAGACATAGTGCTTGGTTACTCAATAATGTCAGTCAAGATGCCAAGACATGTCAGACTGATCCTCCTGTCGCTGTTTAGCGTGGACCTGCTTGTATCAGACGCGACCAGAAGAGGAAACAAACATGGTTGGATAAGATTCGATGCTACGTCAATTATTAAGCAGACCGACAAAACATCCTCAAGTTGAAAGTAAACCAAAGATGGCACGCTTAATCTCCACAATTCAAAAGCATCCAACCCGGAACGCGACACTTGCCCGAACACACGCTGTGGTCACACTCGGCAAAGTTGAGAATACAGAACCTGGGCACAGGGAAGCCTGGTGGTCTGGAGCCGAGTGCCCAGAACCTTCGCGTCTCAGGTTCGCTGGCGACTTGATCTGCCCACTGGGAAGAGCTCTGCATGTAAGGGTTTTCAAGACTAAATGTACCTCTTCCATTATCCACCAGACTGCAGACATGACTCAAGGTCTAAGTCAGGGGTCTCCAGACAAGGTACCAGTAGACCATATAATCCCAAAGTGAGGCTCAACAGTTGTATTGCAGAAAGTAGGCTCGTCCAATATATGAGGGCCTACTAATGCGCTACTCAGCAGTCTACCCGCCCTACCCTACTGGACAAGGGTCTAGCTCTAGCCTCTTCCTCATCTTACTGCTATCCGCGCGGTGGGTAGAAGTTAAAGAGAGTTAAAACTCTGACGGCATGATTCGCTTGAAACCCTCGACTACTGCCGAGAATCCCATGCTTGACTTCCATTATTGTTCCAGCCGTGTGAAGAGGACCGAGATTCTCGGGATGCACACTGCATATCGAATCTCGGCGAATGGGTGATCGAGGGATTCGAATGTCCGAGGCTCAAGTCTTTGGTAAGCTTCGGTTGGGTGGGATCTCCCCCAAGGTCGCACGTGTGCCTGTTATCATCCGAAGGTTGTTTCTTCTTCGGGCCATTTACCGGAAGATCTTTGTCGTCCAAATAGCACCGCCAAGAAGTCAGTCGCTACTGTGGGCAGCTCCATCTAAGACAGTGGGCGAACGACCTCCGAGCGGGCGTCTCCGTATTGAATGACACATTCCAATGCCCTTTTTCGACGTGATATTTCGTGAATTGAGTGCTTTATCGGTTGAGGATATGGGTCCTCCGTTTACCGTCAACACAAGTTTGGCCGTGGGGAGGTCAGCCTTCTTGTCAGTCCCAACATGTTTCAAGCTCGTATCCAAGATTGAGGGCATCCCTGGCACAAGCTAGAGCCTATAAACAACATCGAGTCTCATGGTACTACCGCACTCAGCCAGCTTTCGCGCCTGTATGGTTTGCTATGTAATCCTCAACGTCGTGAATGCCGACGATGCGGGCAGCCGACAAGGCTTGAGCGAAGATCAACACCACCAATTTCGGCGTGACGCGCGCTCGGAAACAGTGCAGGAAAAGGCAAAACTGACAAGGTTGTGAGCCCATAGCTGAGACGGACCAGGCCGGTCAAAGTCAATGTCGCGCGCATAGAACCTCTCGTGGCAGGATAATGCCAGAAGTCGATACCAACAAAGACCATACAATAAGGATAGTTTAACCAATCAAGAAAAGCACATCATGAATGCCATGGTATTAAACAATATGGCTAGCGTTCCGATACAAGGCACGCACCATTCCCAGCATTGATGCCACACCAACTATTCCCTGGAATGTAGGGGGAAGATTGCGGACCGTTGCTGGGGATGGTCCGGTCCTTATTCGTCGGTTCCTGGGGCGGCACCATGTCGTTGGGGTGCGGCCAGATGTTCCGGGACACCTTGTCACTCCAGGGTTGTCATTCTCTCTAGCCGGGTGCCTGAATGAGCAGGTGGGCAAATGAGTCACGGTACTCCGTATTAATACGAGAACAGGGACCTAATAGCCGAGTTGGAATGATGTAATTACCAGATACTAGGGGTAGATACATTGGCATGGAGTTGAGATACGAGAACAATCAGAAGAGACATTTATCAAGGAGATTTTGCTGCCTACAGATTGCTGATACGGACCAGCCGTGGGAGGTCCAGGTTGTCACTACATTTGTAGAAGTGAAGTTGGTAGGCATAGCAACTCCGATACGCAGGCTCAACGCCAGTTTCTTTCAGAGCAGACATCACCTCAAGAGACGACGTATTTCAAATTTGATTATGCTTAAACAGAACGCTAGGCCCAGGGCATCTTGAATTTCATCATAAGGGACGTCATATCGTAATCATCTGGAAGGGGGGTACTAGTTTACAATAGCAGGTCGAACTTCAAGCATGGCCAGACGCTCTCAAACCAGACTCGGCGCTGTACCAGACCACAACGCTGTCGTGGAAACGAACAAGAAAAAAGCAAAAGAAAAGCAACGCGAAGTGGGAGGCAATGCTGCTGTCGGACCACCCGTATACGCCTTCGCTGCGCCTAATTAAAAAAGAAGAAGAAAAAAACACACAAAAGCTGCTGCTCTCAAAGGAGAAGATAATGCCAAACAAACTTTGCTCTTCGCCCAGAATTATCCCTCACAGACTCAAACGTCGTGAGGCTTGTCGACGCACGTCGGCTTGTACGCCTTGTCGACGGAGACGAAGGCGGACGTGACCTGCGCCAGGACGGGCTTCTCCTCCGTCAAGACGGGCGTCTCCTGCGTCAAGACGGGCTTCTCCTCCGTCGGGACAGGCGTCTCCTGCGTCAGGACAGGCTTCTCCTGCCTCTCCTTCTCCACGTTGCTGTCCTCGTCGGTCTTGCGGTTGGCGTTGCCGGCTATGACCTCCATCTTCTCGCGGAACGTGTCGTCGTAGTGCGAGAAGACGGACGACGGGCGGTGGCTGTCGAGGGATGACCGGCCGGTGGTTATGCCGCCGTACGAGGAGAACGTGTCGGCGATGGACGCCGGGCGGCTCCGGGTCGAGTTGGAGCGGGCGAGAGGCGGCAGCTGCTGCTGCTGCTGCTTGCTCTCGAACTTGGCCAGCTTGTCGGCCACGCTCCCCTGCACCGTCTTGAGCACGGTGAGGTCGCTGCTGATGGTCGGCTTGTTCTTCTTGCCCTGCTCGAGCTCCCGGATCCAGCTGAGGCGGTCCGTCGCGAGGCGCGCCGATGTCTGCCGGTCGACGGCGTTGCGCCACGGTGCGGATGCGGAGGGCGGTCCGGAGGGCGTCGACGTCCCCGACGACGGCGCCTGCTGCCAGGACCGTCTCGGATCCGTTCGGCTGGTGCCTACAGACAGGGAGCCCGGCGTCGTCGAAGGCGTCGAGTGGCGCTTGTCCGCCTCGGCGATGGCGGCGACAACCTGTTGGCGGTATCTGGCGATGGGTTCCGCCGCGGAGACGGGGCCCGCACTCGAGGGTGCGTAGGCGGCGCGCGGCGGATCGCGGAGCTGCAGCCTGCCGGGCTGTCTCGCGTCCGATGTTGTGAGCACCCGAGTGCGGATGGGCGCAGACGCCCGCGGGGCCATCGGGGGTGGCCAGGGTTTCGCCGGTTGCGGTTCAGCATGGTCGGAGCTGATGATCTTGACGCTGACGACGGGACCCGAGGCGTTTGTCGAGCGGGAGGAAGCATGGCCGGGGCGGCGTCCGTCAGCGGCAGCCGCCCTGCCGGCTTTGTTTACAGAGGATATGTTGCTTGACGGCGAGGGCTTGTCGATCCAAGGTTTGGCGGTGGAAGACTTGGCGAGCGAAGACTTCTTGTCGTCCGAGGAGTTGGCGAGGGCAGACTTGGCGTCCGAGGAGGGTTTCGTGCGGGAGGACGCGTTGCCCGACGTGGGCTCGAGGATGGACGATCTCTTGGAGGAGAACATGTCGGCGATGGGCGTCGACGACGACGCGGTCGTCGGGGGCTTCTGCTTCTGGGCTCCCTTGTCGGGCCGCGTCCGCGGCTGTTGCGGCTGGGCCACACTGCGGAAGGCTTCCAGAGCCTGCAGGTCGATGTCGAGGGTCGAGGTCCCAAAGTCCTGCACCTGGACTCGCGGGAAGCCAGACTTGATGCTGTCGTCCATTGACGGCCGCTCTTCCTGGTGCTCGCCGAGGGTCGACATGGTCTTCTTCCTCGACAGCCCGTGTCTGAGACGCACAAAGCCCGACAGCTTCTCCCTGACGGAGGGAAGCCGTCGTAGGCCGGCCCAGTCGACGCTGTCGCGTTTGCTCGACATTGTGTGCCTACTGCTCTTGGTCTTCTCTTCTTTTCTTCTTCTTCTGCTTCTGCTTCTTGTGTTTCTTCTTCTTCTTCTTCTTCTTCTTCGTCTCCTGCGTCTCTTCTGGTGGTTTCGTGGTCAAGCTTCCAGCTTGGCCATGGGATCCGGGTTGGAAAGGTAAAGCATAGTGGGGGATCACGTGAAGTAAACAAAATTGGCCCGGGGATCGCATTGACGCAGGGGTCGAGGCGGACATTACCTTGTCAAAACAACGTCGACGCCGAAAGGGGGGGGGGGATGCTGGCTGCATTCCAGGGCCTATTATTGGTTTCCACGATGCAACAGAGGTCCCCGGCAGCTGGTGGCACCGGTCATTTAAGCCCCTTTGATGATGACTGAGACGTTGTGTCCCTCGATAAGGGGCAAAAGCTGCCACGTTGCACGGGGATCATGCCGGTTCCCATTGTTGCGTCCCTACGAAAGATGTGTACGATGTACCGAGTATGATGTACACTAATAACACACAATCCCGGCCATTATGCATTTCGACACCGTCACCAAGTAGGTAGTAATGCCCTGAAGCATGCGACGTGTTGGCTGTCTATATCTGGCGTCGCTGTTGTCCGCCTCGCCCTGCTGGTTCAGCCTTTCGTTCTGTCCACCCTCACCCCGTTCCCGACGATCTTCTTTAGCGCTTCGGGTGAGGCGTCCGCAACCCAAACGATGCAGTTACGATTCGATAAACAATGAAAACTCAATACCGAATCCGATCTCTGTTCTGTGTCTTGGCTTTGCCGCGGGTAGCGCCTCTTACCTCAGAGGCTCAGACTGGTGTTCTCTCGCATGGTCCGGTAAGATCGGCGGCCGTTCCGTCGCCTGTAGTTTCGAAAGAACTCGGTTCGTGCCACTCAACGGCCCCGAGGGGGTGGAGGAGGGGCTGCGTGTGCACCATAACAGTGTCTCACGAACGAACCACGGTTACTACGTAGACGGAGGAGATGGCTTCGGCCGTCGCAACGGCTCTCAATCTGCACGTGGCTCCGTGTAACCTGGTTGCCAGATCTCCGTCACCACCCCCCCCCCCCCACACAAGCGCCTCTGGGCACGGTCCGAAGCGTAGAAGACTACGGTTACTGGGTATATTAGTGCTACCGGTATTGATGTTACTAAACATGGGTATTGGATGGAATCGCGGGGGGGGCTCAGCACACGGGTTGTCCGGCTCCGACTACGACCCCCTTCTCCCGGTCTTTCGTCTCATCTTCCTCTTCTTTTTTTCTTCTCTTTCTTCCTTTGTTTCCAGGGGTTTTCCTTTTTTTCCCCCTTTCTTCTGGCCCCGGTCTTTTCCCTCTTCTCCCTCTCCCTCTCCCCTCCCTATCTATGAAGAGGAAATAGGCTTCTTGGACATGGTTTGCTTAAAGACCTCAAACGCGACTTCTGGCTGATACGCCGGTATCTCATGACCGGCCTCGTACACCCTCAGCCAGCTCAAGTTGTTGACGGTCTTGTACTCTCCCATTTTCTTGCCATTGAGGTTAAAGTCTTTCATCTCGGCCTTTTCGAACTCTTGGCCTCCAATCTTCTTGACCACGTTGTAGTTCCCCACGTAGTTGCAGATCCAATCTGTCAACAAGGGTTAGCACGGTTTGCCGAGGTGGAGGGGGATGCCCTGTCGCATGCGGCTCACCTGAATCGCCGGCCCAGATGAGAACCTGGACGTCCGTCTTGGTCACGTCCTGAAGCATGTTGAGAAACGATCTCTGGCCTGCGTACTATATCAGCTTCCCGTGCATCTTCTCCGATGCAGTCTGCATGGGCTCACCATCTCCCGTGGAATCGAATCTATCATAAGGCGCGTCCGCGCACTCTTGATACTGTGATGTCACACCGATGGCTTTCCGAACCTCGGGCTTCTGCAGATACTGCATGTACGCGTCGGACGGGAAGTTTCCCTCGGCAGCCCTGACGTCGTACACGTTGAAGTTCTTGCCGGATTCAATGGGGCCTTCCACGGCGTTGTAGCAAGCCGTCTCGGCCGCCTTGCAGGCGTCGTTCTGGCCCTGGACACTGGTGCACTTGTTCAGGGCCGGCTCGCAGTCTTTTTCGTAGGCTTTGAGAAGCTGGTTATACTGGCGTTGGTCGATGAGCTTATTGTACGTGTTGTTGACCGCGTAGTCGAGATAATCGCGGTACTGCGTGGCTAAGATGACCATAGTCAGCACTTCCATCTCGGCCTATTATCTCTCTCCGTCACAGGGCGTCGACGTGCCTGCGTCAATCCAACCATTGTTTATACCAAGGGCAACCAGCTTTATCTTGTCGCCCTTGACCGTCCCTTGATCAATCTTGGCATTCTGGTACTCAAAGTAGGAGGCAAAATCCGGGCCGTAGTGGCCGCCGTACGACTCGGTGAACAGACCGAAATCTCGGTTCTTGTATTCCGGAAAGTTGCTGTAGAAGGATTGCATCAGCACCCAGACCTGAGGCGCGGCCTTGACCGTGCTCGAGGTGTTGTCCGAGCCGTAGCTGAAACCGGTTCCAATTGGCTGGTCGACATAGAGCTTTGACGGACTATTAGCACGGAAGACGATGCCATGATATGGGACCAAATGAACGAGGGCCGCCGTATCCGGTTCTTGAAGCCAGTGTGAGGAGGGGAGCCGCAACTCACCATGTTGGCGAAATTGTTCCACGAGTTGGGGTTCAGCGTCGGTTCCGCGCCGCCGCCCTTGTTGAATGTACACGGTCCGTTTTCTTGGAAGAGGCCGAGCATAGAGCTGCACCCAGGTCCGCCGCTCAACCACAAGGCGAGGGGCGCCGTGCTGGCGTTGTTCCGAGCTTCGAAGAACCAGAAGAACGTGTGCTGGTCGGTCCCTGCAGCCACAGGTCAAAACTTAGTCATATCGCTCGTTGATCGCAGGTGTCTCCCGGAAACAGTCGACCTACCGACGTCAAAGTAGCCCGAGTACTGCTTTACCCCCTTGGTCGTCTCGCAGATACCCGAGTTCTGGACAATCCTCGTCCTCGAGTTCGTGGCCGCGTGCTCATAGACGCTGAAGTTGATCCCCGCCTCCGACATGAGGCTGTACGACCTGTCGACCGCATAGGTCTTGGGCATCACAAGCCCTGTAGTTACACCTGCCAAGCATAATGCACCTGAGAGAATAGGAGAGATATACTTCATCTTGGCATAAGAACCGCAACAAACTGATGGGGAGCAGAAAATGAAAGACTAGGTTGGGAGGAGGACGAGGTATTAAAAGCTCCCTTCTGAGATGCGGTAGTTGGTGGCAGAAGGTCGCCAGCCATTTGAAACAGTCTCATGGGTGAACATTGAGTCTAATGAACGAGCAACGCGGCGACCCTGACGCGGCAATCCGTGTCGGCCCATGCCGTCCATGAGGGCTTGTTTCAATCGTCTTTTTGAACGTCATCGCTTTCATCTGTTCAGCATCTCTTCGAACAATGAGTTCCTCGCTATAAAAGATTACGTCTCCCCGGTACCGTCAACCAGATGTAGAGTGGCAATTGCCCAAGACGACTCCGGCACGACGATCCCGCCTTTCAGCAGCGCTGACCGGTGGGGTGTGTTGTCAGGATCCGGCAGGCCAAGCGGATTCTTCCCTGGATCGAGGATCCATTGGACAAGAATCTCGTGAACCTCTGCCCCGTGGCGACGAACATTGGCGTCCTTTTCGGGTATAGCCTACAAAGGACGTGCGGCCTCCCGCGGGAGATCTCGGTCAAAGAACCGGTGGGTTCGTGGTGTTGTTTCGTCTGAGCGTATCGTCCGATCAACCAGAAACGAGAATAAGATTATGAATTTGTTTCGTTTGCGAAGGGGGGCAAACCGATTCCACGTTGTTGCCTCGTCACGAGATAAGGAAGTCGTTGAAGGGCCAGACTGAGGAGCTGGCTGCAAGAATGGCCAAGACCACGAGTGAGGTTAAAACTCGGGCTGCCAGTCAGCAATGTGAGATTAGACACTGCAGAAGCAGATGCATAGAAATCATATAGCCTTTAGTGACAATCGCCGATCCTGAGAACTTATTCTGTCCAATGCTTGGAGACCGCGAGCCAACCACGGTTCGGTCCTCAGTATCCAATAGCCATATCGCAAACGCTGGCACGGAGAAGCGTGGAACACTCCAAGACACCGCCAAAGTCAAACTTTGCTCTCTCCAACCCGACATTTGGGATTGCGCTCGGTGACGGGAGTTCTGCAACAGAGATTTTCGACGCTCTAGAAGGGTTCTATGGGTAGCGCAATAGAGCAATCTGCTGCAGAGGCGGCAACTTTAGCTTCGGAATGCCGCGCTTCGTTCAACGTCATGAACGCGTGGCTACCATCTTGGCAATTGTGTAATACACCTTCATTAATTGTTCTTCAGTGTCCCACCCGTGGGAGAAGAGAAAAGACAGGCTATCCTTCGTTTATATACAGGTATTATCAAGGGTATATTCATGGAGAGCCTGGTTTCGTGTGCTCATGCAAGTGTCGTAAAAGTGTTTGGACTCTGCTCCTAAACTTTGGATTGTTTTTCCTGAATCGTCGGCTCCGTTTGACTTTTCGCTATGCTATTTCTTTCGCTGTCGCTGTCACTCACCGCACCGTGGCTCTCCAACTCGGTGATCTTTGCCGTTTGCTCGCCTCGCCAGTCTTGATTTTCTGTTAGCTTGCCATACAAATGTCGCGGGCTGTGTGGTGGAATGAAACTTACGTCGTGACTTCCAGGCCGGCACACCGGCTGCGAACATCTCGTCGATCTCTTCCAGCGATTTGTTGGACATCTCTGGCATACAGAACCAACCCCACACCAAGCCCAAGGCTGAGATGGAGCCGTAGATCAGACCAACTCTAGACCCGAGGTTGGCAGGCTCCTGAAGCAAGTACGGCAAAGTGAAAGACGCGATGAAGTTGCACAGGTTGGCGGTCAGCCAGAAGAGCATGACAGACTTGTCTCGGAGAGTGATGTGCGGGATCTCGGTTTTGGTCAATTGTAAGCTGTATCCCACGTTAGTCGTGCCCAACCCCTCGATATCATGCAAGACAGCTTCGGGGAGACACTTACGGGCCGCCAAAGGAAACGAAATGGAAAATCGGGAACATCATGGTCATGGCGACGATGCCCTTGTTGATGTCCAGCGTGGGATGCGCGATGGTCCCCAGCCCGCCCATCACCATCAGAACCGCCGTCTGCATGAAGCCCATGTACAGGAAGAGCGGGCGCCGGCCGGCCTTGTCAATGGTGAACATGAAGACGATGGCTGTCGCGAGCAACAAGGCTCTTTTGACCATGGTCGCCATAAAGGGGTCGATGACCTTCAAGCTCTTCAAGAAGATTGTGCCATACAGGTTTGAGAATGACGATCCGGAGAGTTGAGACAGAGCGGAAGCGATCAACCCGTTGCCGGTTCGGCGCTGAGCACATTGGCTGCATTAGTAACCAATTTCGTGTTCCAAAAAAAGAAGAAGGTATAAAAAAAAGTCAAAAAGGGCTTCCAGTGGCAACTTACCAAATTAGGCCCTTTGACCAGATCTTTCCACTTTCCCTTTGTCTCGCTGGTATTCAGAGCTTCTTGCAAAAGCTTTGCTTCCTTCTCTGCATCGTAGTTCGGCATGGCTCCGTATATATAGTCCAAGTTCTTGACTGCGTTTGCGTAATCCCCTTTCCGTAGCAGCCATCGGGGAGACTCGGGGATGAGCGCCCAGAAGAACAGAGAAAACGCCGGGAAGATGAAGCCAATGCCGACGGGGATCTTCCAGCACCTGTCGTCCTGGTACTTGCTCGTAACGTCTGTGACTACGGACGCGATGAAGGAGGCGAACACGCCGTTGACGCCGTAGATGGCCGTGAGCGAGCCGCGGACCGGGGCGGGGGCGATCTCGGCCTGGAACATGGGGATTAAGAACGCCTCCATTCCCACGTGGAAATTGACAATCATTCGGCCGGCGAGGAGTTGACTGTAGTTCTTTGCCGTGTATACGGTGATGGTTCCGCCCAAGCATACAATGTTGGTCAGGACGAAGACCAGCCTTCGACCCCAGCGCTCGCCGATCTGGGCGCCAACGATCACGCCCACGGCATAGATCAGCAGAGGGAACGAGTTCATGTAGGCCAGCTTGTTGGAGGTGAATCCGTAGTCATGCGTCTCGGGTAGAAAGTCGCCGAATCTCTTTTCGAATGCTTTCCCCCAACAATGTCAGTATCAAGCGAGCCCACTGGGGGGCATTCAAGGGATACTCACGCGTCATGGCCTGAATGGTGTTGAGTGTTGAACCTTCATATCCGAAAGTGAAGACACTCATGCCGAATATCATGGTGACCATCAACAGGTTCGACGTGATGTGTGTCGTCACCTTGTAGTTGTGTGTGCGGAGGAAGTCGAGCATGATGGGCAGGTGTTTTGATGCGACGTCCAAAAGAAGATATTCGCAAGATCAACTTACTTCTTTCCCCTTGTCTTGGCGTCCGTCGTTTGTCTCTGTTCCTCGTCGCAAGAAATCAAAGACGGCCGACCACACAACGGGCTGGGCATTCAATCTCTTTTATGAGCTGGGCTGAACAGCCTTGCCTTGTACCATGGGATGCGAGGAGATTATGTCTGGACAAGGCGGCCTGGGCTTAGGGTTCACGGACAACGAGGAAACCCAACCCAAACCCTCAGACCCCGGAGTCGCGATTCTTCAGCCGGTTGTTGGAGTTTACCCACGTTCCGACAGGTTTCTTCGGGGCACATCGGCATCCCTGGCGCTCTGTCCCCCAAGGATGTTCTACACATCGTTTCAATCCAGGCCGTCATCCTGATCATGAAGCATACAGCATCCCAAGTTCCAGGTCCACCTCGCGGCCAGAAGACGCTGTGCATCCCCAACGTCGTCGAATAAAATATGGGATGCGGCCATCATTGTCATTGTATCATGTGCCAGAATTCTCCCACGGCGTTTCGTCAACACTGGACACCCCGGCCTGCCGCTCAAGGCGCGAGGCGCGAGCTCTGCAATGGCCCAGCAGAAGGAACCCCATCTTCCTTGGTCCCTCCCGGGTGTACCGCATGATTCAAAGATTCCATTGGTGGTTTCCATGCAGATTTGGATTCACGGGACTGGGCCGGATGCGCCTCCACCACTTGGCGACGACTACCTACTAGATGCGTGTGGGGAGTACATGAGCATCGTCCGATATGTTTACTTTCGAGTAATGCCGAGTGACCCCCTTCTGTGAAAACCAAACTGATTCACCGGCCGAACAAGATTCCCATTCAGCCTGATTGGGATGTACCATTCGCATACAAGCCAGACCGTGGATTTCGGTTGCGCCTAGCCTTCAATCAGCTAGAACTGTTCTAATTCGGCGCGTTTATGATGACAAACAAGCTGAGGTTCTTGTGGTGTTAGTAAGACACCCACTTGGCATCCACGGAAACTCTATAAGCGGCCAGGGTGGCTAAAACCTTCGCAAAAGATATAGGTAGGATGGACTCGGCCCCGTTGGAAATTCATGCCGATGATGGCATTGCAAAGAGATGCTCCTGGGCCCAAGTCAAGCATCCCCCACTTCTCCCCTAGCTCTTTTGTCAACACATTCTTTGAAATGTGTGTGCTCCCGCGTAGCAACCCTTGAGGTTGAACCCCGCACCCAAGAGCCTCAACCTCAACTACCGATGTGACCTGACACCGAACCCGTATGATTGGCATGCCCAGGCTTTACACATCAGAGGAGCGGCTGTGCAAAAGAAAAGCAGCAATCCCCGTTGATAAGTGCTGATTTGACGTTGCACCGGGCCATCTCTAAAAATCTCCCGCGTGCGAGATAATACACCAATAATACCCTGCATAGGGGAAAACACTCTGCCCTTGGCCACATTACATTACAGCTTCGTCTTTCTATTGCTGAACCTTGATACCACCCATGGCATAGATCTCGGGAAATTTAGCTTGTAAGTTTCGGCTGGTCGATCGCCTTTGGCGGATAAAGCCTTGACCTTCGCCCCCCCCCGAAGGCGGGATGTGGCGCTTTGGCCTACAGCGAAACGTCTCCGCGTTTCGGCATCGAGGAGGGGAATAACTGGATTCGGGGAACTAGTAAACTCCGCCTGGAGTTTTTCTTATTGGGTAATAAGTCCTGCTCCTAGGTCGCAAGTTTGCACGGTTTGGGAGAGCTCAGAGAGGCCAGCGAGCATCCCCCTGAGAAGCTTAAAAATCTGTCGTCGGACGAGACGGCGTGTCAGAGCAAGCCGCATGATCTGATCATTGACCGCCCAGACCTCATGATACACGGTGCTTTTGATATTGACATTTGCTGCTATTGGAATCCTACTTTGAAGGGACGTGGAAGATGGTCGAGGGCCCTGGATCTTTTCTCGGGGGAGGCAGATCAGAATTCTACAACACTCCAGCAAACTAGACCTAGGAAATCTGACAAACAGGCCTCTAAACTCACTCCCGTGAGACACTGCTAACGTCATCTCCATGATCGGAATAGTCCAAATGTCATACGATGAAATCGGCTCGCTTCGGTACGAAGTGGAAGCTATTCGGTGTACAGCAGCAACAGACAGACACATACATTGCCGACGCAGGCTCAAACCCCGCACCTCGGACGAATTTTGTACGCCCATTCGGAACCTCAAGAGAGTTTTCTTCCAAGGCTCCATCATTGCGGTCAGACGTGCAATGTGCCGGGCACTAGGAAACATTACCCGCCTTTCCCGCCCCCGCGCCAGGTAAAACTTGGCCCCAAGAGGACGGACAATAGCACTAGAAAGTCAAGGATTCTTCACGTAATGTCACTGGCGCCAACGTTGAAGTGAAGATTGACCACTCCACTAGTCCGCTTATTCTTGCCTGCTGTGCGTTGCCCAAGACCAGAGTCGGCAGGGATATGCCCAGCACCCTCAGGGGTAGAGCGGGATCATCACCCTGCGAGGTCGGATTGCGAGATTCGATTGAGCCGGGCGTGTGGAATTTGATGATGCTGCACCAGTGTTCGCAAGCAGTTTCGACTGGTGCATCTCTATGGCCTTGTTGGAAGCTGTTCTCAATGTGCTTCTGCTTCTGCTTCTGCTTCTGTCAGAGAAAGTCTCAACCGGGTGTCCTCAGATATGCCGACAGCGATTGAGGTGGCACACCAGTGCAATTGCCTACGACCTGTTACCTTATGATGTCTGTCTGGTGCACCAAGACGACCGGCGGGGGTTGTGAAGTTTGGAGTCGAGCTTCAGCAGGGAAGAACGCACACGCACCATGTCATCCCGCTGCCAAGCAAAACGTTGTGGGGAAGCCAGATCTGTCATGATGTGGCAGCAAGGTGCACATCCCGCAGTCTTGGCGAAATGGAATACTCGATCAACACTCATCGTGGTTGATAGATCTACGACGCCCTCAATAGTTGGAACACCCAAGTCTTCCGAGCCTTGACATCCTTGCTCTAGGGAGAATCAAACCTCCAACGTGTGAACGGCAATGTGGAAACCGGCGAGGCAACCCTGCAGTTGATCCGGCCAGCCAGCATACCCGTATATTCCAATATCAAAGATTTCACGTTCCGCGCTAGATGCACCCAGCACGCATGATAATCCGGGGAGCCAATAATAATTGTCACCATCATGTTTCTGTGCCAGAATTTAATCATCTACCTAGTAGCAATTATGAGTGGGCGTTCAAGGTCTTCCCTGCTGGTTGATAACGACACTTTACCAGCCAGGCTTAGGCTATACAATGACCATGAGATGACAGAGGCTGGAGCAATCGGGTCTTTTGCTCTCTTATTATCCATTGTAACGCGGTGCCTACCATATGGGATGAAAATGCTACAATTGGCGTTGAGCGTTGTACTGGCCGCCATCAGACGACTTTTGCCCCATTGACTCGCACGTTCAATGCGAGGCTGCGATATTGGACCGTCTTCTTCCCGTGAGGCGAGTTATGTAGACCGAAATGTCCATGGGAAAACCCGGGAAGGTTAATAGAATGGGAATATGACGGCACGGGTTCCTGCACTTGAACCAACCGAGAAGTGCCGTGAGTGTGTGTGTATGTGCGCGCGCCTGGTCTCATCCGAAACCTGATACGCGAATGACATGAGCGGCTGTTATGAGCCCAGATGGGATTTTTGACGTCACTCGCTGTGGTAAAACGGAACGCTGGTTCCGATCAATTGGCCAGATGTCTTGTTGAGACTGGAACGAGTGAGGCCGAGTATGGGATGAGTGCTGCACTCGGCGAAGGGTTCCGATTCGTTAACGGATCTCTCGTGCAGCCTCGCCGTGCTGTAGGTAAATTAGTCGTGCCCTGCCCCCGCCAACCCAAGCCAAGGTCAGTTCCCCTTCTGATCTGGCCTTGAGACGCTTCGCGATGAGTTTTGCGGCTATATCATTGCACTTTGCTTGCTCGGCTTGATGACCGCCCCATGAGGAGTTTTGTGGGTATGTAACGATTATGTTTCGAGACATCTTCACATGTCCGAGACTGAAGCTGCTCTCAGCAATTCCAATCCCAGTCCGGACCGACTTTGATCACAAATCTGTTGGTCAGGCCCCAAAACAGTGCAATTGACAGTAAACAAGAGGCGTAGGGTCTCACAAAAACGGGTACGTCGGCCATGGCAGGCAGGTCTGAGGGCGTCAAACAACCCCCAACGTTTGAAAGTCAATCTTCAACAACAACATAACAGCCCGAATGCTTCGGTTTCAAACTTCAGCGTTTCGTAACTCGACCGGGAACCCCCAACATTCCTTACCGTTGCTTTTTGTCATTCCCTCTTCCGATTGTACTCAATTCATATTATTTCTTGCCAGCTACGGCATTGCTTGGTTGTTTCCCTCTTGCACGTACAGTTATTCGAGAACGCGTCCAAACTTCAGGTCTAACCACCAGGATGCTATGATAAACGTCGGTGCATTGGCCCATTCTCTGACTCTCTTTGATTGTCATTCTTCATCATTTCGATATTATTTGAAATTGCCCATTGCTATGCAACTGAAGTCCCTACAACGTTATTCCATACGATGTTACTGGGGACATTGCGACTAATATTTAACTTTACGGCCATGTTCTCTCCTTCCAGTGATTTCAGGTCTAATTTCAGATTATATATTCTCAGCGTGAAAAGAGTGATAACAGTTTTGGCCAGATGAGATGAACCAGGCTGAGGTTCGAAGTTTGCCCGAGATGCACAATGCCATGCGTGTCCCTCGCGGCAGCGACAACAATGCCAATGATGGATGATGCTATGACCGGTGATCGTGGCGAAGAGTATGAAGACTTCTTTGACCTCCCGGTGTTTTCTGGTATCTGTATTGGGATGGGCGGTAAACATCTGCTTCGCAATGCCGATGACGCCGCAAAACATCGTGATATAGCCAGGCGCTAAGGAGATCGTTTCCAGACACAAGCTTCGCAGCCCTTCCACTGCGGTTTGCTCTTTCTTCGGGGCTTCCCTGCTTGCTCCTAGGGATGTCGAAGGCGTTTCTGTTCTCTGGGTCCCGGGTATATTGCTGGTGATTTATTCCAGAAAGCTGGTCTTCTTCAATACCGAAACAACGGTGCTCGTCGATGATGTCGATGGAGCAAGTTCCTCCGAGGGCCGCGGAGTTATGTTGTTCTTATTGGTCATTTAGTGAAGTCTTCGGTTCTTGTCTCCTCATCCTTATCCTCCTTTTTTCCGGTTCTTTGCGACCAAACGGTTTCTTCTTTATAAAGGACAGCACGAATGATCGGATGATCGCCACAGCCACGACGTAGCCAACGGCAATGATCTTGAGGTTTTAGTCCTCCAGTAGAGATACTCTAACGATCGTTATCATTGCCAGAAACAATATGCACACTATGCCGCCAGTATACGCGAACGCCTTGCGTTTAATTTCTGGATTGGGATTGAGAGGAGCGGTGCTGTTGAACAAGGAGACCCAAGTCCAGATCCCGATAACATTGCTTATCAAAGCAGCTGTGCCGTAAGGGAGGAAGAAGTGCTGCAAGTCTTCTGCGACTGAGAACGGGCCCCCCAGCGTCACGTTGCAGCTGGCATGCCCCTTTCCGTCGTTAATGCAGATAGGTTGATAATTGTCCGTGTTGCACAAGGTGACCAGCGAACCCGAGTACCTAATCAACGGAAGAGCACCCCCGCCTCGTAGAATATGGATTTGAATAAGGCAGTCAAAACAGATTAGTTGCGATGATGGTCTCAGCGCCATAAGTTCGAAAAGGTCGAGTTATGATGGGTGCGGGAGTCTTGATAGTCCTCCGACCAATACTACGGGTTCTGCAATATATCAAGTACTGCCCAGTCGCCACATAGATGAGGTGTCGCCACGCTGGGGCAGAATCCGACGTTTTCGGTGTCCCCCGTCGTGCCGGTTTGAGACAACAGTCAATAATCAAGAGTGTCTGCTGGCTTGGCTGTGTTGACATCGACAACAATAAGGATCAGCGGCCAATCACACACTACAAGCGAGGCCAATCAAGATATGAATGGATTTTTCTTATGAAATTAGTCCATTCTTATAGCGTGCACCAAAACGGTTTTCCAGCATAGCTAAGCTTTGTCCCGGATCAGAAACCCACTCACAGAATATGAGCCTCTGACCCCCTTACTGAACACGTTCGAAAACACGTGATAGGAGAACATCTGTTTACGACCACAATCATCGAGTATATCGATCAGGTCACAACGAGGGATGCCTTGGAATATGGTTCAGGCATTGAAACCCGTCTCTGAGGTCTTCTTTGCTCCGCTATCACGGAGTTCTCACCACCAAGGCTTGCCCACGGGGCAATGGCCATGTCTGGATCCTCGTACATGGGGCTGTTCGCTCCTCCATTCCGGGTGGCATCACATGCCGCTTTCCTCAGCAGACACAAAATGGGCTAAGGTCATTTGCCGCAGTATCTATGCAAGCTTCAGTTGCGGGGAAATGGCCAAGAACGCCTCCACGGCCGTCGGTCCGTCACGCCTTGGCTCACAAGCATTTACGCTGGCTGATACTCAAGCCAGCATATCGGGTATCCACAATTACTCAAGTAGATAGCATCTCATGAGCATGTATGCCCCTCATGGTTGCCTTCGCAGAAGTTATTTGGGCCCACTAGTGAACTTACCATGCAGAGAGGGTTGACAAGAGTCTCCCGCGGCATTCCCAAGCTGTCTCGGCCAAGGAAGTGTATGCCCTTGGCAAAGCTGCCCCTCAGAGGCTCACTGCCACAATTGACGCGGTGTCTTGATTCATACTTTATGCCAATGAACATTGGGCCGCTGCATTGCGATCTTCCATCCATTGTCCAATATGCCTCCTTGAGCCCTGACAGTGGTGACTGATGCTGGTGTTAATGAAGCTATTCATAAGGTCAAGGTCGGCGTCAAGTGATACGAAGTAGTCATCATTCTTGCCTACAATACTCACCTATACTAGAACCACCCAAATAGCTGGATGAGACCATGACACAAGGGATTTGCAGGGTTCATCTGCGGTTTTAGGGTAGGGCAATGCTTCGAGAAACGACATCTCGATTAACGAAGAGCTTAAAAGATGAGGCTGATCGGCCGACAGCGCAAACTGCTGGGGTTCTTCATCCACTTTACCGACGACGCAGGGATGACAGCTGCAAAAAAGCACGATCAGACTTCCACCTTGCAGAGCTCACTAATCCAAACGTTACTTTATTACCAGATGCCGTTGGACTCGTCCGTAACCCACTTAGTCGTCGAAAGTCTAAACCATCCTCTTCCTCTGATCCCATCGAGTGCCAGCTCGCGCCAATTCTGCCAAGGAGCGTCAATTCTGCCAAGGAGCGCCAAGGAGCGGAGACCACCAGCTAAATTTATCGCCCAGATATCTTTATCCGACAGCGACTTTGGAATGCACATGAAGTTGTAGATGAACGAGAGGCAACAAAAGAGCTCAGCGTTTGTTGCCACTTGATCCGCCAAGATGAATGAATCAATCAATCAGTCACCTAGCCTCCAGGTTTGAGGTCAATAAAAGGACTCGCATGGCCGCTGCAAATGCACAGCAGTAACCATCTACCAAGCGTCCTCGCTGTTCCCAACTTCAGTGTCTTTACTTCAACTTCATATCACAAAAGCTATAAACAACGCAAAGATGGGTCGAGAATCATGGCACTCATCAGACTCTGATGACCTCTCATTAAAATCCATATCATCCACCGAGTCGGTACCACCAGAATCAAAACGACGTTCTTTCAGGCAGAGAATAAAAAAGTCTCTGCGGAACATCGGACACCCACCCACTTACACCTACGACCTAGAACACGGCACCGATACTCGGAGTCCTGCTCTTGTCGGGCCCATGGGCTCCAACGCTCTCAACCAGCCCTTGCGGTTATAGGAGCTTCAGGTCAAGACGCGGAAAAACAGCACCAGAGTTGAACGAGAGCAAGAAATAACAGATACTGTTTGATACAGAGGGCACAGTTTGCCCAAGGATACCTTGGCGGTGATACGCTGGAATATGGGTTTTTATGTATGGATCTACCAGGAGCAGGGGGAATATCTTGAAATCGTGTTACAGAGGAAGATATATTGGCGATAGTTGAGCGCTGCACAAGGAAGGGGGATTCGGTTACCTTGAGGGGGCCGCTGTTCAGCCACCGGAGAGGCCATGTTCTTACCTTGGAAAAGGAATAGGACATCATGTACTCGGACTGCTTAATTGAAACCTGCAGCTGGCGTTTTACGCCCTGCCACATCTACACTCCAAAGCTTTGTATGATGTCGTGAACCTGGAAAATCTTCGTGTGGCTGGTACCAGTGGTAAGCGCCACAGATGTGGCATACCAACAGATAGGCCCACATCGGGAAGACTATTTCTACCCGATGTTCTCCTTGTATGTATCCGTAGACTTAGAGAAATCAACCACTTCTCTCTGAAATGACCAGACACTGCGGTTCACCACACATGATTACCCGTATGTCTGCTATTGAGAAGTCATCATCAATGAATGGTTGTCCGCGTAGCGATCTCAAAGAGAGTGGGCTAGCTCAGCTGTAACAATAGATTAGAGAAGCGGCCCGCATGTAGGCTGCAAGTTGAGAAAACTCTAAATTACAAATATACATTGGGCTACCGGGCGACGCAGATGACTGATCCCACTTATATAATTTCATCGCCAAGTCTCTAGTCGATTTTTAACCTGCCCTACTGCAAAAGAGTCCCGAGAACGATGTTCGGATCCGGCAGCCGCCATTGTCATCATTGATATCTGTTATTTAAAGAAGTCATCCTGACAAGCTTATTTCTGAAACGAGGTACGAAGTTGACAGAAAGCCGAATAGTAGGCGACTCCCACCCCTCCCCCCAATAATGAGGTGAAGCAGAAATTTCGACTTTCAAGAAAACCAATAAGCTACGGGAAATGCTTTCTCGACTTTGTCCCCCATTTGTTCGGTCTTGGTCCGGTATGTAATGGTACATCGGTTCCCCAATAGCATTGCCCTAGTCCTTAGCGAGACACGGGCAGGAATCCGGATTGAGGTTGTTGATCAAGTGATGTTGAGACTCCACAAGAGTCTAGACATCTCGAATGTGGCTTCAAGCTTTTCAATAACTCCACGGATCACCTCCCGCCCCGGCCTGCTCCATGTCCCCAAATTCTGCACCTTCAACATTCGGTTGTGCGCTGCGTACGGGTTCATGCGCCGTGTAAGCACCGACCAATTAGGCCATACGCATCACTAATTACATGGTCCGAGACCTCAGTTCCAATTGGACCACAACGTTAGATTATATCACAGGGCTGAGAGGGACCGGACGGACATGTCACAGTCTGTATTTAGATCAGACAAAAAGCAAAATACATACAACACCAGGTATTCGCTGGTCGTCACCGACCCAACTACTAATCCGGCCCTCACTGGCTTATCTATGGGAGAGCGGACGGGATCCCGAGTTTTCCAGTGGGTATGGTCGTATGTGCTTTGAGATGCTTTCATCTGCATTCATATAGTAGATGCGTCATGGTCCATGCGCCGCGCTATCTGTTGGTCCGTTCAACACTCTCTCCTCGGTGCACTTCCATCGTCCTGGCAAAATCACTTCCAGTGGCACGTTAAGATACAGGACAAGGAGCAAGAGGATTTCACTTTGTTTGTCTTCTCTAGGTACTGATCCTGGGGGGGCATAGATAGACGGCCCTTAAACCAGAAACTCGTCAATGCAACCAAACGACTGGGCTGGCCGTGGATCAAGCAGCCTAATTATAAGAACGGTGATAGCAGGGAGTAGGAGATACTAAAAAAAGATCGAGGTCGTGCACAAGCCGCGGGTGGTAAGCGACGAGGGTAAGGACGGCCAAGAGGTCGTGCGAGTCAGGACGGCGTCGCTGTCATTCCTTGTCATGCCGTTCCTGTACCATACCGTGCACGTCCAGAACGATTACACGCTTCGCGAGGCCGGGCCCGTAGGCAAGGTTGTCAAGAAGTGGATAAAGAAGGCGAACTGCAAGACGTACTCGTGGAAGGAAGCCGGCGTGGACCAGCCGCGAGACGAAGCTTTGGTTCGGGGTAGAGGACTCGGTTGCAACGGCCAAGACGCTGGACTTGGCATACGAGGCGGCAGGACTAAAGCCGTGGCCAACAAGTACGAGGAAGGCTAGAGGATGATTATGTATTATTTGTTCTGCCCGGTCAGACTTTACTCATCCTCATCTGGGGGAAACACCATCTCCAGCTCCGGCGGGGGATACACAGCCGCCGCGCGGTATTCAGTCATCATTTCCTCCCATATCTCCCGGTCCTCTGTGTCCACATCCGCCCTGGTCAGCCACTCCTTTACCGCAGCATACTGCCTGTCTGCACGTTCCCGACACCACCACAGATTCGGAAACCTCCGCATGAGACCCGCCCAGTATCCGTACAGCCACCACGCGCGAGGATGTTCGGTGAGCAACAGCGCGCGAAAATCACGCTGCGCCTTGAACATGAAGGACAGGTAGGACACCGAGTTGGACAGCGTGGGTTCGAGGCCGCGAATCAGCGCCGTCGTGCGCACCAGGAGGCGGACACTGGACGCGAGCGGAGGAGGGCGTGAAGCATGGGACGAAGCGTTGGCAGGAGTGGAGAGCTGCGCAAAGAGATCCTCCTCATCGAGATTGAAGAACCGCGTCCACAGTCTGGGTACCGGCGGCGGCACTCGTCCCACGTTTGGGGACACGGTCCCGCCGACCTGCGGCGAAAAGATGCTGATGAGGAACTGGAATGCTCGCGGGAGATATATGAGCACCGACTTCATCAGCGGGCCGATGCCGGCCTGGAAGGTGAGCCAGCCTAGATCTGCGTCATGGTCACGGGACAGCCAGGGGCTGCTGCTCACGACTCTGGTCTCATGCTCGGCTGGAGACAGGGGGAAAGTCAGGAGGCTGAACAGCATGGCCCCGAGAATCATCGCGTTGACGCCAGTCTGACCAAGCTGCGCAGTCGTCAGGCTGAGCTGCTGTTTATACTCGTCCAAGGCTGCTGCGCGGTGGGAATATTCAGCAAGTACGTATGGCTGCTGGGCCGCGTGGACGTGTCGCAGATGCGAGGCGGCGATGGCATGACAGACGCTGCGAACTAGGGGACTTGACCTAAAGGCGGACAGGAACGCCTCGTTCTGGTCAAATCCAGGAAAGATGTCCGCCCAGTGCGCCTGGCAGTGATGGAGCAGCTGCTTGCTGGGCGTGCCGGGCACCTCGTCGTCAGAGGACGGGTGCAAGGGCAAGGCGGGGATGTCGGCCGGCGCTTGTGGATAACGGCAGACCCGGCGGTTTCTGTGGCATCGGGCACAGACAGGTTTGGCCTCGTCACACTGCAGTCCCGTTAGAAACCAGTAGATATGTAGGTGAGTCTGGAACAAGGGCACCTTGACTCGCTTCGCCTTGCACATGACGCATCCTGTCGTGGATCTGGCGTGCTTGACCTGCCTGCGATAACCCGGTACCTCCGGATTAAAGTCCTTTGTCGAAAGCACGCGGAAACGGTTCATCCTGGTACTCGTCCCTGTACGCAGAGAGCTCGGTTACCCGAAGAAGAAGAAGGAAGGTCGGAGCCAGGCTTCAGGTGGTGAAGGTGGTGATGCAACATAGCGGGCTTTCATAGAGCGGCGTCCACGCTATTCCAAAAGTAGTAAACGAGCTGGAGTTAATGTAAGTAAGCATGGGCGCATAGAGTCTTATTCGCGTTGGCCTAGAGTGCTGACTGGCTGCACATAAGCTAGGCATAAAGGCGTTCAACATATGGGTGGTCAGATTCAAGGGCCAGCAGTGATATAAAGCTGGTGCCAAAGCCCGCCACTGGTAGTAGATATGCTCACCAGAGCATCATTCCCCAATAGAAAACACAATGCAAAGCAAAGCCACTTCAAGCGTTAACTCGCGGGATCAGGGCCCCATCACCACTGGGCCCCTTGCTCTCTTCATCCGCAATCAGTTCCGCACCACCATCCCACTCCCTACGAAGCAGACGTACCCCGATGTTGTCGGCAAAGTGGCTCTCGTCACGGGGGCCAACTCGGGCATCGGCCTCGAGGCTTGCCGGCAGCTTGTGTCTCTGGGTCTGTCGCACCTGATCATGGCTGTGCGGTCCCTTGAGAAGGGGCACGCAGCTGCCAAGCAGGTCGAGCTCTTGGTGCCAAGTGGCCATACCACCAAGATCGACGTCTGGCAGCTGGACATGGACTCCTACGAGTCTATCCTAGGATTTGTCCAGTGCTGCAGCTCAGAGCTCGCCCGTCTGGACATAGCCATCCTCAACGCTGGCCTGTCTTCCCAAAAGTTCTCGATACTCGCCACCACGGGCCACGAGCCCACAGTCCAGGTCAACCACATCAGCACGAGTCTCCTCGCAATCCTCCTTCTTCCCGTGCTCCGGGACAAGTCACCGGCGAACACGCCAGGCAGACTCACCATCACTAGCTCCCTGACGCCACACTTGGCCAACTTCCCCCTCCAGGATAAGCGGCCGCTGCTCAAAGCCTTTGACCAGCCGGACAACTGGCTCGGCGACCGCTATGCCCAGTCCAAGCTTCTCAACCAGCTCTTCATTGCCCGCCTGTCGACGGTTGTAGACGCAAACAAGGTCATCATCACGCTGGTCGAGCCGGGCCTGGTAAAAGGCACTGAGCTGTTCAGGCAGGTGCCGGGCCGTGCGATGCTCAAGGGTGTGCTGAACTTGGTTGGGCGGCCAGTCGACCAAGCCGCAGCGACATATCTTGACGCCGTGCTGGCCCAGGGGAAGGAAGCACACGGGTCATACGTGATGAACTGCAAATTGGCGCCGTGAGTATACCTTTACCTTTTGTGTTCCGGGGCATGCACTAATGAGCTGACTGCAGGTACTGCCACTGGTACTACGATGATGAGGATGGCACCCTTTACAAGAACGCGATCTGGGAGGAGACCCTGAAGGAGCTCGAGTTTGCAGGCGTGGATCAAGTTATCCAGTCAATGAAATAGAGCACCCTGCAGAGCGATTGTGTAGCAAGAACACATTATCTTCCAAAGCCATTGTTGGGCGTAAATGCAAGGCGTGACCTATAATCATTACTCTAACTCATTTGTGTGTAGCAACTGAGACAAGTTTGCGATAGAGACAAAATGTTGTCATGAGTTAGAGCACACAGCAGGGCATATGAGGATTCAGGTCTAAAAGGCTTAATTCAGTGTAGGTGAGAGTAATGAAAGTGAAGACCTATATATAGGGAACGAATGTGAAACACCACGTGATAAAGCACCTGACAGTGCTGTTACATAATGTGGAAATACATGAAGCTATCTTGACAAATGTTGTTTTTGTGACGGAGGAATGTTGAGGATCCTTCCTAAGTCAAATCTTGCCGGAGTTGAGTCGGCAGGCCAGGGAAAAAGATAACCCGTGAAGAATATCTAACGCTTTACCCATGCCGGCTTATAGCCCCAAACAGTGTAGCCGTGATGCCCTCCATGTGTTGCCGGGTGCGGTGAGATACCAGTGATCGAAATGAGACATCCCTTCACAGGCAGCCATCATTCCCTAAGCTACTATCAGTGCCAAATACCGTCCTTCCCGAGCTTGCTGGACACCACAACTCAAACAGCTATTCAGAAGCAAGCAACCTTTGTGAGAGAAGACACAGCCGCCCGCTAAGAATTGAGCTCTTCGATCCCCATGCGTCATGTAGATGTTAATCATTTTTCTGATTAGTGGCATACCAACCTTCCTGATGACGATCTGTTTTTCGACGTCCGTTGGTAGCGGGCTGTCAACATCATGTGCACAATCCCTCGAAACATCAAGACACAAGAAGTTCAAGATGGCCTCGAACGCATTGACGGAAAAGAAGTATCCTGAAACTTTCACATCGAAAGAGATCAATACCTCACCGCAGCCTTCGCGGAGAGCTGCCGTTAAAGAAAGGGGCTGTGTCAGGGCCGATCGGGTTATGGGCGCGACGTCCCGGGTCGACAAATCATCCTGCTGCTGTTCCGATGCGTGTATGTGAGTATCGCTCTTGTGGCTCAGATGCTTGTAATACCTCCCCTCGTAGATAAACGCACCCTCACAGACGCGGAAGGTGAACGCTGCGTCTGTGGGAATCTCGAGGTCCTCCAGGACCAACGGGTAGATACTAGAACCTTTGGAACTTTTCCCGATTATGTCGCTCTCGCTCTCGCTCTCTCTCCGCTCATGCGGACCGTTCAGACTTAAGAAATCACTGTAGCCAAGCCGTGGCGATGATTCATGTCCACCTTTCTGTGAGAAGATCTCCCCGCCCAACGAACCTAGCGTCCGTAGAATATCTCTCCCGTCTATCGTAGGGCTGCTTCCAAACAGCTTCATCTTCATGGTAACGGGGCCTTGTGGCTCAAGGACGCAACACATGATGCTTGTCGAGAATATTTTTCCAACCGCTCTGGAAAGGTCATCTGCGGGACAGCGACGGTAGTAATTTCCCCAGCTCATGACCGGAGCTTCACATTTGCCGCAGGTGCATTCGACGGGCCCAAGAGTTCGCACCAAGATAGACGAGAATCGTAGCCAGCTTCCAACAGGGCCAAGGGTATTGCCATCTGGGGTGTAGTGACATATGTCCTTGAAAGTGACAGAGATGCGACGCTGATAGTCATGCCCAAGTAGCTCTTTGAAAGTCTTTCGGGGCTTTGACATTTGAAAACGAAAGTATGACAGTTTCAGATGCGGTGTAATCTGCACCATAAATTGACAGAACGCCTCAAGAAACTCCTGCGTCAAGATGAGACCATACTTGCCGAGTACGACACGTAAGGCCTCTGGCACCCAGCCGTCCCAGTGATACGATAGCCTCGAGATGTCATGATAGCTCAAGCTTTTGGTGATTGGATTTGTGAAAGAAACAGGATCTGGGAACAACTCAGTCTCGACTTGCACCAGCGTCGGGCCCTCTGCCGCTATCTCGACAATTACCCGCCGGCCTTCATTGTCGTGAATGACAACCGACTCGACCACAATCATAGCCGATTGTGGAAACATGAAAAGAATGAGGGCGCCAAGGTAGATGATCCCTATCGACCCAGATACCCGGACGATATGTCTGTCCTGCTGCAGGTTACTTAAACACTCTAACAGCTGAACTATGGATTCCGTAGTAGGTATCTCGAGCAGATCTCCTGGTGACTTCTTACCCAAGTGATCATAGACTGACAGAACACGATGTGTTTGCTGCGCCAAGAGGTTTCCGATGGACAGCCTTCCGGCTTTGGCGGCAACCAGATTGGCCACGTCCGCAAGGTGCACCGGGTTCGATGCTGGCATGCTCTTCGGGAGCAGCGAGGTGCAGAGTTTCGAAAGGATCAAGCCGTACTCCTGACGATTGTAGATGCCATCCAAAGCAGTCATCAGCAACGAGATCGCCTGACCACCAGCCGAATCGCCGAGCATGGAGACGGCGTCCCCACGGCGCCAGCCGACGGATAGAGACAAACGGCCAATTGAGTGAGACATGGCGTTCTTCAGGACCTCGGGAATCAAACCGGCGTTCGTCCCGTTCACGTGGAACAGCAAGCCGAGGTTTTCGAGCTGTATCATAGCGATCGGGTGGACATCATCCGCCGACATAGCAGATAAGACGGTTGAGAAGGCGCCGAGGCCTGCAAATGCTAACGTGCCAACATCGGATTGCAACTGAACGGCCATTTCGATGATTCCCGACAGCGCGATGAATCGAGCAATGGTCATCATGTACTTGGAAGTTGTGAATTTGCTAAGTTCACGCTAGAAAGAGGGGGGAGGGGGTTTTCTTTCCCCGCTGATTCTGCCAAGCTCGTTCCCTTGGAGGGAATCTAGGCGACATCATGATATGCAGGTGAGATTTAACTGTCCTATTAGATCTTTATCCAACAGCAGGGTTGTAACAACGACGCTCATCTTGGAATTTTAGAGCTAACTGCCTGAAGAGGTGCATCAAACGTAGCATTAGTAAGAACGATAGTAGAGCAGAATTTACTATTAGAAAGACTGTTGCAAAATCCTGTTTTATAATGTTCTCTTATCTGAGTGTATATTCTAGATTCCTATCGTAGAGGGCTGACCCAGTGCTCACTGCCTAGATAAGACATGACCCGGATTATGGCGTTGCCTGTTGTTCCCATAATCCCGTAGTATAAACGTCCTGTCGTAGCGGCCCAACGCTTAAATTAGGATCGGCTAATTGCTATCCTTGTGTACAGGTTGTACCTAACACAAAGATAACCTCCCGCCTAACCTAACCTATAACCAGAAGAACCCTTAGTAACACAGACACCACATTACCAGAGGTGGCCCGCGATTTTTCAATGTCAAAAATGCCACCAAAGCTTGCTGTTCTCTAACCTTATCACACGATCTTAACGGCAAAACACAAAAAAACATACAACACCAGGTATTCGCTGGTCGTCACCGACCCAACTACTAATCCGGCCCTCACTGGCTTATCTATGGGAGAGCGGACGGGATCCCGAGTTTTCCAGTGGGTATGGTCGTATGTGAAAGACTGGCTATCATGAGTAAGCTATATAGTCAAGCACAACCAGATTTAGCAGCAAGGTTGCAGCGGCGGTGTCTATGTATTTCAGTCTCGATTCTTAGGCTTCTTTCAAACACCTAACGATAGGGCCCTCCTGCGCTAGTTGTAAAACACCGACACCGGAAGTTTACTTAAAGAACTGTAGGAAGTGCTCCACGACGCCGTACTGCTCCCGAGATGCAAGAACATGGGCATAAATACAAACGGTGGTGCAATCTGCGCTGCGCCGTGGACAAGAGTAATATAATCAAGCATTAATCTGACCCTCGATAAAACCGATAGCCCTTAAGAGAAGGCAATTACTACCGTGAACTCAAATCCGACTTCGTGAAGTGCAACAATCGCACCCCAGTCCTTATAGCCAGCCCACCCATGTTTGAAACCCTGCTCCTTACCAGCTCGGTCGTCCGAGGACTGAGACATCCTTTGTAAGACAACTGACATTGCCTGTTGGAAAACCACCATTCAAGCTCGTCGCACCAGTTCATCTTGAACTAACTCTCGCAATCTAGCTGGGTTGGTTGTTTTTGGGCCAAGATAGCCCGAAACCCTCTAGGGCCATCGTCTGTCAACCAGCATGAGAATCGTCGAGTCCCCTGCTGAGTCTAGTCAACTGAATTTTTAGTCAGGTTGACCTTTTTTGTTAAGGGGATAATTGACTACAGGCTTCATGCAATGATAGGTAACATGTTCATACCGATATTCTGTGCCTGAGATGTGCCAAAAGCAAGGACCAGACGACGATTGAGATACCTTAGTGTGCCGAAAATGAAGGACTAAATACAAATCCAAGTCCCTCCACGAGATCTCGTTGGTAAGTCACACAATTGCAGCTCGGGCGGTTGGCCAGTTACTGGGGAATGCGGTCCCAGATCCCCCAAGATCGGGGACTCTTCCAAACCCAAGACGTTTGAAACGGCTTGGGTTCACTTGAGAACGACCGAAAATGAGGAATGGGGAGGTTTTCCCTCGCCGGTGAAAAATGAACATGAGATGAACTGGAAACCTTCCCGGTTCCTGTGTACCTATGGAAGCCCTCTGACTGGTTGTCGTCTCGTGATCATAGGAAATTGGTGCAGTTTCGAGTGGGACATCGAGGCATATAATCGAAGTCGCTACTTCTTCTGGCGACACTAGCGTAGCGTTCCCAACATCGTCAATATGCAAGATGGTGTGAACCATTGGTCCTTGAAGGACTATGGTTGGTGTTGCTGCATCATCAGGTCCTTGCATCCCCAAAGGTTCGGGATATTCCACAACTTCAGCCATTGCCACTGTGTCCTTCTCGTGAGCATCAAAATACATTGATATTCGCGCGGAGATGGAAGCCCAAGTCCACGAAGGCAAGCTGGGCGCACCGATACTGCCTGGCCGGATAGCGAACCAGCAGAGAGATGACAGGAAATCTCGTCTCCACAGGCCCCAAAGATATTGATCTTGGAGCTCCTCGCTGAAGCGATCTGCGACGGCCGTTATCGCGACCAACCTATCAGATTGATGCGTAAGTTGCCGGCGTGAGTAAATCCTGATGATGCGTGCCCAGACCGCGTATTGTGCGAATTCTTTGAGAATCATGTCCTCCCGTCCTTCTTTCATAAGAGTCTCGATATTGTAAGATTGAGTGTTGTGTTGGAGGCGCCCAGAAACCACGTCGTAGTAGACCGATTTGTATTCGCATTCGCAACGGGAGCCATCGCGACACTCCCATATCATTTCATGTGTGCCAAAAGAGAGATATCTCCTGGCCATTAATCGTTCCTGAAAGCACCAAGCACGGGTGTCTATGGGTCCCTGCACCACAGGTTCCCATCCAGCATGGTTCGGGATCACCCTGTATGTAACTGCTCCCGCACTAGGAAGACCGCACATGTCAAACGACAGCGTGCCCTCTCTGTATGGTGACCTATCCTGCAATATCGCTGTTGAGACATTGCCAGACGAACTGGTGGCTAACACGAGAGAGGCGTTTTCGTAAACGGTCTTCATGCTGGCAGCCTCTCTCGCCCAATCATCTCCATCATCTTGCACAATACACAGAGAGTCAATCCAGATGTATTTGAATCCCAATGCCAAAGTCACGGTAATAGCGTCTTTGAAATTGCGTGGAAGAGTGGCCGGGTCGATGGCCCGGATATGTGTTCCAATACTGTTGCGTCTAGTCATGGGAGGGCCGCCGCCATCGACGGGAGAGCCCCAGCAATGGCTCAAAGCAACAAAACTGCCAGGCTCATTGCTGGTGATTTGTAGACGGGGCGGGTCAGTGCTCACATCAACGATTCTCGTTGGTAGAGGTTTCGGTCTGGTGTGACACATGGAGTGCGACGAAGAGCAGCTTGTCATCCACTCCTGTGCTTGTTCAATGCAGGCCTTCGTCGCGTTGGTGTTCAAAACGGGGTAGTATGGTTTGAGGTAGTACCCGTCACTGTCTTCATGTTATTTTAGTTTCAGTTCAATCACAACAAGTCTCCGACAGAGGTCCTGTCGAACAAAGCTTTCAGCTGCGAAGAATCGAACGAAATTTGCCAAAAGAAGACTGACCAATGAGACTTCCGTCCCGTGCGAGAATGACCATCCGGACTTGGTTGGTCATGTTCTCATCACTGCCGCAGTTGAGCGTCAGTGTCAACTGGATGACACTGTCAATTTCGTTGTCGAACATGGACGCCAGAGCGAAAGCATCGTCATAGCCGTACTTGCTTATGGCGTCCTTTGCGACTGCTGCTCCAAGTTGACAAAGAGAGCAGCCGCCGGCCTCGGCACTGGCAAACCATTTCTCGACCAGCTCGACCCCATAGCCTTGTGGGAAAGGCAACTTGCAGTTGGCCCACGGAAAGGTTTTGCGACAGTGACAAGTGAGGCAGATGCTTTCTGTCTCTTCTTGTTTCATGGTGGATTACCCACGGCTTCCTGGAATACTTGCGCGTTTCGTAGCGAGGCTCACACTTGGGTGGAAGTGAGTTTGACATGCGAAGCGGGGAAGTTGACTGAAAGCCTCACATGATTATTGTCAGCTCAATGCCACCTTATTGGCCAGTTGAGAACGAATGAAACACATGAAGCCAGATGAAAGGATTATGAACCCAGTCGTCTGCCAGGCTGCCACTCCGCAAGTCCCACATTAGTGGTTGCATGAGGATATTTATTACCAAGCATGACTTCGTGATAGACAGCCAGTCCCGTAAATCTAACATTGCATGCTTTCATGACAAGCTTAATATCGTTAATGAGTTAAGGCTAGATCGCCTTACATCACGTAGCGTCCTAAAGCGCAACCTTGAGGAAATACGTATGACTGAATCACTTGTTATTGGTGGCTTTTAAGACGAACTGAATGACATGATGCTTATACAGCTTTCTGACTTCCTCCGAGTTACCGACCAATAAGTCTTAGTTGTGGGAGTCTTGACTTCCTACTCTTGAGGTTTTGCACTTCCCTCGTCGAAAGGCAAATCTCTATTTGAGCCCCACCTTGGAAATGGCAGGCATTTATTTGTATTACCTTGAAGAGAGCTACGTATTACCTCTCCGGCCTTGTGACGACCATGTCATGCGATTTCCAGAAAAGGCAGAACTGAAGCAGATTCATTCATAGAACCATATTCCACCTCTGAGTCAGGCATGCCTAAGACATACAATTGCACGAGTACATGGATCAATCCACATCATAGCTTAGGACAATACATCCAAGATACAACCCACAATACAGACCCCAAGGTGCCGTGCCTTACAGTTAGTAGCACAACCACGTGCCGACCAGCGACGACAGGAAAATTCAAGCTTAAGCTGTATCAGCTACTGAAATGAGTAGGAAAATCGCTGTCTATTACGGCCGGCTGCATCACCAGTCATACCCCCCAGAGTCACTCGCCACAAGACCAGCGAGGCTTTGCAGTTCAATGTTTCTCCTGCGTGAAATCCTCAAGACTCTGGGAGTCTTGGTCTAATTCCTCTCGGGAGAATGGTGAATTGACCATTTTGTCTGCAAACTTACACATATGTTGCTCGCCCAAGATCATGGAAATAGAAAAGAAAACGTTGCGGATATTTTGGTGCTGGCGACAACACCCTAATAGCACCTAGACTGAAAACACTTATAAGGGGGAAAGCTCCCCTGCTCTGTTGTTAGCATCCTACAGAAAACTGTATGCTAAGTCGGGTTTAGGAGAGTAAGCATTGGGGCTGTGTTGAAAGGTCTCCCTCAGAACTGAGAGGGCCTTAGCATTTGCAGTATTCCTGCATGCTAAGATGGGTTTAGACATTCATCAGTGGGACTGTAGGACTGTGTTGAAAACTTTCAACACTTTTAACATATATACGAGAAGTTATCAGGGGGAGAGACAATACTGCTGGCTTGGTTGAGGGAAGGACGGGTGTGTCTTCCCGCTTGTGATAGGACTCAGTGTTCCGTCAAGGAAGGTCAATGTCCCCCCTGTAGCGAGGTGCATGCTAAGCTGCCCTAAGAACGGTAATAAGAAAAGTAATGCGGAGCAGGTTTTGCCTTAACAGAGGTCATCACAAGACTCTTAGTATTGTAATTCTGAGTTCTCTATCCTTTTTTTCTCTTTCTCCTACGAAGAATGCCTGATGCCTGGCTGTTTTATTTAGAGCAGTAGGCAAGATTAATAGACCCTCTGGGGTTAGACACTAGTTATTGGTTCTAGACGCAGAAAATCAGTGTCACAATTGAGCAGCCCCTTGACGCCGTTATCTAATAGCAGCGTATGCAAGTTCACTTACAGCTCAGGCTCATCAAACAATTAAACTGGAAGAAGAAGCTGACTGAGAAGCAGATTGATATTAGTGCCTCTCCCTAACGACCCCACAGCAGTCAGCCAGGAGAGCCTTTCTCAATATTGAGACGGCCACAGACCTGGCTCTGGTTAAAAAAAGGGGGCAACAGCACAGAAGAAAGTACCTACCTAGTCCAAGCAAGGGTCCATATATAGAAAGAATAGAATAAACATCTACCACTATGCAAGGATTTGTAGTTTAATTAGTGTGGTCTTAATAATATGTTGTTTCTTACTATCTGCGTTTAATACTCCTATAATACAAGCAGTTCTATCTGTTTTATCTCAAGGACCACACACTGCGCCCCAGAGCTAACTGTAAAAACATAAGGTGTACAAGATCACTGTTCTTTTAGCACTAACTAAATCTAAGGATTATATAAAAAAAGAAACCCTCGCTAACCTCTAATAGATTCAAGCAAACGCCTTTTCAGGGTACCAGCCTATCTTTTCCCTCTGGTTTTGTCACATAAAAACGATACTGTTAGTTACGTAGGCAGCAACTAACACTTATATATCTTGTAACAGATTTCGTATATCGCAGGTAGGCCCCGCAATATCCGGACACCTAATTAGACATTCCTCACAATACCAGCTACTTGCGTGTACCTGCAGGCAACATCCCCTTCAAGTCTAGCAGTCTGTATATATCCAGCCAGGTAATCTCGGCTTATCCGTGCTTCCGTACACCCCTCCACCAATGCATTTCTCAACGTCCATTTGTGCACTGGTAAGGATACAATCCTTGTTCTGACAAATGCAAAGTCTTCAGCGTCAGGGGCCACCAAGGAGGTATTAGTGTTAATCTACTACATGCAAACACCACTACTTACTACTCAATATAACGACTCGTCTACTTTCTGCATGGTTGGCGATGATAACGGATGACTTACATAATACTAACGGCATGATACATGCGCTCTCACCCCTTTGCAAGCTGCTTGACATTCATGTAACCAACTTGTCTGTAGGAGGCTTGTGCTAACCAGCTACAGATGTCTAGTTGGGTTAAGGCTGTGAGCAAAGGGACCATCACCCTTGCCTCCAAACCGATCCCTGCCTGGCGGCTGCATCTATCCGTACTATGTAAGCCTAATTAAACTCTCTGAAGATAACCTTCCTGACGTATAGTAGTCTCTTAGTTAGCGCTAATCTATTACTCTGATTTTACCCCCTAGAAGACACTCCGTTTATAAATTAAATGTCTCCTCTGCACCCTTCTTCCATTGTAATAGCACAAAATTGAATTTAAGTGCGCGCTTACTAGAGCTTATGCCAGTACATAACCCTCTAATATCAAGGTATAGGGCGCACGCTAAGCCTAATGATTACTACCTAGCCGTTATTAGGAGAGAAAGCATAGAACAGGGTGCACAAGAACGCCTGCTAGCTAGTATGTTGATGGTTGTGTGTGAGTTTCAGAAGTGCTTCAAGGACATCAGCAGCACTATCTAATTCAAGCACTTAGTTCTCCTTCTCTGTAACAGCAACAACAAGTTATTCTCAGCACAATACTTCGATTTGCGTCCAGTATCCACTGTTCCTATAAGTGAGCTGGAACACGTAGCGCCTATCCCCCCGCTGCCCCCCCTGCCCACCCGGAGTCACTGTCGCTCCAGCATCACTTGCAGACTTGGACGACGTTTATATAAAGAAGCCGGATCTACTCCGTTTGGCTGCAGCCAACAATTTAGAAGCAACTCTTCTGGCAGAAATCAGAGTATATGAGCTAATCAAACGCCATCCACACCCAAATGTCGCAGATTATCATGGCTGCTTGTCGTTAGATGGTCAGGTTAATGGCATTTGCTTTTAACGTTACTAAGAGACGTTGATGGCAAAAGTCAATCACGGCCACCTCAACAAGTCCATGCTCATCCAAGCACCTGAGAGAACCGCAACTTGGAAGAAAGCGGCTTGCTATCTTACCGGCATCCAGGCAGGACTTCAACACTTGCATTCTTTGGGCATTGTTCACAACGACCTCACTCTGATGAATATTATGATTAACGAACATGATAACCTAGTTATTATAGACTTTGATAGTTGTCAAGCTGTTGGTGCAGCGCTGCAAGATGTAAAACGCACGTATGGATAGTATAATTAGGATGTTGCTGTTTCTAGAGAGAGTAACAATACCAACGCCCTAGAAGAAATCTGGATCTTCCTTACTGGTTTATCTCCTAAGGACTTTCTGTTCTTAGGTTAGACAGGCTTTTTGGCATAGGCATAAAGGGTAAAAGTGCTAGGAATACAAGCAGAATTATTAATTTAAACTATATAGTAAGAAGAGCTTAACGCGTGTTAGGCATATAACTAGCACTATCTCGCCATCTCATACCCAGACTTCTGTATTCAATCAACCTCACTTCTTAGGCGTCACGTATTTTTTCTGAGTTAGGGCAAGTGGAACTTCAGCAGTCTAAAAGCCTGCAAGTGATACTAGCAAAGCTATAATAATATCTTCTTAGTCCTTTGCCACAGATTAGTTACTCCTAGAGCTTAACGTTACTATTCTGTTCCTTAGCCACAAAGCCGCGGACCGCACTCAAAGCAAAGCGTGCCCACCACTCTACTGCCGCCACCGCCCTCCGTGTCAACGTTATCTGGCCGCAAACCCTTTTGACACATAATACACAACCCAGCCCCAGACAACAAGAAAGGGTAGTCCTCCCGGACAGAATCTACAACCACATGCTTATATGCGTTGTTACCTGCATGCTCATGCATAGCAGAGAGGTCCAGTACGGCCTCCAACCGGGCCAGCTTCCTCGTCTCCAACGCGCCCAGAGCCTCCAACACCGCTAACTCAGCCTTATTAATCATCATATCCCAGACATCCCGCTCCAACGCCAGGTGATTTCAGAAGTAATGTATTACCAAGTTCGTGTCAACTATCATCCAGCGTCGTTCAGTTAGCGTGCTAGTCAGCAAGGGGAGGTAGCGTAATCCTTCTTATACTAAGCAAGCTTCTCCCCCTCAAGGCAGTCAGCAACATAGGTCCAATTCACCTACACCACGTAGGTATCAAGCCTCTCGTAAGCCTCGTAGTTAAAGACAGAGGACCGGAAAATCGCGCTGACATCAGCTTTGGCGGTGACAGGTTCTCCCGCGGCGGCGAGCACGGGGGCCCCTCCGCCCAGGACGCCGCCGTATTCAGAGGCCTGCGTGTCCCCCCACCGGAAAGAGATAGAGGCTGTGGGGAACATGGGCATGCTCCGTAGGAAAGGCTCGATTTCGCCGCGGTTGATGGGGAAGTCAAGCCGGCGCAGATCTGGGACGAAGTGGCCTAGGTCCAGCGGGCCGGTCTCAGTCCCCGTGCCCATCGCTTCCGGTCTCAGCGGCAGGTAGTCAGTTTAGCAGAGCTTAAACCAGACCTTATCCATAGTAAGATCGCTGTCAAAAGAGGTAAAAAGTATTAGCTAAAAGTTTCAAAAAGTAGAAAAGAGCTAGAGGGGACGTTGTTTTGGAGAAGGTAGACGGTTCCGCAGTATACACTTATAAAACGAGGCCTCCGGCTGGCTAGAGACGGGCACAGCCTGATTGTGGAAGTAATACAAGAAGTAGATATGCAGTCGAGCAATGATACTATCCCGGAGATGGAAGCCCAAGTCCACGAAGGCAAATTAGGCGCACCGATGCAAGATAATATGTCAAAGATACAAAAAGACATACAACACCAGGTATTCGCTGGTCGTCACCGACCCAACTACTAATCCGGCCCTCATTGGCTTATCTATGGGAGAGCGGACGGGATCCCGAGTTTTCCAATGGGTATGGTCGTATGTGACAAATAGTCGTTATAATCAAGACTATGTTGTGATGTCACAAGACTGCAAGTACAGTTGAAGTGTTGGACTCCACTTTGAACAACCCTATCATTTACACTCTAGTCGTTAGAGGCCTCACACTCAGGCGCTTACAATGTCAACTCCAATCGAACACTATGTTGACCCCTCGACCAACTCAGCCACTTGGCTTGGTCCTGATCAAGTACCCAGGGACACCAACATCAACACCAGAAAGGTTAACGTTATGTTCGTTAATATCAACGCTGCATCGGATTTCCAAATGCTCCGCACAGGCACCAACGAACATCATTATGCATTGATACAGGTGGCCCAACATGTAGCTCGCGGTCTCTGTTCTATCGTTAGTTTGAACATCACTGAATACTCGTGCGTGGTGGTCATGTCAACAGAGAAGCTGAGAAGCGACTTAATTAAGAATAGGTTCCCGTGGGAGGATGAGTAAAACGCCCAGCCTAAGGATCTCTCTCCTGCTTCCGTCATTTCTTTGCCGACAACACCAAATCAAAATCAAATCCATTACTCAATTAACCTTTTGACCAACCCTGACCCTAGGTGGCCTGGCGAATCCGGGTTTATCGGCCTCGACAAGGTCAAAGTTATCTATCGCAACATAAACGCCGCTTCGGATTTTATAGGACTCCACACAGGGACTAATAACCATGTTCATCATGCACTAATACAGGTTGCTCGACACCTGGCTCGCAGTCTCTATTGTGTAGTCAGCTTGAGCATCACTGAAGACTCATGCATGGTGTTTGTGTTGACGAAGAAGCCGAAGTGCGACTTGATGTGGAAGAATGGGTTCCCGTGGCATATTGAGGAAGACGCTCAGCCTGAAGTTGGACCGAAATGATGTGTACTGTGCAGCAGGGGAAGAAAAAATTGGTTGAACGCTATGGATGCAATAGAGGGGCTTTTCGAATATTCACGTTTTTTCTCGTTTATCTCGTAAACATACAAGATAGGAGTTGTCCCGTTGGTCACAGGGGTGTTTTTTCTGATCAAGGCTCATACCGAATGACTAGGGAGATGCTATAGTGATAGGACTGGTGGTGTGACTAGATATACAGTATTGCGAGCTAGCAATTTATGTGGCGGTCACAGCCAGTCAGTCAACGTCAGGTTATAGTACCTCTACATACAGAGGTATTCATAACCTCTATAGCTTGGATAGATACCTGGATATCTCCATGGTCTACTATGAAACTCGATGTTGTGTTGAGTACCGGGCATTGTACTTTTACTGCGTTATCCTTTACAGTCCATGGTCTATTGTGTTACCGTGCGACCTTGCGAGCGGCCGCCTTGTATCAGTACCTTAGAGAGCCTTGATCTCTTAATTTTGGAGTATGACACTTCCATGATCAGATGCCAAAGCTTTCATCTCTGTTCCACTTTACGACGCAAAGCTCTTATCGCCCAAACAGGATCTCGCCGTCTTTCCTGTTTGAAAATCTATTCACTGAGTGTCCCCTTGAACACGAGCACAGGTAAATTGGGTGTCGTTTTGGTGTACTAACAGCGCACGAATACTTCTTTCAACCACCTTTCAACCATCCCTCTAAGAACACATTCCTTGATTTCAACAGTAGCCTCAACACCAATCCTAACTCTTACCCTAACCTCTGAATCTTGGATACATGCACCAAGAGTCGGCGTCAGTGGCGCCTGTAGCAGTATGGTATTCCCGCATGGCGCAGTTGCCAACTGCAACGTAGTCCCGTTGAGGACTACCCTCTCCCCCTTGTTTCCCCCACCCCAGACCACCAAGGCATGGGACCCCAAACCACTGAATTTGCTTCCAGGAACGTAGCTGCCTCGGGCTCCCAGAGCTCAGCGCCAGCGGCAAGAATAAGCCCACGTTCGTCAACATGGACATATGCAGCAGCGGGGCATGGTAGAGCCCCTCTTCGTCAGGGAGACATCAACTCGGCGAGGCCGTACATCCAGGTCGACTAGATCGAGAACCGTTGGTTGACAAGCGCAGCATCGAGCCGAAGGACGTCTTCATCAGCAAGCTGGTCGTGGAGCACCTCCGGTCCAGCCACGTAGAAAAATCGGATGCCGTCCGGGTCGCGTTTCTCTTAGTCGTCTCTGGGAACGCGACGATGGTTGAAATGATCGCGCTCGCAAGTCCCAGCCAGGTACGAGAACAACCTGGTTCCGATAACTGGCCACCGCCCCAGGGGAGGGAAGACCATCAAGGCGGGCGAGGGCATCATCGCCTCACACCAGTCCGGGAACCGCGACGTGGACGTGATTCCTGACCCGGTCGTCTTATCGCATGCCGGTACCCGAACCACGCGCTGGGTTTCGGCTTCGGGCCGCACGGGTGTGAACCGCTAGCTCGTGCGGAGTCGGAGAGCGTCTTTGGTAGGTTTACTTTACAGTCCCCTTCGGTACTCTGGAGAGTTTGCCCCCTCCATCCTTTTGTCATCTTCTCTGTGCTGTTAGGCCAACAGCAATACAGCGATGCTTTTCAAGAAGCTCCCGAATGCCGGACTCGCCACCCCTATCTCCGTGTACACCCCGCTTCACAGAGACGTTGGCGTCGTCACGTCGCTGGTTCATTGGTCGCCTTCAAGGTTGGTTACGAAGCTCAGACCGTGCGTTCAACGGGAAGCGCAACATTGAGTTCCCGAGGCTGCGGGTGTCGTGCTCTCTCTCTCTCTCTCTCTCTCTCTCTCTCTCTCTCTCTCTCTATTTCTTTTTCTCCTCACCAAGGAGCCGGGGTGCCCATCGCCGGGTCTCATCGGAAAGATGGCCCAAGTGGAAGAACATTGGATGATAGGGCTAGGTAGAGTGCAGAAAACACGTCGTCCAAGCGTAACATGGTCCCCGAGATCAAACATGGTGCGGGCGCATCCCAAAGTTCGACCGTCAGGTGCCGCTGCGCCGGCCAATGTTGGAGCTTGCGGCACCGAGTTCGGCCATTATACTTTTGAGCGTCATCCAGTTGATCCCAAGATCCAAGCCACGAGGCCGAGGTACGAGCTCCGCAGCTTGCGGGATGGGCGCAGTGTTTTAAAGGGTGGGGGAGCTGGACTCTCAGGAAGATGAATGGGTTGGCTGTATATGCCCTTGGAGCTTCAAAAGATATTCTGCAAACCGCTTTACAATCAAGGAACCAAACCACATAGTGAAACTGTCACCATCTAGACACCATGCAGGTCGCAGACAACCCGGTCGTGATGGGAGACAGGAACAAGGCGGCGCCGTGGTACTCGCCCGAGTTGAAAGTCTCCCTGGAAGCGCGCCGGATGCTTGAAGAGTACGCCGGTATCCCTCCGGACAAGGTTGATGATCACGTCCGCACAATGGTTGGTGGCCCTTCCCCCTCCCCTGCTTTGCCTCACGAACAAACATGGTGAGCGGCCCCTGACACGAGCAAACTACCCCGCAGCGGGACAAGATCTGGGAGATCTTCCCCTACCCGTGCATCGGGGACTTCCACTTCCTCGATTTCAACCTCGCCCAGCGGTCCAGCTACCCGCAGATGATAGCCGCGCTCCAGGAGCCGGATGCGCGTCACCTCGAGATCGCGTGCTGCGTCGGGCAGGACCTCCGACGGCTCGCCCACGACGGCGTCGACTCGGCCAAGACGGTGGCCGTCGAGCTCGAGCGCGGCTACATCGAGGCCGGGTACGAGCTGTTCCGCGACCGCGACAGGCTTCGCACGCGCTTCGTCGTCGCCGACCTGCTCGACGACGGCAACGCCGAGCTGGCCGGGCTCGAGGGCTCCTTCGACACGGCGCACATGGGGCTGTGCCTGCACCTGTGGAACAGGGAGGAGCAGCTGGCCGTGCTGCAGCGCATGATCCGGCTGTTGAAGCAGAGACCCGGGGTGATGATCGTCGGAGCCGCGGCGGGGCACATGGACGGCGTCGATGTGCCGGGCATCGCCAACAAGCCGACGCTGAGGCACAATCCCGAATCGTGGGAGAAGCTGTGGGCGGAGCTGTCGGAGCAGACGGGGACCAAGTGGAAGCTCAAGACGGGGATGACGGAGAATGTCGGGTCCGAAAGGAGTTGGGATAGGCCGGGGTGGTGGGATAGGGAGATGCGGTTCCTCACGTTCGAGGTCACCAAGGTCGAGTAAAATACGGTTGCCTCGGCATTGGGGCGCAGCAACAGAGCTTCACGCCACGGGGTTAGTGTAGTGTCTGGAAGAACACACAAAAAACAGAGATTGGAAAGACGAGAAGACAGTGTCATGAGGCATTTCCTTTGCTAGCCTAGGGCCATGGCCCGATTTTCCTAGTTGAACATCATAAAGCCCAATCCGGTTCCCAAACCATGCCTGAAAGGAGAACTTTTTCATCCACTGCTCGTCATCACCAACGCCTGACGCACCCGCACCGAGTACCGACCAGCGCTTTAGGCGGTGGTGGTCTTGGGGGTGTTGGGCACGATCTTCTTGCCGTCCTTGTTGTAGCGGACACGGGGAGGGGGCGCGCGGTTGCGGCGGCCGACAACGGAACGGACACTGCGAGGGACTGTCAGCATAAATAGTTCTATCATGAAACCCGTTCCCTGAGACGGCCGTCGACCTCCGCGAAGGGAAGGACGGTGCCATTGGAGGATAAGGGTCGGGGCATGTGGGAGCTTCGAGTAGCGCCAAGGTTCTTCTGAAGCGCCTGCGCGACAGCGTCTGGCGGGGAGCCAGATCACCGTCGCGCAGTCGTCGCTCCCGCGGACGAACGTACCGGACAATCTTGCCGTGAATGGCGCAAGAGACACAGTACTGCAGCTTCAGGTACATCTTGGGTACGGTGTACTCCGCGAAGACGGAGGCGTCCGAGATATCACCTGTCGGTTGTTAGTGGTCGGTTTTCAAAGGAGCAGGACAGATGAGGATGAGGGAGGCGTACGAATAGCAGCAGACTCGACCATGTTGCGGATGGTGAAGCGCTTGATCGCCTTGTCCTTGGGCGTGCATCGCGAGCAGTTGCTGCAGCGGATGGGCTTGACGTGGCCGCGGCCCTTCTTGTTGCGTCCGCTGGAGGAGAGCCAAGTCAGTAACCGGGTTCGGTGAGGGGAGCCAGCAGCCTCTCGCGCATCCATCAGTCGCCGGCACCGTCGAGTCGGTTCGGCTCACGATGGCGGGTCGTAATCGAGACCAACCAACTATCGACAACGGCGACAACCAAGAAAAGCGTCCGAGGCGGGCTGGCAGGATCATTGAGGGGAGAGGGCATCGCCGTACTTGTTCTTTCTCTTCTTGACCATTTTGGCGACGTCTGACTGTGTGTTAGTAGGTCCGTGAAGGAGAGAAAGAAGGAGAGGATCTCGGATTTCGAGGCAGACGTACTTGATCTTTTCTGGCTTGCTGAGTCAAAAAAGAGGTTCAGTGGGTGCGCGCGTCCAACGGGTCAATTGAGTGAACCACCTTTGGCAGAGTGGGCAAAAGGAGGGCTGGTCCAGGGCTGGGTGACGTTTCTGTGGGGGACCCGCTAAAAAGAGAGAATTCCCGTTTTGGCACCTTACGCGAGGATGCACGGCTCGTTTCCTCCTGCTACGCGGTACTATCCCCGTTCATTTTTTGGAAGGCACAAATGAAATTCCAAAACCTATATCCAGCCAATCAGAAACCGCGGTGATCACATGATCTCGCTAAAGTCCAGGTCAAGCCCCTCCTCCCAGTGGCCCACTCGCGTTTGCCCCCAATCGCCCCCCCCAGCAGGGCCTGGCAGTTTATTCCGTGCGCCTTGCGACTGGCCCTTTTTTACATTTTCTCATTCCCATCCATCCCAAACCCATCTGAGGATCTGCTTAGGAAGGCAATAGACATATTGTCGAGGTACGTCTGAAGATGCTTCTGCTCTCTCTTTGTTAGGCCGATGTGCCTGTTACCCTGTCTCTCGCCTCGCTCTTTCTCTCTATCTCTCTCGTTTCTGGCATATTTGTCTCCTACAGTCATGTAGCGCTTCGGCCTTGGTCTTGACGAGCGCAATCGCGAAATCGAATGCTCTCAGGGGACGGAGGTCGATGCGCATCATATTGTACCAATATCCAGCGTGTGCGTGCGAGTGTGTGTGTGTGTGGGCGCCGGCGACGTTGTAAAATCTGTCAGCTGTCACCCAAATGACCACCAACACCCACCACCGCTCGGCGAGAGAGACTTCGAGAGAAAGAGAGGGGGAGATGAAAAGGGGACATTGAGGGAGACCAGACAGCATTCTTTCCAATGCCCCCTTGCGGAATCGTTTCTAACCCTCTGGCAAGCAGGCAATCATGCAGATCTTCGTGAAGACCCTCACGGGCAAGACTATCACCCTCGAGGTGGAGTCGTCCGACACCATCGACAATGTCAAGTCCAAGATCCAGGACAAGGAGGGCATCCCCCCCGACCAGCAGCGCCTGATCTTCGCCGGAAAGCAGCTCGAGGACGGCCGCACCCTGTCCGACTACAACATCCAGAAGGAGTCCACCCTCCACCTGGTGCTGCGCCTGCGTGGTGGTGGCAAGAAGCGCAAGAAGAAGGTCTACACCACCCCCAAGAAGATCAAGCACAAGCGCAAGAAGACCAAGTTGGCCGTCCTCAAGTACTACAAGGTCGACTCCGACGGCAAGATTGAGCGTCTCCGCCGCGAGTGCCCCTCCGACACCGTATGTTTCTCCTCTCCCCTTGATACTTGGTTTATACTATAGTTCATAACTGACTCGTTCCCCTCCAGTGCGGTGCCGGTGTCTTCATGGCCGCCATGAACGACCGCCAGTACTGCGGCCGCTGCCACCTCACCTACGTCTTCGACAAGAAGGAATAAACTTTCCTCAAGACGGATTCGCGGGTGCGATGGGACGGAACAGGAAAAAAAAATGGACAAGCTTTTTGGGGTGATGGACCGGTTTTCAAGGGTTTTAGCATTCTAGTCGGCAGGAAGCCGCAGCAAACAGGGCGTTGATGTGTGGCATGTTCGCCGCATCACTGGCTGGCAATGACGAAGCGACAAAATTTCACGACAACTTGATTCCCTCCCCCCTTGACACATGTTGGCTCTACTCTTGTCTGATTTGTTGTATGAAAAAAAGCGTGTGCTTGTGACTTTTTCTACCTGCTATCTACAAGGACTGCAATCCTACGTATGTGTGTCACTGAGCCAACTAACCTTGGAAGCCGTTCCGCAGATTGTCGTACTTGGTCTCGGGATACGTGAGGCAGTTGTCTCTCCGCAGCAGGGCGCCAGGCCCGCCGAGCGTGTGGACGACGTTCCCGATGAGGGACTCGGGCCCCGGCTTGTCGGCGCTGCTCTCCCACCACATGGCGCCGCCGAGACCCCATGTGCGGATGTACTGGGCCTTGGTCCGCGCCATATGCACCGTGTCGTACGTCACCATCTTCCTCCGCGCTGCGTCGTACGAATAGCTCGCGCCCGTCTCGTAGTCGTGGTGCTCCTCGGACCCCGGCAGCGGCAGCGCCTTGTAGTCGTACACGCCATTCTCCCAGCTCCCCTCGCCGACGCCCGAGAATGGGCTGCCGGGCCCGTCTGTGTTCTCAAAGGCGCGGCCGTAGAGCGGCATACCAAGCACGATCTTGCTGGGCGCCACGCCGTGGGACGTGTAGTGCGCCAGTGCCGCGGCTGTGCTGAAGGGCGTCGAGCCCGGGTTGCCCTGGCACGGCTGCAGGTTGGACTGGTGGCCAGCGAGGCTGTCCCATGAGCCGGCGTAGTCGTAAGCCATCAGGTTCCAGAAGTCAAGCAGGGCATCCATGGCGGGCAGGTCGAGCCGCTCGTAGTTCTGCGCGCCGGCGGGGCAGGCGACGGTGAGCTCGAAGTGGTACCACTCGGGCAGCGTCGAGGCGTACTGGTCCATGGCGGAGCGGACGGCCTGAAGGAGGGCGACAAAGTCGGCGGCTTCCCCGGGGGTCTGGGGGTACTCCCAGTCGATATCGATGCTGTTTTTGTTTTTCCTTGCGTCAGTATTCTTGTGTGCCAGACGGGAAGATGTGGGACAGAAAGTTCAGGCGTTGGAGTCAACGTACCCGTCGAAACCGAGGTTCTTGATGAGGTCGACGCAGCTGCGGGCAAAGGTCTCGCGGCCCTGGGGGGTGCTGGCGGGGCCCTTGAAGTTGGACGAATAGGTCCAGCCGCCGATGGACAGCAGGATTTTGAGGTTGCGGTTGCGGCGCTTCAGGAGGTTGAGCTGCTTCATGCAGCCGTAGAGGTTCGTGCCGACGTCATTCCAGCTGTCGCCCTCCCAGTGGATATCAGTGTCGGCCCAGCCGTCGGTGAGGTAAACCTCGCCCGAGTCGGAGCGGACGTTGGCAAAGGCATAGAGGATGTGGGTGAGTTGCTCGACGGGGAGGTCCTGGGGACGGTGCTTGCGCGCATAGATTGCCCTGCCGAGCAGTGTTAGTCGAGCAGTCTTGTGTGCAAGCGGAAGCAGAAGCCGGGGGCATACCAATTGACAAAATAGGCGACGGAGCGGTAGCCTTGTTCTGGACCGCCACCCATAGTGTCTTGATCCGTGATGTCGGATTTTTCGAAAAGAAGCGGCAGGCGTGTGAAGAGGCCCTTGTAGGTGCTGGCCAAGAAGATTGTGGTCAAGAGGACGACTGCGGATGTGATGATGGTCGTCGAGCGCGGCAGATGCATACGGTTGATGTATTCCGCAATACCAAGATGTCACCAAGAGTGGGAGATGCAGTATAAGAAGAGAAAACAGCGGCGACCTAGAGGGAAGGTGCCGGCTCTTATTGTCGGTCGGGGGAATCACTCCAAGGCAAGATGTCAGTCGTCGATGTACGGCAAAGCAAGGTCGGCCAAGGCGGGGTGATGCAGCTCCAGCAACATGCAAAACACAGACGGAGCAGCGGACAAATGAGCAGCCGCATATTCCAGTTGCGACACACGCTGCCCCTCCCCCTCCTTCTCGCTTTCTCTCGTACACTACGTAGCAGCGCGGCGTGCGTGCCTCTGTATGGAGTCGCGTGGAGCTTGGAGCTCGATGAGGCGCGAGTTGTCGTCAGCCGCTGGAGGGGGAGGAGGGGGGTTTACAGCTGTGCCACTGCGGCTGGTGCTGGGCGGGCGGGTGATCGGCAGCGAGCAAGGTACCGCCACCGCGCAGGAGCGGCGCAGAGGTACATGGCACACTTTACCTTTACAGTTTCGGGACGTTACGTGGGTTACCTCCTGTCGGCGTGTGATTATGTAAGAGAAGATGATGGCCAAAGCCATGTATGTATCCGTACCTGCTACCTAGGCATGTACAAGTAGGTAGGTACCTGGATAGTTGGGCTTAGCGAGCCACCTTACGTAAGAAAGGAATGGCAGGCACATGGCAGCCAACCAACGCACCTATGGGTTTCTGCGCGCACCGAGACACATGTCTCTGGCCGTTGAGCACGCACCGGCGGCCGGTCGGGGTGAGTCGGTGACAGACCGCCCCTGCAGCGAGTGTTATGGGACGGACCCCAGTGCGGTGACATGGGACGAGGGGGAAGGAAAAAAAAATTGTTGAGTGTCCAAGCAGACTCTGGCCGTGGACCCAGAAGAGATGGAGGAGTCTCGGGATTGCACGAACTGCAAGTCGATCGGCAAATAATCATCAGTTGTTCGCATTGTACCATTAGGCTTCCCATTGAGGACGGACTGCTTGCTGTCTTTTGGCGCCTCACTCTGACGTCGGGCTTATGAGAAGAAAATGAGCTGGCTGTATGACATTGACATGTAAGAAAGCAGCAGTACAGGGTACATGCTAGATTCTAGGTATTCTGCCACCTCGGAACCGTATCCATTCCCTCCTGTCTTCCATCAAATCTCGGGTCAACTTTCCAAGCGCACATGCCCGACATGATACCGTAGCACACATATACCTAGTAGAGTTGCAAGCAAGCACCTGGATCATTCTGTTCAGGAAAGGTCCAGACTTACGACAAGATGGATAAATAACTACGCGGCAGGTTGGTTTACGGATGGGGGTGGGATTACTTGTTCACAGAAAAGATCGTCTCTTTAATCAAATTAAACAACAATGAAAAAAAAAATCCTTCCTCCTTCCCCCAGCAACTGATTGTTGGCGGGTCCCCTTCGTTACTGCCTGCCTCTACCTACTCCGTACTACCTACTTACCATACCCGTACTACCTACCTAGGTATACCTATCCGTACACTAGACTATAAGACCTGGTACGTACATACACTACGGATACCAGCCGGAGAGATGCAAGATCCCGACAGGGCGGGGCAGCCACAAACGCCATCAACGAGGTCATCCGCGGTTCGTCCGGCTACGCGATTCGTCCAGCCCCCATCGTCCTCGTCCATCTTACTATGTGTTGCTCAATCGTTGCCGGTGCGGATCATCATCTCCCCCCTTTGTCTTGGCCTTATATGTGACCATTGATTGAGCTAAGTGATCCCCTGTCCACTCTAATTCCGCCCTCCGTACCTATTGCATGTACTTCGTACGCTGGGGAAATTGGTTCAGTGCCTAGTAGTACGGAGTACACAAGAAAAATAAACTCCTCCCCCCCTCCGACGACCGCCTCTTTTCAGACTATTTCCTCCTGAACCCCCGTCGGTTTTTTTCCTTCTTCTTCTTTTCCTTTTCTCTCCTTTCCTCCCCATGCTCGACAGGTCTTGACCGACTCTTGTCCGTGTCTGTTCTTCCATCTCAGTCTAATCGCGAGAGACGCATGACACGCGACCGTTGTCGACTTTCCACCTCGTCGCCCAAACAAAACATCAACAACTATCCCCCCCTTTTTATTCCTTCCCGGCATCACCAACGGAGGAATATTCTGCGTATCCAGCCCGGATCTGCCGCAACCATGACCGCCCCCGAGGCCCCCATGGCTCAGTCCTCCGCTGTTCCGGCTTCGGCCGCCAAGGACCAGATCGCGACCCGTCGCCGCAGAAAGTCGAGCGTGCGCGGTCACGGCTACGCCCACGATGCCTCCTCGCGCCACTCTTCCAAGCAGGACCAGCTCGATAGGCTCTCCAAGCGCAGCCGCGCCCGAGCCATCCTCCGCCGCTGCAAGCACATCGCCGTCAAACACACTTGGACCACCCCGCTCGTCCTCACACTCGCCTTCCTCTCCCTCTACGCCATCAACCCGACCGAGTCCAACGTCATTCACCACTTCATCTTCCTCTCCTACAAGATCCCCGCCGCCGCCGGAGCTGGCCCTGATGCCGACGCGCCCCCGCAGTACGGCAAGGGTCTCTGGGACATTGCCTTCGTCAGCTTCTACGCCATCGTGCTGTCCTTCACCCGCGAGTTCATCATGCAGGAGCTCCTCCGCCCCCTGGCCAAGTTCTACGGCATCCGCTCCCGCGGCAAGCAACTTCGCTTCATGGAGCAGGCCTACACAGCCATCTACTTTGGCATCCTCGGCCCCCTTGGCATGTACGTCATGAGCCGCACCCCCGTCTGGTACTTCAACACCACCGGCATGTACGAGGCCTTCCCCCACAAGACCCACGAGGCCATCGTCAAGTTCTACTACCTATTCGAGGCCGCCTACTGGGCCCAGCAGGCCATTGTTATGCTTCTTGGCCTCGAGAAGCCGCGCAAGGACTACTATGAGCTCGTCGCGCACCACATTGTCACTCTCGCCCTCATCGCTCTGAGCTACCGCTTTCACTTCACCTACATGGGCATTGCCGTCTACCTGACCCACGACATCAGCGACTTTTTCATGGCCGTAAGTTGATCAAACGACCCCGCCCCCGTTTTCCTTCCCCAAAGAGACAAGGGTCCCCCTTCCTCCCGCAAGAGACGAACGACGCTAATCACCACTTTTCCCCAACAGATGTCCAAGACATTCAATTACATCGACAGCCCCATCACCGGGCCGTGGTACTGCCTTTCCCTGGCGTCCTGGATCTACCTCCGTCACGTCATCAACCTCAAGATCCTCTGGTCCATTCTCACCGAGTTCTCCACCGTCGGCCCTTACGAGCTCAACTGGGAGACGCAGCAATACAAGTGCCGGCTCGCCAAGGTCATCACCTTCACCCTGCTTGGTTCCCTGCAGTCTCTCAACCTTTTCTGGCTCTTCTTTCTCCTCCGCATCGGGTACCGCTTCGTCTTCCACGACGTCAAGCAGGACGACCGCTCCGAGGCCGAGGATTCCGAGGCCGAGCCCATGGATACCATCGACGAGGTTTCCAAGGTGAACGCGGCTCCCATTGTGGGCGGCGAGGCTGCCAAGGCCGTGCAGACGGTTGCCAAAGGCATCGGCAAGGAGGCGGGTGGCAGCATCGCATCAAGGACCCGCAGCCGACGCGCCGTTTAAGAAGGAAGCTACCAGATTGCCGGTCGCCTCATCAATATTTTTTCTACTAGCCCCGGCCTCATATTCGAGCTCGTTGGTCCGGAACCATTGTACATGTAGTATATTCAATAATGCCTAATGTGTAATGACCATGAACACACTGAAAAAAAAAAAGCCTGTGCCGAGTCGATTTCACGTGAAAATTTTAGATGGTGCGCCTAGATGAGCCAGGCTTGGTTGGGCTCGTGATGTCATGAAACGCCCGTTGGGTTTCTGGACGACTAGACCCCCTCCAGACGCCGGGAGCGACGGGACGAGCGATGCCGCATCCGGGTTAATGACCTGTTGAAATCGTCGGAGGCTCCGGGAGGGCAGCTGCGGCCCCACGGCAACGCCCAAACTTATCAGCCTCTTGTTGTGCTGGAGAGACGCCGCCGTCGCCGGGCCTGCCGACGTAGTTGGTTCTGATAGGCCGGTAAGACATGTCGGGTCGTGGCGTGATGGCACTTGTGACCCAGCGGCTTACTCTGAGCTGATAGCTGTGAATGTGATGCCGAGGACTAGCGAATGAGAGAGAAATAAATAGATGATTGTTTCCAGGAATTGAACTAAACAGTGATGCATGTGTCCATTTTAAAAGGATGCGTTAATCGACATCAAAAACACTGGTGCAGTCACAACACAATCGAATAGTCTCAAATCGGCATGGTTCAAGTTGCCATCCTCTGAGTATTCAGACGAGATTGGTTTTGCCTAGAATATAGCTTCTGTACCCGACATGTTTGGCCTTTACTCACCTACACTCTGTGAGAACCCTCCCTTAACATGGTCTGTGACGGGAATGCCAGCTCTGGGACAGTATTCACCTCGCCAAGTCAGTGAGACAATATAAATAAACAGGAGCATTGAACTCGGCCTATCCAGACGTAGTGTCTGGTGTTCTATTAGAGTAGTAGTCCTCACGGTATCAAACGGCCTTCATCCGCTGCCTCGTCCAGCTGAACAGAGCCCAGCCACAGATAGCAGCATCAACAGCACCAGCCATTGATGCGCCACACAGCAACACGCACAGCCACACAGCTGTGTGTTCCCCCCACCATCGGCAACCGGCCTCGCTCTGCGCCGAGTCTCACAAACACGTGACTCTCCTGCCCACCATCCACACAACCCAGTGAACCTGGTCCGAGCGTCGGCTTTTTGGGAGCTCCAGAAAAAAATCCAATTGACACCAGTGGGGGGCCTTCGAGGAAAAATTGAAGGGAAAAAAATCCTAAAGACTTTTGCCATTTCTTTTTTTTTTTCTTGCTCTGCCCCCGACACCCCTCGACCAGCAGGAACAACAAGAAAGAGAGGCTGATTGTCGGAAAAGAGAGAAACCGCCACGGAGACAAGAGAGCCGAATTTTTCCAAAATGGCCGCCATCAACTACCTCCTCTACGAGGCCCCCATGGGCTACGGTGTGTTCCACATCGAGCACCAGCCCGACAGCATCGGCCTGCGCCAGAAGGAGGCGCAGGAGTCCATTGCCGACCTTGCGCGGTTCGGCAAGATGGTGAAGCTCGTCAACTTCACCCCCTTTGAGTAGGCCTACCCGTTCCGCGATTGTTGTGTGTGTTGGTGGTAGATGCGCGACGGCTTCCCAGAAACGCGTCTCGAACTCTGATTGAGAAGGAAAGGTGGGGATGGGATGGGACGGGAAGGGAGAGGAGAGGATCGATCGAAAGGGGAAGGAGAACGAGAAGAAGAACGAGAAGAAGAACGAGAAGAAGAACGAGAAGAAGAACGAGAAGAAGAACGAGAAGAAGAACGAGAAGAAGAACGAGAAGAAGAACAAGAAGAAGAAACACAGGCTAACGCACGTACTCGCATAGCACCGGAAAGCAGGCGCTGGACGAGATCAACCACATCTCGGAGGGTCTCATGTCGGACCACCTCAAGTCGGTTCTCGAGCTCAACCTCCCCCAGACGAGCGGCAAGAAGAGCAGGATCACGGTGGCCGTGGCGGAGAAGAACCTGGCGTCCGTCATCAAGTCGACGTTCCCCGGCGTCGACTGCGAAACCTCCGAGACCTCCGAGGTCGCCGGCGACCTCCTCCGCGGCGTCCGCCTGCACGCCGACCGCCTCCTCAAGGGCCTGCAGACGGGTGACTCGACGGCGGCCGGCCTCGGTCTGGGCCACTCGTACTCGCGCGCCAAGGTCAAGTTCAGCACGACCAAGAACGACAACCACGTCATCCAGGCCAGCGCCACCGTCGAGTTCCAGGACAAGGGCGTCAACCAGTTCTTCATGCGTGTCCGCGAGTGGTACGGCTGGCACTTCCCAGAGCTCGTCAAGATCGTCTCGGACAACCTCACCTACGCCAAGCTCGTGCTCGCCATCGGCGACAAGGCGACCCTCACCGACGACCGCCTGCACGACATCGCCGCCATCGTCGAGGAGGACGGCGAGAAGGCCCAGGCCATCATCGACGCCGCAAAGGTCTCCATGGGCCTGACCATCACCCCCGCCGACCTCGAGATCGTCAAGGGCTTCGCCGAGGCCGTCGTCGCCCAGGCCGAGGCCCGCCGCTCCACCGCCAACTACCTCGACAAGAAGATGTCCGTCGTCGCGCCCAACCTGCAGACCCTCATCGGCACCCCCGTCGCCGCCAAGCTCATCTCCCACGCCGGCTCCCTGACGAACCTGTCAAAGTACCCGGCCTCGACGCTGCAGATCCTCGGCGCCGAGAAGGCCCTCTTCCGCGCCCTCAAGACCAAGAGCAACACCCCCAAGTACGGCCTCATCTACCACTCGTCCTTCATCGGCCGCGCCGCCGTCAAGAACAAGGGCCGCATCTCCCGCTACCTCGCCAACAAGTGCTCCATCGCCTCCCGCATCGACAACTACACCGAGAACCCCACCACCAAGTTCGGCGAGGCCCTGCGCCAGCAGGTCGAGGACCGCCTCGAGTTCTACGCCACCGGCAAGAAGCCCGCCAAGAACTCCGATGTCATGGTATGTCTTGTCTCTTGTCACTCCCTTGTTTCACAACCTCCCCTCCCCCTCCCACACCTAACCAGCATGTCACGACGAACAAAAAAAGAAACAAAAAGCTAACAAAGTCGATAAGGCCTCCGTCCTGGAGCAGGTCGAGGGCGACCTGACGCTCGACGACGCCGAGATGGTCGACGCCGTCGCGCCCGAGGTCAAGAAGGAGAAGAAGGAGAAGAAGGAGAAGTCCAAGGACAAGAAAGAGAAGAAGGACAAGGAGAAGAAGCGCAAGCACGACTCCGAGGCCGACGGCGAAAAGAAGAAGAAGAAGAAGAAGTCCAAGGACGAATAAGCGCGCGCGGGAGTGTCTGCTTCTTTTTCTTTTTTCTTCTTGGGTCTCTCTGTTCTGCCCCCCTCCCCACCACTGATACCAAGCCCACCACGAACACGCACCCACGCCCAACACACACGAGAGCAAACCACCCCCGAACCCGCTCTCGCCTCCTGTCTGGGGGCCGAACTTGTTGTTCCCAAAGAAAAAGAAAAAGAAAAAGAAACCCTTGTTCCCATGTCTATTGTGTAAGGTCGGCGGCGGCACATATGGGGTGGGGTGCGGGGGGGATCGTGCCTTCAGGCAAATCGGACCGCTCTCTCTCTCCCCAACCCCCTTCTTGTCTCTTTTAGGAATCTGTTCTGTCTTTTTTTTTTCTTGCTGTCTGGGAGTTTTTATTGCAACGGGGAAATGAAAAACCGGGCTTTTTATCGGAGTTTTTGGGCTTTGCCAAAAGAGACAAAAAGAGTGTTAATGCATCATATCCCGTATGTGTGTGTGTGTGTGTGTGTGTGTATGTGTATGTGTGTACAAGGTGAACAAATCGTGTATAGGATGAACAAATCGCTCATATCCAAAACCCATGTTGCGTCCGTCCCATATGATCATCAAGGCATGGTCCACGAGCTTGATAAACCGCCGTCCATCACAGAGGCAAACGAGAACGAAAAGGAGGCTCCAACCACAAGAGCCAAGCATGTCGAGGCCATACTGCCACGTCCTCCCTGGCCCCCCCAAAAAAGACAAATCAATGATTTAACCTCTCTTTTTGTGGGTGTGTTTTCTCTCTCAGCATATGTAACAAAAAGGCCCCCCATCTCTTCCATTGTTGCTGCAGCTTCTTTGTATTGTTCGCTTTACTGCAGAGGGGATGAAGAAAAAGACGTTGCAATGCAACAATGTGTTTTTAAAAAAAAAGCGAACCTGAAGTAGAACAAACATAAAATAGGACTTGATATTTCCCCACCCAATGCCGGCCGTTTCAAACGCCACAGGACGCCGCCAACTCTTGTCTCTGTTTCTGTCTCTCCCCTCCCGTCAGACACACAGACTTTGGTTTGGTCATCCCGAATGGTCTCGCTTCATAGCATTCTGTCGCATACACACACGCTCTCTCTCTCGTTGCACAAACTGAGAACCAAAGGTTTAGGTCCAATGACACACACACACACACACACACACACACACACACACACACACCCACACCCCTTTCCCAGTGCCTCGTTTTCGTCTCTCGTCGTTGTCTTTCGTGCTTGACTCGTCTTGTCTCATACATATCGGAGATGCGGGCTAGCCCATCCCGAGAATCTGTAACCCGGGCGGGCTGTACCACGTAAGCTTCGGTAGTCTGGCTCATGCGCCCTCACTACCAAACTCGTTTGTCCACTCTATTTGCTTTGCCGCGTCGTCCTCGGAGACGGTGGGATGCGAGTCCCTGAGTGCTTGCTTGAAGTCCTTGAGCTCGAGGGTGGGCGCCATGAGCTCCTCCGAGTCGACATCGTGGTACGTCATTTCCTTGGCGTCTGGGTCGCCCGGCGAGCAAGGTGTCAGCTTCTTGACGCCGTCCTGCATAACCTGTGGTCGAGTTAGCATGCAAGTCACATACGGGCGTGCCCTTCAAATAGGGGTCGGGGGTGTTGGGGCGTCACATACCGGCTTGAAGTGTGTGGCCTGGATGATCTTGCGCACGGGGCCCATCAGAGCCTGTTGCACCACGTTGGAGATGTCACTGCCCGAGAAGCCTTCCGACAGTTCGGCCAGCACGCGATAGTCGTCCTGCTGGAGGTTCGTTTCCGTGTCGCCGACGGCGAGCTTGAACATGCGGGCGCGGCCGTTGACGTCGGGCAGACCAATGTGCACACGGCGCTGAAAGCGCCTGCGGATGGCGGCGTCGAGCTGCCAGGGGATGTTGGTCGCGCCGAGCACCAGGATGCCCTTGCTGTCGTTTCCGACACCGTCCATCTGCACCAGAAGCTCCGTCTTAATACGTCTGGATGCCTCGGACTCGCCCTCGCCGCGGGGGCCGCAGAGGGCGTCGATCTCGTCGATGAAGAGCACCGAGGGCTTGTTTTCTCTCGCCATGCTGAAGAGCGCCTTGACGAGCCTGTCGTCAAAAATCAAGTCAGCGTGCTCGTCCTGTTTTGCGCCATGCGTTGGATGACGACTGAACTGACCTTTCACTCTCTCCCATCCACTTGCTCACCAAGTCGGAACTGCTGACGCTGAAGAAGGTGCTGTTCGCCTCCGTCGCGACCGCCTTGGCCAGGTAACTCTTACCCGTTCCCGGGGGGCCGTAGAGCAGGATACCCTTCCACGCCTGGCGCTTGCCCTGGAACAGCGACGGGAACTTGATGGGCAACACAACGGCCTCCTTCAACGTGTCCTTGGCGCCCTCGAGACCGGCAACGTCGTCCCACCGCACGTTGGGCCGCTCCTGCAGGATGGCGCCGCTGAGAGCGTTGCGCAGCTTCTTGTTGTCCTCGTCGACGTCGTCGTTCGCCTTGCCCTTGCCGCCTCCATTGACGCCCATGGCGCCGGGGGTCTTCCCACCAGCTCCCCCCCCGGCGCTCTTTTTGGCCTCGGCCTCATTCAGGTACGTCTTTAGCTTCTCAGCGCGGTCCATGTACTCGGCCGTCTTCTGGCGGATGAGCTCCTTGGACTTGGGGTTCTTCTCCCACTTGACGGCGAGGACGAAGAGCTCGAGCGACTTGGTGTAGAGTTGGAAGGCCTTTTCGTACTCGGCGGCGTTATCGGCGTCGATGGCCTGCTTGACCGTGCTGATGGCACGGCCGAGGAAGTCGGTGATTCCCGACATCGTGTCTGTTGTGTGTGTCGGGGTTGGGGTTGGGGTTGCCGGTCTTTGCTCAGGCTGGTATTACGGCGCGAGGAGGTGAAAGAGAAAGAGAGGGAGTTCGTGATAATATGGAAAGAGCGGGGAAAGCTCGCTATCGTCGTTTGCCTCTTTGTTGTCGTCGGCGCCTGGGGTAATTCAGAAAGAATTCGGAACGAACGTCGGAAGACAGACAAGACGAGGAGGTCCCGGGGCTGACGTCGGTCTCTGGGCGCAGGACGGACGGGTGAGCGAGGTTAAAGAATCTGGACGAGTTATTGGAGGGGGGGGGGGGGGGGGGGGGAAGGAGGGGGCCTTGAAGAGGCGGATGCGGTCGTGGATTCTGTGACGTTGCCTGGGCAGTTCGTGATGTACACTGCGCCAATTGAGGTGCCTTGAAGTGGTGGGGGTGGGGGGGACCTGTGCCGCTTACCACGATATACCTTACTAATTGCAACCGGCTTGCTTATGCATGACTTGGGGAGCGGCACAAACGTGGGATCAAGCGAGTGGCCACGAGCTACGCGGATACCAATGGACTGTTTGGATGTATTTGTAAGGGATGATAGCAAGCAACAGGAACGAATTAATTTACACGAACAACATGAATGAAACGCAAAGACCAATAGGGATGAACCACTTAGTCTTCGGCTGTCTCGTCCGCTGGTTCTAGACTCGCTTTCCGCCGGTACCCGCTTACCCGCTTATATGCAAGATTAGTCTCGAATTCATCTAAACGGTAAGATCTGTCACCACTGCCCGCAGTGGACGCACGCTCAGTCGATGTACCGACCATCCTCCAGACCACCCCACCACCACCTATCTGTCGAAAGTCGAAACAAAACGAATTTATCCTCCGGGGCCTTGACATTCAGGAACGTCTAATTATTAGCAACGTCTCAGGTCCCTACCATTGAACCAAGCCACGATACTCTCGCCGTCGTATTTTTTTTTAATTTTTTTTTATTTTTACTGAGCCAACACTTCGGAGTCTGGTTTTTTCCTCCCCCCCTCTCTCCATCCAGTTTCTCATTGAACTCCTCACACACATTCTCACTCACTCGACCATGGCCGAGATCCAGGCTAAGCTGCAAAAGCTTTCGGAAGAGTACACTGCGCTGCAACAAGGTACTGTGAAACTTCTATACCAAGCTCATCCAAAATCGTTCGCTGACCTTTCATCAGAACTCCAAAACACCGTCCAGTCGCGGCAAAAGCTCGAGGCCCAGAAGCAGGAGAACCTCGGCGTAAAAGAGGCGAGCCCACGGGATCCGCAGTCTTTTTGATGGCCATGCGACTAACGACCCCTCTCAGGAGTTTGAGAAACTGAAAGATGGCGAGCAGATCTACAAGCTCGTCGGGCCCGTCTTGCTGAAGCAGGACAAGGTTGAGGCCGAGAGTACGGTAAAGGGCCGTCTGGACTTTATCCACAAGGAGATGTGAGTGCGGGCGGTTTTTTCTTCTTTCTACATATCCTTTTTTCAATCAAAACGCAAACCACGGAAATACTCATTCGTCATCAGCGAGAGACAAGAGGACCTCATCAAGGAAACCCAGGGCAAGCTCGAGAAGAAGAAGGGCGAAATCATTCAGCTCCAGGCCAGCGCGCAGGCTGCGGCAGGTCAGGCAAAACAAGCATAATGCCGGCGAAGAAGATGAAGACGACGAAGACGACGACAAGGAAAGAAGACTGAACAAACAAAAGACGAGGCGTGGCCAGAGTGGTGATACAATAACGAAACTACTAGGACTATGAACTATACCCAGCAATGCTCCGACGGGGTTCCTTTCCAAACAAAAAAACGCCATGCTGATGCGCCGATTTTCCCGATGGTGAATGCCCGCACCACCTCAAATCACCCAAAGGTTTCATTACAAGAAACAATATGCGGTCATGATGCGTGTCCGATCCCAAATCCCTTCGCCTTGGGCACCTTCCCTCAGTTGATAGCCATGATGGTGAACCCCCACGGCAGGCCCATGTTGCGCGCGGGCAGCTCCGTCGCCCAGCCGATGGCGTTCTGGTACTCGTCCTCGGAGGCGAACTCGGCGTCACTGACGTTGCCCTCGACGGCGTCCAGGATCAGGTCGGCGATCTGGCTCTTGGTGTAGCAGCGGCCGAAGAGGCGGCTCTCGTCGATCTTGCGGATCATGGCGGAGCGCAGCCCGCACTCGGCGAAGCGGCGGACCTCGCGGTCGAAGCCGGCCTGGGTGACGGGGCCACGGCGGTGCGAGGAGGCGAGCCTCCGGAAGAAGGCGACGGTGCCGGCGACGGCCTGGGCGAGCATGTGGGCCTTGGCTGCGTCGTCGAGGTGGTTCGCCATGGCGGACGAACCCTGCTCGATCAGGCCGTGCTCGTCGTGGTCAAAGGTGGCGTGGACGACCTTGGAGATGCTGTCCGGGGCGGAGAGGACGCCCTCGGGGTCTTGGAGGGCAAAGGTCTTGGCGACCTCGTCGTAGCACTGGGAGAGGGTCGTCCAGAGGGAGACGTTGTTCTGGACGGATGCCTTGCCCATGCCGACCGTGAAGTGTGACATGGTGCTGTCGATGCTTTCTGTTTTGAATCGTGTTAGTTTCGTTGTGGGTGGGCTGCGAGTCAAGGAAGTAAACTCACTTTTGCAAGTCGCGGAAGACATGGTGATGATGTGAGGTCTTGAAAGTCTCTGGTGGTGTACTCGGTCGATGTTGTATTGAGATGCCAGGTACGTCACTGGACTAGGTGACGAGTTTGTACGTTGGAGGAGATGAACGGATGGATGGATAATGAGATGGGGAATGAGGATAGGGACATCATCATCAACAGCAGCGGAGAAAAGCTTTCCTTTAATCTCGAGGCGGTTGTAGCCTTGTGGCCTCATCGGGAAATTCTTCCAGGTTGGCTTAGCCATGCAGGACGCGATGATGGCCATCCCTGATTCCGGCATGCCCAGAGGAACGAACCCATGGCAAGGACCCCCAAAAGAATTGCCGTTTCTAGTCAGGTCTCTCCGTACCCGGTACCCGATTCTTCGCGGGAGATGCTCGGCGGTGGTTTCGTCCGTCGATTGAAAAGGAAACACATGGAGCCATCACGCTGTCAGATTGCATAGGCATGGCGAGATGCGATGGCCGATGACCTGACTACTTGACACCGACACGTCCACCCCCCACCACCCGGCTTGAGAGACACTTGCCAATGGGACAACGCACGACTGACACTGAGGGAAGCCGCATAACAGCGAGGAAGTATTCAGGGAATGGTATGATGGAGCCTCTTTTAGTCTCCCGCTCACCGGCGACCAGCGGGAGCGTGGGGGGTCCTCGACCTCTAGTGTGTAACCCGACCGGGAACTATGAGAGGCTAGGAGCAGTGCACGTCAGGAGACAACATCCGACCTGATTCAAGCAGGCGGTGGAAGCATGGTGCCATGTCGAGACTCGAGCCGCAAGAGGATCAGTGCGATGAAACCAGGAACAGAGGTTGGACGGACGGGCTCACCGGCCCGCCTGGACGCTCGTTTGCATTATGCTTTGGTTGGTTGGGGAGTACGGAATATGATTTGCGGAATCAATAAATAAATAAAAACAAGGACGAAACATTGTACGGATACTTGGTCCCGACATTTCCCGATCTTGGAATGAGGCGAGCACATCCCCCCCCCCCTGGCTGACGCCGTTGTCTGCTGGCAACCGAGATGGGGGCCTCTCATACGGTACGCCCCTCCCGACGAATCGACGATTCCCCTGGGCAGGCAATGAATGGCATGAAGGTTCGTCAAAAGTTTTTCGATGGATGCTCAGTGACCGTTTAACAAGGTGGAGCTGAGACGTCGTTGGTCCCGGATGTTCACCGTCAGATGGCAGCAGCTCTCAAAGTCTTAGAGCTAGCTCCCAAGCCCCATATGCTTTTCATTGAAGCATTGTTACAATGTGCCTATGTGTGTGTGCCTTGGTTGTTTTTTCATGTTGCTTGCTGATGATACTGCTGTGTTTCTTTTTTTTCTTTCCATCCCCGTCACTGTCCAATTGCTGACATAATACTTTCGCTGCTTAGGTCATCCGGGCTAGGTAGATGGCATCACGTGGCATCTTAGAGGCCCGAGCTCTGCGCCTACCCCTCCAAATGCTTTGCGGACCTTGTCGGTCTCGGGTTTGCCAAATGGCGGGGTGCTTCAGCCACCCGTGGCTGGCATAGCGCTTCGTCATACCCGTCTGGTCTGTCGGTCGTGTTTCTGGGACGAAACCCGCAAGGCATTGTCATGACTGAATGATCGCGCATCTGCCACGTTTAGGTTGCCACTCTGCGCCCTCCGGAACTCGAGAAACATGCGATCGTCAGCCTAAGCGGTGGACGTCACCAAGCAATATCCCATTTGATGAGTCTTGAACCACCACGAACCGTCCATTAGAACGAGGGAGAGAGAGAGAGGGAGAGAGAGAGAGCTTCTGGCACGCCGGAATAACTGCCCGATGATGAACGGCCCTCCCAGTCAGCGGCCTGCGCGGCCCATGAGCGTCAAGGAGATCACCAACGCCGCCGAGGACTTTGAGTTTAGAACGACCATCCCTTTCAAATACTGGGCACGATCCGCCGACACCCTGTTCCAAGAGGTTCGTGTTCAAACCTCTCCCACCCCCCCCACCTTGCTGTCCCTCACTCTTCCACGGCGAATTGCTGACGATACGCGACCCAGGCCTTGTTTGCGCTTCAGGATCGCGACATTCGAAAGGCATATCAGATGCTATGGAGGCATTCGGTCCTCGTGCTGCAACACCTCAAAACGCATCCCGACGCCAAGCTCCCCGAGAACAAGGCTCTCACGAAGCCGCTCTTCAACCGCCAGCAAAAGGAGGTATTTGGGTTGCTCGAGGAGCTGAAGCCGCAGATCGACCGCGATTACAACGAATGGAAGTCGATGAATGCGTCCCAGAGGACGGCCGACGACGAAACCGCAAAGAGACCCTCGAGCTACGACGGGTTCGCCGCCCGAGACCCCACCTTGTCCGGCAACGCCAAGATCCTGGACGCGGCCGACAACCAGGAGCTGGCCGTGTCTCTGGCACAACGCGACTTCAAGCGGCGAGATGCAGCGAGGAGAGCGACGCGACAGGCCGGCGTTACCGAGGAAGAGGAACAAGAGCGTCGTAAGGGTGGTCGCTGGGAGGATTGGGAGCAACTCAGCAGCCCGACGGATGACGACGAAATAAGGAGACAGATCGAGGCAACGCGGCGACGACTCGACGGAGCGGATCAGGGACGAGATGACGATAGCCTCAGGCAGTCGCAGGCCCCCAGCTACGGACGCCCAGCACCGCCGCCCAACTTCTCGTACCACTACCCGTCCATCTCGAGACCGAGAACGCTCGAGTGGGAGGCGACGCCGTTGGAGCCGCGGCGCGCGTACGGACCGATACCGCCCCAGCCACCAAAACCGCCAAAGGAGGACTTCACGATCCTGCGGCAGGAGCTCGACGCGGCGCCCCCGATGCGGCCTGGAAAAACCCCTCTGCCCTCGTACGAGCCATCACACGACATCCCCGAGCTGCCAGCCAAGGAGCTGGCGGCCGCGCCTTCGGCCAAGGAGCGCCTGACGTTCCGCCCGGCGGCCTACCTGGAGAACGGCGACCCCATCCGGCCCGTCTTCCTCCCGACGCAGCTCCGCGACACGTTCCTCAGCATCGCTTCCGAGAACACCCGAAAGGGCCTGGAGATGTGCGGCATCCTGTGTGGCCGGCCGGTTAACAACGCGCTGTTCATCAGCTGCCTCCTGATCCCGGAGCAGAAGAGCACGCCCGATACCTGCGAGACGGAGAACGAGTCTTCAATGCTGGACTACTGCATCAACGAGGACCTTCTGATGGTGGGCTGGATTCACACGCACCCCACACAGACGTGCTTCATGAGCTCGCGCGACCTCCACACGCAAGCCGGCTACCAGGTAATGATGCCGGAGAGCATCGCCATTGTCTGCTCTCCGCGGCACCAGCCCTCGTAAGCAGCCCCCCTCCTCAAAATCCAAACTCGTCCGATAGAGGGGTCCATCCAGCTGACATATACATCCAGATATGGCATCTTCCGTCTCACGAACCCTCCCGGGCTCACTCACATCCTGCAGTGCACAAAGTCGGAAACGTTCCACCAGCACTCCATCGACAATCTCTACACCAAGGCGCAGAACCCGCCGGGCCACGTCTATCACTCGGACAAGCTGGACTTTTACGTCAAGGACTTGCGACCGAATCGATAGGAGCTGGGAAAAGGTGCGACGAAGGGAGCGGCGCAGCGTATGCCGTGCGTCGGTGGGAGGGGGGAGACAAAGCCGGCGTGGCTCATGGACTATATGCCACTGATGGGGGCCGGACAGGGAGGAGGTTTACCACGGTCTGCGGCGTATGAATGAGATTTGCTTGTTTGCATGGCGAGGGGCGTTCAACAGAGGGATGCTGCAGGATTGGGAGAGGGTGGGGGGGAAGTTGGCTTGCAGAGCGACGTCCCACATGCTACGGACGAATTTAATGTCGGAAACCCGAGAAACTTTGTACGCAGAAAGGACACCCTACGATGGTACGGCTGGAACAAGACTATCCAACCACTCTACGTGGTTCCTCATCTCCTTTATGGTGTCCCATTCCGGAGGAGGGGGCTCGCCCGAATCTTTGAACGGGGTAAACAGGACGTCTCTCTCAGCGATGATAAGACGGCTGGAGAGTCCAAACGAGGGCCATTTGAACGCGGAGCTCCGCAGCCCTTCCCTCGCAAGATGGGCCGTTTGTGTGTGTTTCGGTCCGGGGCCCGGAGCGTATGTGTCCAGCGTTGTTCCATCCCATGTTTGTGCATCCATTCCCATGGGTATTTTTTATTCCTTTATTTTTTATTCGGGTACGAGCGGAACCCCACATGATGGGGAGAACCAAGGCACGATACAAGTCCGAATAAGAGGTGCGACGTCATTATCGTGACCCCACGGCCTTTTTCCTGCAGTGCCATATGCCGGCTTCCTCGAGCTCCGTTCCTTATAAACAACGAGGCCCGGCTTAGACTACCGACGAGGGGCATCACAAAAGGATACTTCTTTTGAATGGTACAGAACTAATATTTCTACCCGAATAAGACCGGATAGAAAGACGCAAAAAGCAAAGAAACTCGGAACTGATCACATTTGTAAACATAAGAGGGAAAAGAAAAGAAAAACACAAGCAGAAACCTACAGACATATTAACTGCCGAACAAAGGAAAAGAAAAGAAGAGAAGAAAAAAAAAGAAAGAAAAAAAAAGACTAGAACCATGGCTTTCCCGACCAACGTGCTGGGAGTTCTCATCGCCCTCGCCAGTGGCTTCACGCTCATCTACTCGGTCGACTCCATCTCGCGGCTGAAAAAGTACGACGACTTGGAGGAAAAGGCGAACAAGGCGGCGGAATGGAGCCTCACGGCGGAAAAGAAGCTCCGGGACCTCCAGTTGACCCTCGCGACGGGCCTCGTTTGTGTAAGTGTCCCAAACCCCCTCTTCCCTTGTCGTCTTCATCTGCCCACGGGGAAGCATCCCGAGACGGAACCGCCCCCTCCCCTCTAACGTATTCGACGAGACCTGCTGAACACGCGTGGACAGTGCCTCCTCTCCGCCGTCAGCGGCCTCGCCTTCTCCTTCTCCGTGGCCCCCGGCCCGGGCTTCGTCGCCGTGGCGTGGCCCGTCCTGCTCGCCGCCGGCCTGGCGTACGGGCGGCAGTTCGTGCGCGGCTTCTGGGCGTCCAAGATCAAGGTGCCGAAGATGAAGCACTTCAACGAGGCCATCTCGGACATGATGATGGTGCAGAGCATGATGAAACCGCTGGCCGGCGCGTGGGGCCTCGTGGCCGTCTGCAAGCTTGTTGGGCTGTAGAGTGACCCGAGCTCGGTTCCGTGCAGCTGTGTCGGACATGGGAGGAAGCGGGCGAAGGAGGGCAAACAACCTTTTTTCTTTCTTTTTTCTTCTTTTATTTCTCCTCTTGTGCTGTTGGCAATGTAGAATAGGCATGCGTGTAGTGGTATTGGGTTACCCTAAGAAAAGAAAACAAGCCCTTTGACTAGCAGGAGAGACGCCCTCACGCCCTCGCGTCTCTCCTCATGTACACCCAAACATACTTGCCCCATGAATCCCTGCTGCCCGTGATCTGCTCGTTCTCCTCGCCCGGCGTCTTCCCCTCGGCGAAGGCGTCCAAGTCCGCCTCCAGCCTCCCGGCCTCGCGGAAGCCCTGCCGCTCGAACGCGGCCTTGCCGCCCATGGACGACTGCACCCAGCAGTACACTCCCGGCTCCGCGTCCGCCTTGTCGGTCCCCCACCTCATCAGCCGCGACCCGACGCCGCGCGACTGGAAGTCCGGGTGCACGACGTAGCTGCACAGGTACCGGCACCGCGCCCCCTCGGGCATGAACCGCCGCACCCAGTACCCCATCGACGCGTCCGTCAGCTCGCCCAGCTCCGCCAACGTCCCCGCCGTCCTCCCGCCGAGGCAGGCTTCCGCCGTCGGCTCCTGGGACGGGCCGTCGCCCAGGGGCCCGTCCGTGTCGCCGGCGAACCCCCTCCGTACCCACCCGGCCCAGCCCACCAGCTTGCCGCTGCCGGCGGGGTGCAGCTGCTCGGCGACGACGACGTCGACCTTGGGGTGGTCCACCCAGGACGCCAGCGCCTGCGCCATGCCCTCGGCGAAGTCGTCCGCCCCGCGGAACGCGGCCTTGAGCTGCGTGTGCGCGTCCGTCCGGAACGCGGCGTCGGCGATGGAGGCGAGGACGGGGACGTCGTCGCGGGTGGCGAGGCGGATGACCACGTCGGCTTTTGCGGGGCGGCCGGCGGCGGCCGGGCTTGAGGCGGAGGCGGAGGCCATTGGTGCGGAAGGCGTCTTTTTTTCTTGGCGGCGAGGACCGGACGGCCCTTGTGGTGCGGAATTACGTGTGCGGGGTGAGAGAGATGAGAGCTTGGCCCGGTCATGTGGCGGACATGTTTAAGGGACGAAGGAGGGCCATAAACTGATATTACCTGGACGGGGATATGCCGGCTATCGCGCCCATCCCCCTTCTCCTCTCCTTGAGGGATGTCAGATACGTGGCCCCTTATACCCGATACGGACTGGCCGGATGGGGGGATCTGGTTCTTGGGAGAAAATCTCACCTTACCCACACTTGGTAATCCCGTTCGTTGAAGAATTGACCAGTTGGTAACATACTTCTCGCTGAAAGAAGCCTCTGTTGATGTAGTTCCCTGCCTATTGGCGAACCATCCAGCGAGCCTGTTCATATACCGTCCATCAGGTCAAAAAAATCACACCAGCTAGATATCCGAAGATATCACCCGGTGCGGCATTTGGATGGATACCATGGCATCGCCGTAGTTGGCACCGAGTCTTGACCTCGCACCAGTTCACAACCATTCGTTTAATCCGACCAGGAGGAAGCTGCCGCAGCCAGTAGATGACCAAAAAAGAAGCACCTGGTCATTGCCATCTCGATGAGAAACCACAGCCTAGCTGCCGGGCCCAGCAACAGGTGCAAACTCGGACGAGTGCTACCCAGGGGAGTCCCAGCCAGGCAGTTTGCATTCGGTCGCATTGCCTCATCCGGGAGCCTTTTGCTTCCTCATCACATCAGAAGAAACGGCCCCACCGTGTTGCATGCACGTCATGCCACGCATTCAGGCCCGGACAACGGTGATCCCAGGGGGTTGGGAGGCGATGACGAGATGCCCAGGGACTCCTTGCCCATACCTACCTACACACACGTCGGTACGCAAGAGACGCACAGCCGAACGTTTGTAGAATTGGCCAATCTACTGCTAGACCCTTGGAAACCAACGTGTTGGCCCTGGATAGCACGAATCACGTACCCCGCGTGGGCTCGATAACGCGATATCAAAGCGCTTCACCGAGCCTGCCTAGGTATTAGAAGAGGCTTGGGTGTGCGTCTAAAGGCTTTGTTCATAGGACGATACGTCACAACTCGCTGCTCAAGGAGGCGATATATCGGTTACTCTGACCCAGTGACGCCTCTCGAGTTGCATACTACATGGCGCCGTCACGTCATGGGCTTCACTCGTCGTCCAGCGGTAAAGTTGTTGTAGGAAACTAATACAGGTTGACTGTACGTGTCACGCAATAGCGGCACCCCTGAACTGCCGGCAGCAATTCACGCTTGAGTTATATACTCGGTGAGAGAAGGCAACCCGAGCATCGTACGCCGCCCGAAACTGCAACACTACGCCAGTATAACCACCAAATAGTATCCAACGAGAAAGTTGCAAGGGGATGTCCGATTCTTGCACAAGGATATCGGCTGCGCAAGCAACTACGTTTGGGTAAATCGTCATAATCTGGGGAAGAAGGGTGCCGCGTGGACGAGGCTGATACAGTGGCGACGGTACCAGCCAACCCCGACGTTGCAGAAGATGAGGGTCAACTCAAGATGGGGACGAAAGCCGCAGGAAAACATCACCACGGTCTTTGAAGCGTGATGCTCCGGACCATCGCATCGCGTAGTCGACAACGCTCGGGCGTTTCGCCATGGCGCCGATCTACCCCGGACGATCATCGCAGGAGACCTCGACGAGCAGCGGATGCTCGGGGAGAAAAGAAAAGAAAAAACAGAAAAAAATAAGAAAGGCTCTTTCTGGGCGGCCCTTCTAGCTGGGGTTCTAGAATCTACCTGAAGACTTGTTTGGCGGCCACAGGGAGGGGAGAAGGTGCGTCAACTGGCGATGGATACGTTTTGCCGATTCGACGTTGGATTATGGAAACCCTCGACCTTGTGCAATGCCGGCAATGCAGAACAACCTTCAAACAAGGTTCTACGGCTAAAGCCAGCGAATAGGCCCTGTCCCGTGAATACGGGTACGAGAGTTGTGAATCCCGGCGGGGAGCGAAGTGTTTCGAGGGCAACCCAATCCTTGCCTCTACACCTGGTGGTGATCGTTACAACTTGTAAGGCTTTCGAGCGCACCATCAGCTTAGACTACGCCTCGATGGAATATGCCTGACGAGAAAAAGGCATAAAAAAGCATAGTCTTTCACGCTCCAAGGGGTCGGCTGGGTGTGAATGCGTCCCCGCCCGCCACGGGCATGACGCTAGTCTCTCATCAAATGCCCGTTACGGTAAGACCCTCGTCGTCGGAAACATGCTACACCCTTGCGCATCCCAGACAACTCGGCCAGTTGATATAATGTCCAACGCCGCAGACGGGGTGGTGGGTGTCCCGACTCGGCTGGCCCAGCGTGTGAGGGTCGTCGAACGGCCTTGCATGCTTTGACTGCGTTGCCCACCTTTGGACGAACGTTATATAGGCAGAGGAGAGAGTGAGGGAGGAGGGGGGATTATCCAAGATTCATCCCAGCGTTTCGTCCCTATGCGCCGCCTGTTGGGAGACTTTATGACGTCCTGACGTGACGCGCGATCAAAGGTTTCTCTGCTCTGTGCCCGTTGAGAGCATATTAAGGGCGAGGTAGGGCCCCCGGTAACATTCGAGGATCAGTAGCTTGAAGCTTCATCAATATCCTTCGGACTCCTGCAATCAACCCATCTATAACACCAGGCCCAAAAGCCCCAAGAAAAGACACCAAATACCATAACCTAGACGTTCGGATACTAATAGTACGTCAAAATGCTCGGCATCGGCGGCCGGATATCCGCGATTATCCCCATCATCGCTTCGGCTGTCGCCGTCGCGCTCTCCGTCGTCATGTTGGCAGCCGGGACACAAACAGGCAATGCGGGCGATAACTTTTGGCTATCGGTGAGTTTCAAGACCAAGACACACGGCCATCGCCCCTCTCCCTACCTCAAATGTGATCTCGACTGACGCGCGGGGGGAAACCTGTAGATGAACACGTCCAAAGTTGGCCAAGACATCATCAAGGTCCAGGCGGCGAACAACACCAACGGGGGGAATGGAGGCGGACTCATCCCTGGCGTTAACGACCCGACGGGAATCACCCAGGGGATCGGTAATGCCCTCGGGGGGCTGCTCGGGAACCTCACCAACTCCATCGGCGACGGCGTGCAGGATATCCAGGGTCAGCTCGTCGGAAACCTGACCCAGCTCCTCGGCGTCAAGGACAACTACCGCCTCTATCTGACCAAGATCTGCGAAGCCACCTATGCAGACGATAACAACCCCAAGAGCAAGGTCACCATCGACAACTGCGAGACCTACGACGACAAGAAGTCCGGTATGACTGGATTTCCTCCCCAAAGATAAGTTGTGGCACATATGCTGACCTAAGAAAAAAAAAAAAAAACAGGCCTGAGAAACATCACCGACTCTATCCCGTCGTCCTTTGTCGTCGGCACCGCCAACGTTTCCGTCCCGCTCGTCGCCGCTCTAGCCGGCACCTTGAGCCAAGTCGGCGGCCTGGGCAGCGGCGGCGCCAAGGCCATGACGGCCATCCTCGCCATCGGCACCACCTGCGTCGGAATCGTCCTTCTGTCGACGCTGCCCATCCTCCTCTTCGGCTTTGTCCGCGCCCTCGTCCTCGTGTCGCTCATCTTCTCGCTGCTCGCCTCCCTCGCCCTCCCGACGTTCGCCGTGATCACGACCGCGATCGTCTACGGCGGCAGGAGCATGCTGAACAAGACGATGGACGCGTTCGGCATCCAGATCCAGGCGGGCGGGCCCTTTATCGCCATGGCCTGGGTCGCGGCCGTGGCCTCGATGGCCGCCGCGGCGTACTGGTTCATGGTCTGGTTCGTCAGCTTCAGGCGCACGGCCTTCAGCAGGCGCAAGCGCACCGAGAACGAGGTCGGCAACTGGAGGGGCATCTTCCGTGAGGTCAAGGGAGACCTGAAGACGTGGGAGGGAGGCGAGAAATAAGGCGTCCGAGCGAACGTCAGCCCGCACGTCTGTTGTAATGGGAAAAACGATGGAACATATATTTTCACAATATGGTGAGGAACAGTACATATTGGGAAAAGTCTTGGAACAACCAAAGACAGGCTGGGCAATAGCGGAGCGGTCTCTAGGTAGCGTGTGCTTATTTTGACTTTTGGAAATCATGTTATGCCACCATCGGCACAAGGCCAAGCGCTATTTGTTTGTATAAAGGTACATTTTGTAATGTATTTTTGGTGTCGTATCCGAAAATATGTATACGAATCATTGCGATACCGGTTCGTCTCATCAGGCGTGAATCTTGAAAAGAAATGTCAAAAGCTCAACCTTGGTTGAGTCAACGCAAATGCCAGCGGTGATACTACCTTAACGTATCCAACCATACGCATCATGTTATGAATGTAGTGTAATATAACAAAGGCGAAGAGGGATATGGAGACCAAGAATTCAATTTGTTATAAGTTAGGCAATTTCTATTACTTTTTGACTCTTAAAAAGAAGTTCTTATATACCCCAACAGTTGGATGTCACCATTCGACACTCGATAGACCCAAAATCCCATTTCTTATGTTTGATCACCGACATGCACACCTGAACGCATTCATAACCTCCACGCCACCTCTGACGTTGGCGACACCGCCCGATCAGTAGGGGGAGCGGATATGCACCCGCATGTTGCCGTTGCCCCAGGCATTGTTCTGCCCATAGACGAGACCGTCACGGGTGCAGGCATCCATAATGGCACCGGCCGAGCGGGCAACGTTGCCGCAGGGGCTGGAGGTGTCCCTTGGAGGGTTGCCGCCGGTTGCCACGCCGGTGATCTGGGCCTGGCCGCGTCGGCAGAAGGATGTGGCGCTGACGACGGCCCTGCACGCCACATTGGCGCGCTGGGCGATGAAGTCGATGCACCAGACGGCGTCGGCGACCTTCAGGATGAACGTCAGTGGGTGGGACTTCCCATGGTACATGTTTTACACGAGGGGGGGGGCAAGAGGACTAGGAGGGCTTACCGAGGCGGCATGCGCAGGGTCGTTGAAGGTGCAGCTGACATCGGCCTGGCGCTTCTCAAGTCCATCTAAGAACGGAGAGGTTAGCCTTTACATCCGGATCTGGAGAATATGGTTTCTAGAAAGAGGGACGTGCTACGAACCGGTTGAGGTCTGGTTGAAGGCGAGGGCAATAGCCTCCTCGGGCGAAGGATGCTGGCCGTTGGGGTTGGTGATGATGTCGTCTGCCCACTTCTCGAAGGAAAAGGGAACAGCCCCCGCCTCTCTGACTTCAACGTTATCCGCGACGGCAGCCGGGGCAGCAGCGACGAGGGGAATGAGGGCCAAGAGACCAGCGGTGCGGATGAAGTTGACCATCTTGAAGGCTGTGGTGTAGTAAGACTGAGGCGAGAGAGAGAGAGAGAGGGAGAGACAAAGATGACGGGGAGATGAAGTGCCGACCTGAAGAGGATAGAGACAGGTCTGGCATCTGCGAAGAGAGATACTTTATATAGTTTTCGACATTCTCTTTGATGTCCTTGGAGGACTACTTACGCGCATGGCACAAGCGGACCTCTGGATCTTCTCTACCCGCAACAGTCTCCCCCCTATACGACCATTAGGTTCCCGCCGCAGGCATCCTTACATGTATTGCCAGGAGGCGAATCCTCAAAATGGAACTGAGGCGATTTAGCGGACCCTATCCAAGGGTGTAACCGTGCGGTTCGTGACGACGGGCGAGGGCCGAGATGCCCGTGGTGGAGACTTCATATCCACTCCGGCTCAGTAGCATAGTGTAGAGCTGAGAAGGATTTTGTCCCGCGTCGCCTTCAGCTATTTTCGAAGCGCCAGCTCTGCAACCCACCTTTGTGGCCCTCAGTCCCGGAGACACACCGGCTTGGCTCTATGTGAGAACTGCGGTCTAGACATGGTCGGCAACAAGCGAAGCTTGGCAACTCCTCTGAGAGTGAGTCTAGCCATGACACGAGCAAGACGACCGGCCTAATCGAGGGTAGAAAATGGAGATCGCGCAGCTCGGCTAGGGGAACACGCACCAGGCAGCCATATAAAAGGCTTCTCCGCAAACACATGATAGGCTCGCTCGCAATGGAGATCGGTCCAAGGAATCAAGTTATATGGAGCCCTAAGGCGATACCCGACATTGCAGCATTGGCTAGCGCTGATGGGAGCATCGGCCAAGGTGTAGGATAGCTAACCGACTCGAGGTTCGCTTTTACAGCTCCTGAAGGAATCAGCTTCAGCATAGGATTTGGTAGCGAAGAAGGACACAAGAGAGTAGTAAAGTAGCTACGGATCCATCATGATCCTTCGCTACCATATCATGTAAGCCTAGACTCAAGTGCTTTGAGCTTCCTAAAGCAGCTAGTTCGGAAATATCGGCAACTCATTTTCCCATTCACCGTAATTGGAGTTCAAAATGGAGAAGCCAACGCGTGTGTGGGCTTTCTCTTTAACTGGCGTCTTTTTTTCTCTTCTTTTTTCTTTTCTTATTTCCAATATCTTCAGTGACACAAGAAGGAGTACAGCCTGGAAGAAACCAAATCAGACCATCTTGATATACAAATCTTTCCATACATGGCTGTTAGTGCAGGGCTGATAGAAGCAATGTTCCGTCTTCCCAGGTAATATTCACCTGCGTTTGATGAGTACCCTCACAGGGCCAAAGTGGCGTCGTGACATAGCAAACAAGTGTTTATTTCTTCTTCGTAACTACGCAGCATAGATCTGTCGACGAGCAAAACAACTATACCATGAATCACTAAGCAACATCGCCCCTCTGACCAACAGCGAACATGACAATTCTCTATAACCCAAACACAGGCATCAAAACATGCCGCCGGACGTCTCCGCCCCAAAGAGGTCCACCCACCGCATCGCAGGCCTCGGCGCAGAACACTCCGTCCCGTTGACACAGACGCCGAACCCGCAGCAGTTGTCGACCAGGCACACTGCGCCCCCGCCGCACGGCGAAGTCTCGTTGCACCGCGAGTACGCGCCGCACCCGCCCGACCGGAAGGCGATCCCCCTTCCCTCGAGCGTCGTGCCGCAGAGGCAGTCGGGCGTCTCGGTCGACGCCTCGAGGGGGTAGTGCGGCCCCTCGTCGTCCGTCACCACGCACTTGCGCGGGTTCGGGCAGCACGCGAGGGCCGTGGGGTCCGTCACGTTGCGCTCGTACTCGGGCGCCGGCGAGGGCACGGTGGAGATGTTCGCCAGCGGGACCGGGGTCGCGGGCGCGCCCGCCGTGAAGGTCAGGTTCAGCGTCTCCGAGGAGATGAGGGAGCGGCAGACGTCTGTCCGGACGGCCGCGGCGCCGTATCCCGCGACCATCCCCTCCAGGCCCGAGCTGCCGCCGCCGTTCGAGGTGGAGTTCCCGAAGGTCGCGACCGAGAAGTCGTACACCCTCATGAAGCTGTCAATGACCGAGAGGATGCCCCGGCCCCGATCGGTGCCGAGGTTGAGTCCGGCGTCGAGGAACGGCTGGAGGAGAGCGTCGACGTTGACCACGCCGCCGAGTTCCCGGGATAAGAGACTCCATACGGACGTGAACGGTGGGCACGTCCCGGCTAAGGAGCCCCGAGTGAGTTGGTCCAGCGTCTGCTGGACAGCGGTCTCGCATTCCGTCGTGCTGCTCTCGCCGCCGGGGAACGCGCACCTTGCGACAAAGGTCCCCGTCGTCTCGGGGAGAACAACGCATTCCGTGCCGCCGAGAGAGACGGAGACGGGAAGGTCGGCGCGCGCGGGTTCGCCGCATTGATCCGTGAGGCGAAGAGTCACGTTAAACGCCTGTTCCTGTCTCCTATCCAGTGTGCCCCTGAAGACTGGAGGAGGACTAGACGTGCGTGTGCTGTTGACGGGGACATCGCTTGTCCCGCCGCAGCTCGTGTTGGTCAACGCGCTCAGCTGCTCGGAAAAGCCTGATATGAAGACGTCAATCTTGGGAGAGCAGTTCGGCGAGGTGAAGTGCAGCCCCTCGCTGTCGACGGAGAGCACATTGCCCGCCCCGTCAATGATGGCAACCTTTGATGGATCCGAGACGTCGACAAGGATCGGATCGGTGTTGTTGTTCCTCAGTCGGAGGTACTTGACCGAGTTGGTGGCAGCGTCCAGATAGAATGCGTCCATGTACGGCGGCTCGCGACCTGTGTTGTTGAGAACGGACTCGTGGAGCGCGGCGATCGGAGTGGGCTCTGTGTAGCATGTGCTTCCGTTCTGAGCTGCAATGACGGAGATCCCGGTGAAGGCCGAATCGTAGCTAGTGGTCGCTGTTGCTGAGCTCCTCGTTGTTGCAGAGGAAGACAAAGAAGCAGTTGACGCCGTGCTCTCGGTTGTCGTTGGGATGCTCCCGTTGAGTGTGCTTATCAATGTGGCGCCTCCGGACAGAGTCAAGGTAGAGACGCGGCCGCTAATGGTAGAAACCACTTCTGCTGCACTCCCTGTACTCGTCAAAGGCTGCGGCAGCGTTCCGAAGACGGTTGAGCCGCCGATGACGGTCCAGGTCGAGGCGGTTCCATCGACGACGCTCGTGATCACTGTGGGGGTAGCAGAAACTGTCCGAGTTCCTCCCGCTGTGTTGTTTGCAGATCCAAGAATGGTTGAGCCGCCGATGACAGTCCAGGTCGAGGCGGCTCCATCGACGACGCTCGTGATGACTGTGGGAGTAGCAGAAGCTGTCTGAGTTCCTCCCGCTGTGTTGTTTGCAGATCCAAAGATAGTTGAGCCTCCGATGATAGTCCACGTCGAAGCGGCACCTCCAACAACGCTGGTTATGACCGTAGCCTGGCCGGTTTCCGTTGGCCTGCCAGAGACTGTCGAGCCCCCGATCACCGTCCACGACGATGCAACACCGTCAATGATGCTGGTGACGATGGAAGCACCGGGAGGTAACGCCGGGGTTGCTGAAATCGACGTATCGAGTGACCCAGTGACAGTAGATCCTCCGATGACGGTCCAGGTAGACCCGACGCCGCCAACGACGCTGGTGATGACCGACACGGCGCCGCTCTGGGTCGGAGTCGACGTCGTCCCGTCGGGAACTCCGGAGACGGTCGAACCCCCAATCACAGTCCATGAAGAAACAGCTCCGTTGATTACGCTCGTGACGACAGAGACCGGGGCGGAAGCAGACGTGGCCAAAGACGAGGGTCTAGAAAGAGTCGAGCCTTCAACAAGAGTCAAGATTGATGTGACGCCGCCGATGACGCTCGTGATGACACTGAATGCGCCACTGGCAGTTTCGGATGAGACGGGAGCTGTGACTGTGGCCGGGGGGCTCGACGAGTCGACCAGGGTCGAGCCTCCAATGACGGTCCATGTCGAGGCGATGCCACCTACGATGCTAGTGATTACGCCAACAGATCTGCTCTCTGTCTCAGAAAGAGTTGGAGGAGTCGAGACGGTCGTGTTCCCCGTAGAAGAGGCACTCGCTGTGACTCCTCCGACCACTGTCTGCGTTACGCTTACGCCTCCAATGATTGTAGTAATGACGCTTACCACGCCGCTGGCCGTCCCGGAGGGAACCGCAGAAGGGGTCGAAGTCGCCATTGATCCATTCAGCGACGGCGCAAGAGTAGGGTTTCCAGTCACCGTCCAAGTTGTACCCACCCCTCCGATGATACTCGTAATGATAGTCAAGGCACCACTGGCGGCTTCGGAGGGAGTTGCCCAAGGAGTTTCAAAACTCGTCGTTTCGCTCGGGCGAGAAGTGGCATTTGTCCCTCCCGTGACTGTCCAGGTCGTTGCAACGCCTCCGATGACGCTCGTGATGACGGTGAAACCGCCTGTGACTATCTGCGAGGGGGCTTCGGATGGAGTGGACGTCCCCAGGCTCCAAGTGCCGGTGACTGTCGACCCCCCAATCACCGTCCACGTTGACCCGACGCCGCCAACGAGACTGGTAATCACACTGAAAATCCCCGAAGCAGTCTCGGAGGGTGCGAGAGACCGAGGCGTCGAGGTACTGTTGGGAAACGGCTGGATCCCACTCGTGGTTCCCACGGTGATTGTCCACGTCGAACCGCCCCCGTCGCTCATGATCGTAGTCACCGCAGGTGGAATCTGCGCCAAAGACGAAGTCGTAGATCCATCAACGGAGCTTGCGGATGAGCTGGGAGTCAACGACAGACTCTGGGTGGACGCAGCCCCGGCGCTCGTGTTGGCCAGGCTGCTGATCGTGGGGATGATCAGCGTCTCAGACGACGTGGGGAGCGGAGCGTCAGAGATGGTGGTCGTAGTCCCGTTCAAAACCAGTGTAGTCGGCCTAGCCACAGATCCGGATGAGGTGGTGCTGGTGCTGGGCGGCGGCGCAGGACGACCTCCGCTGTCCCCATCACTCGGAAACGAGAAGCTCGATGTGGAGGTGCTACCGCTGCTAGATGCAGCAGAGCTATAGACCAAGATGGTGCTGACCACGGTCTCGGTAACCTGCACCGTCTTGGTAGCCTCGCCCCATCCACAAGTCGAGGCCGTGGTTGTCGACTGGCCGGCGTCGGGGAAAGAGTAGGTGTATCCGCCGTCAAAGACTGCGCTGGACGTGGTAGACGAGGCGAGAGTGTCCGAGGCCGCAGTTGACGAAGACGCGGCCATGGTAGTGGTGGAAAAGTCGCCAGACACTGAAGTGTCAACGGCCAGACTTGTAGTCGCGGACAGCGAGTGACACGGCGCTGCTGCTGATGTTCCGTTAAGGCCGAGAAGACAAGAACACTACGCCTCGTCAGCACGTCCCCCCCCCCCCCCCCCCCATCCCTGGAAGTTATCTTCATGGACCGGCGGCGGCTACTTACAGCAGACGAGAGAGGCTCGGGAGCATACGTCGCCGGCACGCCGACGGGGGGACCCGAGAACGTCGCGCCTGTGGAAGCATTCAGGAACGAGGAGCAGTACGCCGTCCCGTTGTGGCGCTCCATAGCCCGGAGGAGATTGTCGGCATGACACCCCTCTGCCGCAGCCATCACCGCGGCGCCCACGAGGACGAGGAGAGATGGGAGGCACATCGTGACAAAGCTCAGCTGCGAGAAAAGACTGAACAAGGGGAAAAGGAGGTGAGGGGGGGGGGGAAGAAAAGGAAAAAAGAAAGAACGTGAGAATGGTTATAGCGAGCGTAAAGGGCGGAATAGGATCAGCTTCGTCGACCGTGGGTCTCTCGGTGAGGGAGTTCCATCGTCCCTCAACCTCCCCTCCCCCCCCTTCGACCAACGCATTTATACAAAGAAACAAACAGCCAAGGACGATTGCACACCGGGTATCTCGCACTCAAGCAGTGTTCCCAATGCCGACACTCCGAGAAGGAACCACAGTCCCGAGACATCTGACAAAAGTCGTGACACGCTCCCCCAGTCCCTCATCCATGGTATTGGCGGTGACCCCTCCCCCTCCCACCCGGCGATGCCCTCGGTGTAGATAATGACTCCAGAAAGAGAGAACGACGTGTGGAGATTGGCACCTTATTTCGGCGCCCCCGTGAACCCATATAGTCTGTATCACGTCCTCGAATGAGTCCCCAGGGGGGACACACGGTTCGACGTCGCACGCTCAGCTCGCCATGCGCGCACCCGAGACCAGCAGCAGGCCGTGGATCGCAGAGATCATGCAGGTTATCAGGATTGACAGCGCTCAGCTGCAGACGGCATAGGGAACCCCCCCCCCTCTAGTTCGGTTTTGATACCCATGTCCAAGAACTCCGTTGTCCTCCATCGCGGCTGTATCAGCCAACGCCACCTCGTGAGAAGACTCGTTTACCCCCTTCCAACATGACACGATCCGTCCAGACAACAATGATTGACTCACCTGGAGGGTCCCCCCAAAAAGACCTGTAACCCTTCACCTCGTCAAACGGGACACACACCAGGGGTAAAAAGGTACCAAGACCACACAACATCCAGAACTCCGAGAACAGACCCTGGAAGCGAGGTTGAACAAGAATCAGGAGGGGGTATGATGGATCAAGAAAAGGGGCCACCACGGGGTCGGAGGAACGTCTTCGCTCGACAATCGACATGGACCCTTTGCTTCAAGATGGAAAAGCCAAGAAACCTCCAGTTTTCATCATTACATCTACCCAGCGCCCCTCGTACAGTCATTATACCCATGACACACATTGAACCGACCCAGCTCCAATGAGGGTACAAATGTACCAGATAACGTCGACCGGAAAAGACGCACGTTGAAAACAAAAAAAAATAGAAATCCATCATTCGTTACACTTTCTCATCCGTCCGACGGCCCATCTCACCGCGCCATCGTTGTCTGCTGCGTGGCCGTCTGGGTCTGGCCTTGCTGTCCTCCCCTCCTCACAATGTAATCCTGGTTCTCGATCGTCACACTCTTCGTCATGTGATTCACCTTGTAAACACCCACAAGCCGGGCGGCCAGCTCGAACATGTTGTTTCGGAGTGAGATGACAATGAATTGGGCGTTCTTCGTGCGCTCCTTGATGTAGTTGGCGACGATTGAAACCTAAAAAGGTGGAATTAGCATGGGTGAACAAACGATGATAAGGGCCGAGATGGGGATGGATGGATGGATGGATGACTTACGTTTCTGAAATCCAAGGCAGCGTCAATCTCGTCCATGACGTACAGAGGCGTCGGCTTGTAGTGATGCAGGGCAAAGACAAGCGCCAAACTGCTGAGCGTCTTCTCGCCACCCGACAAGTTGCTAATGTTCTTCCATGATTTCTTGGGAGGCATGACGCTGAACAGAATACCCTCGCTGAAGGGGTCGAGGGAATCGACCAGCTCGAGTTCGGCGTTACCACCCATGGTGATCATTTGATACATCTCCTTGAGGCGCAGGGAGATGGTGCTGAAGCCCTCCATGAACCCTTCGAGGCGCAGACGCCGGAGCTCGTCACATCGCTTCTTGGCAGCGTCGCGCTGGTCGACGGCGCTCTGGAGGTCGGACGAGCGGGCGGCGTGCTCCTCGACACGGCGGCGGTACTCTGCGAGCACACCAAGGTCAACGTTGACGTTCTGCGTCTTCTCCTCCAACGCCGCGATCTCCCCCTTGAGCTTCTCCTTGCTCATGTCGGCAAGCTCGTCAGGGGTGTACACAGGCAGCTCCTGGGGCTGGCTGGAAGGTCGCTCAGGCTGTTCGGGCTCTTCGTCGTCCTCTTCCACTTCAGATTGCCGCGAGTCATCGCCGTCGACTGCATCTTGAGTCACGGTCCGATCACCATCACCCTCGCTCTCGTCGCCTTCCTCTCCCCGCACAGGTGCTGGTGCAGGGGCACGAGGTTTGGGAGCGGAGCTCGAGGTGCCCGTCAGGTCATCCACGTTCTGGAGCGTCAGCTTGGACAGCTTGTCGTTCCAGTACATGAGCCTCTTCTGGTTCTCGGCCAGAGTCTTCTGGTTTTCTTCGAGCTTGTTGCGCATCTCAATCTCGATTGCACGGGTGGCGTTCAGCTCGGTCGTCTTCTCGTCGAGTTCGGCTTTGAGGGATGACAGCTCCCGCTTCTTGTCCGCCAAGCCCTCCTCGGCCTCCTCAACCTGGCTCTGCAGTGACTCGGCCCTCTCGCCCTGGTTCTCGATCTCGTGATCGAGCTTCTCGAGATCGCGGATCGCCGCCTCGATCTCCTTGGTTGCCTTGGCGTGATCTCTCTCGAGCTTCGTCTTTTGCTTCTCGGCCTTGACCTTGCGAACCTCGGCGTTGGACGTCTCCTCGTTCTGAGAAACGATCTCCTCCTTCAGGGAGTCGACGTTGGCCCTCTGCAGGCGGAGCTTCTCACCACCGACCTCCATGATCTTGTCTTGGAGGGCCTTGATTTCTTCTTCGACACCAGACGTCTCGTCGTGGAGCTTCTCGACCTCCTTTTCGAGCTTGGCAATTTCCTTGCGGAGAGCGGCGATGCGTTTGTCGTCCGAGGCCGAAGGCTGGTGCTCCTTGCTCAATTCCTTGATGCGACGGTGAGCGTCGGCGAGATTCCGGGCGGCACTGTCGATTTCCAGAGTGATCTTCTGCATCTTGGTGTCGAGCATGGGGATCTGCTCGTTGAGCTCACGAAGTCTCGTCTCGAGCTGGCGCTGCTGTTCCTGAAAGTCGTTGTATTTCTCTTCCAAGACGTCACGGTCCTCCTCGAGCTTGGCGACTTGCTCCTTGGAGGTCTCGGCGACGAGCTTCGATGACATCAGGCCTCTCTTGACGGTCGAACCACCACCAGACATGGTACCAGACTTGTCGATGAGCTCGCCGGCCAGGGTAACAACACGCCATCTCTTGGCGCCGTATGCGATTCTGTTGGCTTGAGCAAGGTCGTTGGCCACCAGAGTGTCTTGGAGAGCGTGGTAAAAGGCAGGCCGGAACTTTTCCTCTTTGGGGTTGACGAGGTCGAACAGACGAGGGGCGTTCTCTGGGGTCTGGATCGGTTTCATGTCTCGCACCCTGAGCTTGTCCAGACACATAAAGTTGCCGCGGCCAAGGTTGGTCTTGCGGAGGTGCTCGATGCACTGCTGACCAGCCTCGACAGTGTCGGTGACAAAGTTGTCGAGGGCTCCGCATGCCGTCGAGATGGCCACGTCGTACTTCTGATCGATGGCGCCAAGGTTACCAAGTCTGCCGTGAAACCCGTCGATACGGCCAGACTCGCGCATGCGCATCAAAGCCGTGAGCACGTTGCCCTGCGTCTGCGTCTTAGACAGACTAGAACGAGCCTCGTCGGCCTTCTGCCGGGCGTTGGACACCTTTGAGCGAATCTTGGGCTCGTGGGCGTTGAAGCGAGCCAGTTCCTGTTCGACCTCCTTTGCCTCCTCCTCCAGTGCCGCCTTCTCGGCTTGGCACTGCTTGAGTTCCTTGGCCTTGGCGGTTCTGGCGTCTTCGATGGCGGCTATCTTGGCCTCCGTCTCCGAGATGGCTACCGAGCCAGCGTTGGCCTTCTCTTCGAGGATGTTCATCTCGCTTTGGGCGACAGCAATGGCGGACTGCTTCTGGTTGATCTTCTCCTTCCAAGGCTCCAGAGACTTTTGCTTGGCTGCAATCTGGTCGGAAAACTTCTGTGTCTTGCCCTTGAGGCTGTCACGAATGGCCGCAAGCTCGACCTCCTCTTCCTGCACCCTGACTTCGAGCGAAGCAATCTCTTTGGCACGGTCCTCGATCTCCTGAGTGCATTGGGTGATGGTCTCCTCAGCTTCCACCGCAGACTTCTCGGCGTTGGCGATAGTCTTCTCCAGCTTCCTCTGCTTGTCGTTGAGGAACTTTTTCTTCTCGTCGAATTTGACACGCTCTTGCTCGAACTTGGCCATCTCCTTAACCAGGGCCTCAGTCTCCTTTGCCTGCACCTCGAACTCTTTGTTGCCGCGAGAGTATGCTTTTTGCAGCTCCTTGATGACCTTTTCGCTGCCGTGGTGTTTTTCCAGCTCGTCATCCAATTGGGCCTGCATTTGGCTAATGGCCTCTCCGGTGACGGCAAGGTTGTCGTTGCACTCTCCAATGTACAGCTGGTAGAGGGCGGACTTCTTGATCGTGAGCTCGTTCTCGTCGCGGATGTATGCTAGCGCCTTGTTCTTCTTGTCTTCGAGACTGTTCTTCTCCTTCTCGACATGCTGAACACGGCCGCTCTTTTCCATACAGATTTCGTTGAGGGTCTCGACCTCGGCGGCGGATTCCTCAATCGGTGCCTTGTACTTGGACGTGCCGATGATGTCTTCGAGATATTCGAGAAGGCCGTCGTCGTGCTCGTTGGCAGCCTTGGGTTTCATCTGGGCGATGGACTCGACCTCACCCTGCAGGATGAGAAAACGCTTGTGGTCGAGGTCAATGCCGCGGTCGCGGAGGAGGGTGGTGACGCTGGTGAAGTTGGAGGTCTTGCCGTTGATGTAGTAGGAGCTGGAATTGTTCTTAAAGGCCTTGCGAGAAATGATGAGGTCGGAATCGGGAATCACTTCGTGACCACCACCGGGCTGCGCCTTGGTCAGTTGCTGTTTTTAAAAATATAAGGAAAAGGGTCGCGGGTGAACAAACCTGGTCCATGACCTCTCGGAAATGCACAGCAACCTCGCAGTAGTCAAGGTTGGGATGCTGGGCCGAGTTGTGGATCAGAGCAGAGAGCTTGCCCTGACGCATCTTGCTAGCACGGAAACCAAAGACGAAGAGTAGGGAGTCGATGACGTTGGACTTCCCGGAGCCGTTGGGGCCGACAACAGAGGAGAAGGAACCGTGAAAGGGGCCGACCTCCTGCCTCCCAGCGTAACTCTTGAAGTTGGTAAGGATCAAGTAGGAGATGACAAGGCGGGGCTTGGGGGTCGTGTCCTCGACGACAGGAACCGCAAGGTTGCGCGACTTCAGCACGATGTCCATGGGCTTCTCCAAGACGGTGTCCATGGCGCGGACAGGCTTAAACGGGGTTTGCGTATCATCCGGGGTAGATGTTTGCTCGTTAACACTAGCAGCTGTGATATCGGCCAGAGGCTCTGCCTGGCGCCGGGAAGGCTCGGGCGTGGCGGAGGGCTTTTTCTTTGAAATGGCCGAGGGGGATGCTGATTTTGTGGACGCGCGAGAGGCGACACTCTTCCTGGGGCTCCTTGGTGAAGACTGAGGCTCAGTTTTGGTGACAGTCTGGTCGGGATCGAAAACCTCGGTGGGCTCTATCGACGGAGCAACGTCAAGCGTCGTGGGTGCCTCGAGAGTCGAGGGCTCCTCAACTGCCGAAGGCTCCTCCGAAGGCTCCTCCGTTACTGCATCTTGCTCTGCAATGGAAGGCTCATGTACTGTGGATGGCTCCTCGAGGACAGTCGAGGCCTCGAGCGTCGAAGGGGCTTCTGAAGGCGCGGGCTCAGCGTTCCTTTTCGGCCTGCCGCGACGGCGCGGTGCTGTCGTCGTAGTGGGCGCGGCCGGGGCGGCAGCGGCGGGTGCAGCGCTTTTGGTCTTGCGTGCTCGTGTTGGTCGGCGCACTGGGCTCTTTGAGGGCTCCGGGGCGAATTCCTCCTCACTCGACTCCCTCTTGGTAACGTTGGCGATCTCGTCATCGTCATCTGACGAGTCGACGATGGCCTGGCGGCGCGTGGCGCGGCGCGGGCGAGTGGACATTATGCTGGTGTGTAGGTAGGTAGGTAGGTTTGATGGTGGTTAGTCGTGAGAAACGGTCGGGATAGGGGCGCAAAGGACGTAGAAGGCGAGGGTATCTCAATCAGGAAGTGACAAGAAAACCGAGCGCGGGCGAAAAAGAAGGAAAAGAAGCAAGCACAACGATGTCGCGCGTAGCAAACCGGTCTTTTTTTCTCCTTGGTGGTGTTCGGGATGCGAAAGGGAAAATGCAATTGTCTTGTTTGCTTCCCCCACTTTGATTTGTTTGAATTGGTCACCGATTAGGCCGATTGTAAACAAACAAGCCCCACACCACCCGGCCCCACACGTTACACGCCACACGTCACGCGCCACTCTCTTTGCGGAGCCACGCTAACACTCTCGCGACTGTGGCTGGTGTCCAATGAATTGACGTGTTTGCTGTGGCTGGAGCTCCCCGGCCGCGGGCAGGACGAGAGCAATCAATCGGCCGGCCAGTCGCATTTCATGTCGCCAAATAAAATAAAATAAAAACATCTAAATATCGGCCCAGCCCAGACCAGACCAGCCCAGCTCTGAGCTTACTTGTCCAACCTTGTCTTTTCTCGCCTGCCGAGGAAACCGTCCATCACACGCATTACAATGTTTGACTACACCAACTTTGACCACGTCTTTGGGTCGCTACAATTCCCTTACGATCGCAAGGCCATCCAAGGGATCGACACGTTCCGTAAGAGTCTCGATGGCGCCCTGTTCATTGACCGGGTCCTAAAGGCCCTGGGTCTCACCAAAGGTACGATGTTTCTCCTCCTCCTCCTCCTCCTCCTCCTCTCCCAAACAGTAGCAAGGAATCGACTGACGCGTTATAATAGCCAAGACTTACCCCCCAAAGACGGAGAACGCCCTGCGCACCCTACACCAGCAACTCTGCGAAGCCGCCATATCGATGCACCACCGGCTATCGATCTTCTACTATATCCTGCTCGATTTTGACACCAGCCAGACTAGGCCGCAGGCGTCGTCCAAGTTTGCTGTGACTTCGGGCGTCCCGAAGAACTACCAGATCTTCATGAAGGGCTTGTGGCTAATGGACCATCTGCAATTCGAGGTGCGCCCCGCCCCGCCCTGGCTCCGGCTCCCACGGTATTGCGCTCTGCTAACATGTTTCCGTGACAGAAAGCACTCGAGTACATTGCGCACCCCTCGCTTACAACCGACTTCGCCGACGAGATCATGACTGCCCTCGTGCGGCACGCGGCCGAGGGGGACTACACCTTGCCCCTGTCCTATTTCCACACGGTACAGCCTATCCTGAAGACGTCTGCGGCACTGGAGCTGCTGTTCGACGCCATGTCGCGCACAAGCGTCACCGAGGCACTGTATTTCTCCAGGACACACGCCGAGGCGGTGAGAGCACAGCTCTTCCGCCAACTGGTCGCGATAGTGATCGGTGCCCCTGCAAGTGAGGAGACGGCTGCGCGTGCCACTGAACTTGTGGGCCTACCTTTGGATGCGACGGAGGAGACTTGGTTCGAGGAGTATCTGTCGCAGGAAGAAGGCAAGAAGCTGAGGAGGGCACGGGATACGTTGCTCATGCGCAAGCTCGTCACGGGACGATTGAGCGAGGCCGTCAAGGATAAGAATCTGGGAGGCAGATGGGGAGTTGTCTTGGAAGGCATCAAGAGCGGATTAGGTGGCCGGGCAGAGTAACGGCATGTCGGCTGGGAATGGTCCTTGGGTCATGGCTGATGACGGGATCAACGACTGAGTATGGCATAGCGTTGGCGTTGGTGGTTCTTATTTCTGTTCAGATTCATGGGGCAAGCAAGAAGCTTAATTGTCTCACATCAACATGTGGTGCTTAATGATCAACGAAGAAGACAAGCTTGCAACATCGGGCCTCTCATATCTGGCCTGACGCCTGGTGCTTCATCCAGGCCGAGCATCCATGTATCCTCGCAGGTGAGGATCCCGATGAGCAATGTACATAGCACGTAGGTAGTACGGATACACTATGTACAATTACTACGGGACTACGTAATTGGAAAAGTCAGGTGACCCAGTTACACCGAGACTAGACCGAGGAAACATGCGGATGACTAAGCGTCCATCGAGTCACACTCGTACACTACCTCTGGGCCGCTCCAGGCCCCACGGTCTTACCGGAGCCAATAATACCTCCAGGCCTTACACCACCCAAAACTGCTACACCGTCTCGTTCTCGTGCGCATCGCTCATCTCACTCGACTCACCCGGCCGGATACTCGCGGTGATGATGCTTCATTCGCGCAACGCTTGTCTATTTCTTGTTCCGTTCGGAGTCACCAAGGCCTCAGAACGATGAACAACCCGGCCAAAGGCGTCAAGTTTGTCGGGTCCGACGCTTCGGGGCTGCCTCTCAAGCGGAAGCAGGTTCAACAGGCCTGTGATTCATGCCGTAGGAAGAAGGTTTGTCTAACGCGCGACGCTTTCTACGATGCGCAATGTGTATCTGATTCGGCCTTTGCTTTATTTCCATTTTAGAAACGATGCATCCACGCTGAGCCCTCGTCGGCAGAGCCCGCGCAAGCCAACGGGCACGATGGACCCGCGGGATCCTCGCCGGCCAGAGATGTGTTAGTTTCCCAATCTGGCAAAATCTGGATCCAAAAAGGGGGGGGGGGAAACGAAAAGAAAAAAATAAAGCTGACTCTCGCTTTCAAGACATACGGCTTCGGGCATCGCCTCTCCCGTCAAGCATCGCAACTCGACCACTGCAGCTCCTGATGCCTTGTCCATGTCCCCGTCCCGCCGCGACTCGTCCGCGGCAGGGCAGGCGGATCATGCGCAGACCCCTCAGACGCGGTTCGTCGGCGACCTGAACCCCGAGGGTATGTTCGCCGAGGCCGCCGACCCGGAAGCGGCGGCGAACCCTACTCAGAAGGCCGAGGTGGGCGTGTGGCTTCCGTCCGTCAACACGACGGCCGCCCAGTCGACCGCCAGCGTCGTGTCGCGTCCGCTCGCAATGGTCGACAGGGCCCTGTTGCCCTTCGTGAGGGAAAACTGCCTCAAGTGCGTGCCGCCAGAGAAGGATTTCAAGCATCTGCACCGGGTGTATCGCGACAAGATCCACCCCATCTTTGCTTTGATCCCCGAAGATGTGGTGGATGACGGCGACTCCCCGACGGCCGTTGTCATGCGCCAGGTCGTGTCTCTGGCCGCCGCCGCCGATCCCGACATGAAGAGTCATCTGCGCCTGGCGAACCAGGGAAACAAGAAGCTATCCTACCAGGACTTTTCGCAGACGATTTCCGGCTCTGTCCGGACCATCTTGGAGACGAGCCTCATCACGGACCGGACGGTCCATATTCGCGCCCTTTGCATGCTGTCGCTATACGTTCAACCTTCGAGTGCCGATGAGGCAGACTTGCCCGCCCAGTTGGGCGCCAAGGCGGCCCACCACTCCCAGACTCTCGGCTTGCACCTTTTCCACTCCAGCGATGACGCGCTGGATACTCTGTTTTGTGCCGTGTGGGCTCTCGACCGCATCAACGCCGCAGCATACGGAAGACCCTGCGTCCTGCACGAGGGAGACATCGGGCCCGGCCTCGACGACTGCTTCCGGAGACAGCAGCCGTGTTTCCGACTCTTCCTGTCAGTCGTGCAGTGGCTGGACAAGGTCATTGAACTGTACAGGCCGGGCGTCATCGCCCAGTCACTCGAAAGCAAACCGTATATTGACCTGCCGGTCCTGGAGCCCATGATATTGGAAGCCGAGGCCTTGCAGGTTTCCACGCCGCTGCTTGGTACGTCTTTGATTTTTTTTCTTGTTCCTCCTTGGGTTCATCGTTCTGACCGGCTTGCCAGCGACCATAGAAGTCTTCTATCACGCCGTCATCATCCTGTCCTGTCGTCTTTCTAGACCCGGTCCGCCAGCGCAGTATGCGTCCTCCATCCCGCCTGCCTCGGCCAATGCCCGTCGCTCCCTTGCTGCCGAGCGTATATCTTCAGCCATCCGCCGGGACCACCTGAGCCCCGTGCCTCTCGTTCCTTACGCCCTCTCGCTCGCCCTCAGCGTCGAGTACAGGAAGATGCGGCACAGCGCCCTGCCCATGTTTCGCGCGCGTGCCCGCAGCGCCTTCAAGTCCAACTCGGAGCTGATGAAGCGCTTCGGCGACGTCTATTGGAGCGCGAGGGTGGTGGCAGGACTGGGAGAGCGTATCCTACGAGAGATGGAGCGGGCGGCCAACTCCATCGCGCAGGGAGCAGCAGGGGCGCCTTTGCCGTCGTCCGTCACGGATATCCCCACCAATGGGAGGGCCGAGGCGCCTGCCGCGGTGGCTGCGGTGCCGGATGCAGCTCCGGCAGCGTCGACAGCAGCGGCGACCACCACTTCAACCACCGAATTCCCGCCCTTGGACGCCATCGACTTCTCCATCGTGGATGCGATGCCTCATCTCGACGTGTTTGGTCACTTTGACCCGAGTTTCAATCTCCCGGCAATCGATAACGCATTGGAAGCCAACCTCGACATCGGACTGCCACTTAACTGGGGCGAATGGGACCACTTTGCCGGTTGAGAGCAAGCCTTATGATCCGAGATACCCAGTAAGGCTTGCTGTGATCCTGTGCTCAGTACTTTTCAGGTATGCAGCGCTATACTTGAAAGATATGCAAGCCCAGTGAGACGCCTAGGCGAGTACGCAGAAGTTGCATCTTCATTGTACATACCAGCGCTTCGCCTGGGTAAGAGTCTTGGACGAGGCAGCAAGGGAAGATTTAGTAGCCGCCGAGTCTGTGATATTCGACGCCAGATCGAACCACCGATTCACCCTCCACACCCAGCTCTACAAACGATATCGGTCACCAACTGGTATCTACACTAGATATGGTAGGACCGGGTCATCGTCATTGCGTAGCCGCGTTGGCGGTTTGTGCACTGGCACAGCCTCGTTCCCGAGTAGCGAGATTTGAAGCCGAATCGCCTCGGCCTAGGCGACCAACAGCACGTCGCCTGGTATCGAGTGTCGACGTATACAACTGAATCCGTAAGGGCATTTGTCATGAAATAAGACGGCTTAAGGGTCTCTGCGAGGTGCCTCCAAGGTGGAGAGACAGTATTACGGAATAGACTAGATAGTATTAGACAGTCATGTTCCTGGTTTCGCTACAAAGAGACACATCGCTTATATGCTGCTTCTGGCTTATTTCCAAAGACGATAATGACCGTCGAGTACTCTAAACGACAAAGAATCTGCGGTTCAAGAGTCCAATGCTCACAAACCCACCCTGCGATTCATGCCGGGCCTTATTAATCCATGATGCTTCTATATACATAGTATATGCTGACTAATCACCAGGGGTCTTTGATCCCCCCCGCCAAACCCGAAGCTCCGGGTCGCCACCAAGACGGCGAGATGCACGGAAGCTTCAACCACAGCGACGCACTTCAACGCATCTCCAACCCTTCTCTCCTTACGTCGCCAACGATACCCAGGTCCCCATACCTCTTGCGCCACTACATGAACTTGGCAAAACCGGTCGTGCTTCCACCATGGCACCGCCTTTGAACTTGCTGATCCGCGCCCTAGTGGCCTTTGAGGACGTGATTATCCGACAGGCGAGCAGCTTCCAATGCGCCGTGTTTTGCGCCTGACAGGCCCTTGAAAGGCCTGCGTCTAGTTTGTCCATACGACGCACATGCTGACGCCGAGTTCTGGCACCAGATCCTCAGGAGTCCCGGCTTCCACCGCGGCGTCGGCCGCATCCATCGGTACATTGACGAGAAGCGCAACGGGCCCCTGCCGCATGAGCCGTTGCGCCAGGGCCAGGCATCCGGTACGTTTGAGGCAGCCAGGACTTTACTGCGATGGGAAAAGGCTGACCCGGTGTGTGTGCAGCGAACCCGGACGAGCAGGGCTTTGCGCGGCACTTCTTCGAGGAGCTGAAGAACCAGCTCCGAGGGACGCCGACGAACCCGCCGCCGCCGCCACCCGGACCGCCCAAGCGATGATGACACGATGCAACTCGGACGCGGGTTTCCCGAACGAGACGCCGTTGGCTCTGCATTCGAGGAGGCAGGCTTGAAATACTCCGCACACGCCGATTGCATGATGGAACGACAGGATGGCAAGCGGGAAACGGCAAACGACACGACCCGGGCTGCGTCGGTAGCAATTTCGTACTCGGAAAACGTTTTATTGGCGACGTACTTCGTATACTGTTACTCGCGCCGCCCGCGCAACATCGACCTCTGGAATATTGCAAGTTATTGGTGTACAGAGAAGGGGAAGCGGATACGGGCACAGTCACGCGGCATTCCGGCATCTGCGCTGGGCGGTCAGTACAGGCCAAGGACATGGATTCTGTCGCAGGGGTTCGCCGCGTCAGACTAGGATTCGTTACCGCTCGACAACCTCTCGGGACTCGGAGCGTGGCGTGCCCGATGCCCCGAGGAAAACGGAGTCCCGGACCGGCCAGCACGGTGAAAAACCACGTGCTCGTCCTTCAGCAGAGACTTTGGACTCATCGGCCGGCACGCATCACAAAAGTCTGAGACATGAAGCGGGAGCCCCCACCCTTCGAGCCCGACGGGGATGCCCCGGAGAAGCAGATGGTATCGCACTTACAGTGAAAAACAAGCTTTCCGTAGCCAAAACCACGCTCAATCTAGCCCGTACCCGTTGCAAACCTCCGCTAGGCGGTCAAGGACTTGGATCGACGCGCCACAAAGTGAGATGTAACTTCCGAAAGCTTTGCTTCCAAATAATCGTAAATCGAACCTCTTCCCGACTCCCCGGCTCCTCTCATCTGGTCCACTCGGCGCGGATCCGATTGAGCGGCGGAGCCCGGAGCCCGGGGGCCCGATGCCCGATGCCCGATGCCCGAATTGCCCCTTTCGGAAACCCCAATCTGCGTAATGCAACCCTCGCTCATGTTATGGAGCGCCCTTCTGAGACATTAACACTGAGCCCTCGAAAGAGGATAGTCTCGCCGGCTTGTCGACATTCGGACCACGGTACTAGCCCGCATCGCCCAATCCGAAGTCTTCCCTACTCGTTGCCGTCGAAATCCAGCTCTTTCAGCCCATTCCGCTTCTTGTCTTCCATGTCGATGCCGTCTTCACACATGCTGTCCCACTAAGCACAGCAGTTGCCACGAGGCCGCCCGGACTCAAAGCCCAGGGCAAGCTTTGCTCTTCTCGCTTTTGGACAACCGGAACGAAGTTGATCTAGAATGGGAAAGCTACAGGATCAGCCAAGAGGCATTTTCACAATGACGTTGGTGAAATCTGGCGAACGAGTCCCCCCCCTCCTAATGCCAAGTTGTCGTTCGCCACACCACGGCCAATGGAGGCGGGAGGGCGTGTGTGTTCTCCACGATTTACCTGATTTGGCATGAATGGGCAGCAACTCGGGAATCGATGACGGATTTATGCAGACAAAACCCTGCGATATCAGTCCGCGGTGCCTGGGATGCTAGGAATAATTCTTATATTTTCCCTGATTATAATTCGCACGTAGAGTTTTTGAACTAGACACAAGAGTATGTATTAGTGCGACTCAAGATCCTCCTCCCCTCCCTGCGAGCCAGGGTTACTTGAAACCCGCGTCGGACCACGCGTTCCAATGCTCAAAGTTCAAAAAGTTCCACACGACGTTCGGGTCGACGAGGTTGGCGTCCAAGTCGCCCGGGATCATGAGGGCGTCGCCAAACTCGACAGCCCCGACCGGGAACCCCGCACCCTCTGACGACGTGAAGGCGGGCGTCGCGTACGCGGCCAGACCGCCGCCGCCGCCGCCGTCGCCGTCGCCTTCGCTTCCGTCCGGCGCCTTCGTCACGGGCCCGGCCTCCGCCGCCGCACTGCCGCATCGCTGCTGCGGCCCCGAGTGCGTTCTCGCGCCGACGTGCAGCAGCTCCTTGACGATGTCGGCGCACCGCCTCGCCACGGCGAGCATCTTCATCGACTTGAAGATGTCGAGGCTGAGCTCGATGTTCTCCATCACCTCGTCTGCGGGGATGGGGCAGATGTTGGAGATGAGGACGTGGAGGAGCACCATGCAGGCGTCCAGCAGGTACATGCAGTTGTACCACCTATTTCCCCCAAACCCCCCCCAGTCCCCGGGTTAGTCTCATGGAATGTGGGCATCTCGCTAAAAGAAGGGGCTGTTGGTTCTACACACCATGTTCTGAAATACGGCCTGTGGAGGTAACTTGTGTGCATGAATTTGATGGTCTCGGTGGCGGCCTTGACGCAGGACGTGACGTGCCGCGATATCGTGTTTCGGTCTGCTTCTAGAGACTTTGCGATTATGAACTGCCGGTGGAGCAGGATTCTCGCGTTCAAAAACCCTAAACATCCTTTGTCAACGACGTGATCCACTCGCGTTGTTATGCTTCGAGGAGGGGGGCGGGGGGGGGGGGGGGGGGGGCTCATACGTAGTTTGAGGACGGTCTTCTGCTTCATGGCAAACTCGCTGTCTTCCAACGACGACATGTCGAACCGTAGCTGTCGCGGGAGGCCGGACCGCCAATCGTCGAGGTCCCGGTCCAGGCTCAGCGCCGTCTGCGAGAGGCGCTGCAGCGACATGTGGTTGCTGTGCACGCTCAGGTTGTCCGTCATCCACATCAGAATCTTGGCCAGGTCGACCATGGGGTTAATGAGACAGCAGGCAGAGTTGGGGAAGTGCTGGGTCCTGCTGTCAGCGATATCGAATGTCTTCGTCGTCGGGGGAAAGGGGGGAGGGCTGACTGACAGATGTATTTGGAAATGGGATTGAGTAGGAATTCGGTGCTCGCAGACCCGATTGGCGGCCTGCCGAGAAGCACATTTCACTTGAACTGTCAGCGTTGATTTCCTACGGGGCACATGGATACGCTACATTTCGTGTGAATAGAGCGACCTTATGCAGTTAGCTTCTTGAACGTCGTAGACGAGAGCCATCGTTGCCACTCACCACCACAGCAGGCTCTCCGGGCTTGTTTCTGAGCGAATGTTGTTTGGGATTCCCATGGCAGAGGCTGTTCTGATGGCCATGCCGCTATACATGTAACAGCTATGTGGTTTCAGTGCATTCTGGCCAAAGACGGACTAATTCATCTCGTGTTAGTCAAAAAGGCTTTGGCAAACACCCTTTCTGCTGATTCCCGAGCGCACCCCGACGTACCATGAGGAACAAAGTCTGAGCAGTCTCAAGGGAACTCGACTCGCAAATGTCTTCCAGATGGAGCCTCGATCTCTCAAAGAACCTCCTGGCCAGGCGGATGGGCGGGTACAACGAGTCGTCCTCGCCCGGCTGCTGTCTTGTCCGGTCCAGGAACTCCCGGGTGTGGTCCTCCATGAGCAGCGACGCCTCGCCGGCTGTGATGGCCCCAATGGCAACGACCACGTTGTAGAGGGCGAGGAACCTGGCCTCTCGGCGCATCTGGGAGCACATCAGAATGTCCGGCCTCAACGGCCTCGACCAGATCTCGTCCTCGCACCGCTGGAGGAACGCCGTCTGCTCCAGGATCGGGTGGATGTTGTGGAGGTTCTGGAAGTAGAGCCGAGCGCACTCGCGCTCCATGTCCGTGGCCAGCGACGCGTCCGCGGCACTCAGGAGCGCTTCGGCGCCGCCAAAGACGCCCTGCTGGAGCGACTCCCTCCTCGCTACAGTGCTCTGCGGGCTTCCCTTGCCGTACGGGCTCTGGCCGAGGACCCGCGAGTCCGGGGGCGTCGAGTAGTCTGAGCTGTGCAGCAGGTTCACGATGGAGCTCTGGCTCCTTTTGACGCCGACTTCCGGCTGCTTCTGCGTGTTGGCCCGGGAGCGCAGCCGGGCCAGGAAGTAAAAGGTTCCCGTCGGGCCGTAGAACTCGGCACCCTCGGTGTGCTCGTTTACCTGGCCGAGCCCGTCCACTTCCTGTTCTGAGGAAGGGGTCGAGCCTCTCTCGCGATGTCCATGCTCTTGCAGGCTCAAATAAGTTGAAGGCTCATGCTTGATGGGATCGTCTGAGCTGGCCGGCGACGGATGAAGACACTCAGGGAGAAATACCCGCGGTTGAGGCATGGACTGCGGTTGGCACACAGGCTGGAACTGCTGAGGCATGGGATGAGGCTGCAAAGGCTGCTGGATTCTTACAAGTGACCCATAAGAGGGGGTCCCCTGTCTCGGTCTGTAGAGGCAGTCAGACACGGAGGCAGACGTTCTCTCACTCGGACACACGTACGTCTCGTTTTGTGCCTCTCCATACGAGCACGAGAACTCGTGTCCTGAGTTAAAGGCCGGAAAGGTCAGTGTTGTCCAACACGCGGAATATGTCTGATACTCACGGACACAGTTGGAGCATGGCGAATTGCCATCGCACTGAAGAGCACATCGTCAGCACCGGCGACTATTTGCCCCCATAGTAATCGGCAGAGCGGGACAAACCTTCAACTTGCGAGCTCGACATGTACCACAAGCGATCGGCGCCCTCGGCCTGCGCTTCCTTTTCAGCCCTGCGGAGCTCGGCTTAGCCGAAGGGTCATCACCCAGTGGAATATTCTCGGTCTTCATGGAAGGCAAATGACAAGGAATTAACTCGTAAACGTTCGTTGAACAGGTCAGAGGTGAGGGAGGGGAGGGAGGGGTCCACGAGATTATGGACGCGAATTACGGACGGGGATTCGGGGATACCAGGGAAGCCATGGCACTTATGTTGTGCATTTCGTCCGACCAGAACCATATGCGATCAAATTTGAGGAGGATGTGAGACAAGGAACCTCAGGTAGAGTTTCTGGCACGAACCACACAGCATCATAGACACACACTGGGGCGTTGTTGAATATCGGACGACTCGACAAATCGCATGGAGGCGTTCGGGGGAGACGGTCGTCTCGAATGAGACGTCGTGGATCGGGAACCTTTTTCTCTTCGAAATAAAGCCTTCACTGATATGCTTTCCAATATCCCCTGAAATTAAAGACTATGCCAAAACCTCACATGTCGTCTGGTTTAAAAAAGAAAGAAAGACAAAAGAAAACCACCTCGAGATAACCAGCCTACTTCTGATTGTACGCTTTGACTGACTTCAAACACACAGATGATGCTTGAAATCAGCCAGCATCCTGACCCCACAGCCACACACATCTCCGGTCTTTCATCATACAATGTACCGGTAGACGCCCATAATGAAGATTTTCTATACCAAGTGCCTGCTCTCATAGTAGGCGGTGGCCCTGCAGGTCTGTTGACGGCTTACATGTTGTCAAGACACGGCGGTAGGTCAAGCAGTGGCATTCCATACACACGGCACTAGCTTCGTTGACAGGGGACGCTAACGAGCATTCTAGTGAAGTCCCTTCTGGTTGAAAAATATCCGGAAAGGCTAGCTGCGCCCAAAGCTCACGCGCTTTGTCCCAGGACCCTCGAGATTTGCAGGCAGTACGGTCTTGATACCAACGCCATCCGCCGTCTTGGGACTCCGCGGGAGGACGCCTGCTGGGTCCATTTCCTGACAAACCTTAGCGGCGAGAGGATTGGGTCTCTCCCGTACGAGCGTATGGATGCGGATGTGTTGGAGAGTACGCCCGAGGTAGGAAAAAGACACTCCCTCCCCTTGCCCAGCGAACACTTGATGAACCGCTGACATGCCGTGACTGTTTCCAGATGATACACAACATCCCGCAACCCGAATTTGAAAAGTTCATTTCCGACCAGCTACGTGGCGACCCCAACGTTGATATCCGCAAAGGCGTTGGTTTTGTGTCTTGCGAACAAGTGAGTATGACTGCAAAACCATGTCCAAAAAAGGCCGTCAGAATAACGTTCAAACTTGGTTTCAGAGGGGCGACGAAGTAGTTACTGTAGTTGAAGAGTTAACCACCAAGAAGCGCTGCACCATCAAATCAAGACACGTCATCGGATGCGATGGGGCAAAGAGCCAAGTCCGCCGCTCGCTCGGCATCGAAAGCGAGGGTGAAGACGGATGTAAGTACTTGGTCGGAACGCCGGGTTGCGTCTCTGCATTGCTGATGGCTCCCAGACGAGACCATGATGACGATACATTTCAGCGCGGATCTGCGGTCAGTTGTGAAAGACCGTGTTGGTATGCTACACTGGATAGTCGATCCCGCCTGTTCCGGGTTCATCATAGCATACGACCTCGGAGGAAACCAAGTTCTGATTAGCAACGTTGACGTGAGTTGCTTGATATGTCCCGACAAGGGGGGTTGAAGCTAACGGCGATTCTTAGCCAAAGAGGCAACCGATAGAAACGTGGAACGAAAAGGTTGCCCACGCCACTGTGTCTGCCGCCATTGGGAAAGACATACCGCTCAAGATCCTCAGCTACAGGCCTTGGGTGTTGAGTCGGAAGGTGGCAAAAGCCTACCGTCGGGGGAACATATTCTTGTAGTACCATCCAGCTCTTGCAAGTGCGCATCTTGCCGTGGACTAACGATGCAACAGAGTCGGCGACGCAGCGCACTCATTCCCTCCCACGGGCGGCCTCGGGCTCAACTCGGGCGTGGCAGACGCGCACAACCTCGCGTATAAGATCGCCGCCGTGCATCAGGGGTGGGCGGGCCCCGGACTCCTCGACACGTACGAGGCCGAGAGGAGACAGATTGCCGTTGTCGCTGCGGCGCAGAGCGTCAAGAATGGGAAGTCAATCTTTTCGTTCCTCAAGGCTGTTGGCGCAGCCGAGAGCGAGGACCTGATGGAGGCGAGGAAGCGCATGTACGAAACGATACACGACCCAGCCAAGCAAGCCTTGATATCGGAAAATGTCGAAGGCCAGCGGGAGCACTTCGATAATGTTCGTCCCCCCCTCGAGTTCCGCTGCGTGGGAGGGGTCCTACAAGGACAACATGGCCGCGCCTGTCTTTCCATGTGGGAATGCTGACTTTGGACTGTGAAACAGCTCGAGATCCACATTGGTTATGTGTACGGCGACAAGAAGCCACCCGCGAACGCTTCGCATTTCACACAAAAGTTCAAGGCCGGAGCCCGGCTGCCACATGCTTGGATCGAGCTCCGCGGCCGGTTCGAAGGGCTTCCGCAGCAGGCAATAGATTCATCATACGTCACGGAACTATCCCACGAGCAGGTCGCAGCCAAGCGGTTTTCTACGCTGGACCTGATGGCACCGGGAACCTTCAATCTCATCACCGGATGCCGTTCGGCCTGGAGCGCAAGATTTGCCGAGGCGGCGGCGGCATTGGGCGGCGCCGTAGGTTCCCGGCTTTGGGGTGCCGATGAGGACTTTGCTTTCTGCAACGAGAGCCACCGCAGGCTATACGACCGAGAGGGGGGCCTCTCTCAAGGAAAAGCCATTCTTGTAAGACCAGACCAGCATATCCTTGCATGCCTGGGTCATGGGACGTCTGCATTGGAGTTGATAGAGTGTGTCAAGAGGCATCTGGACACAGAATAGTTGATCATTTGACTAGCTCAAGGGCCAGGCAGATGAATCGGTGTGGATAGAACGATAGAACAGGACCAGGGTAGCTCCCTGTCGCATTAAGCTTTTCACACGCCAGGTACATGACAATGGAGATCCGCCCAAGATCCTGGTTTACAGTCCGTCAATAGGAAGAGCTTTCCGAGTGCTGGTTTTCTAGTGAACCATTTCTGTTTTGCCCCGGAGTTCACCGATGCAGCGTTGCCAAGATATGGGCAATACGCAACGGGCGAGCACATCAACCTGCATGTTGACGCTTCTACAAAGACAACATGAACCACTAGAAGCAACCCGAGTCAGATGCTGGGTAATATAGAATCCTACCGGTACGGAGTACTCATCTTGACTACCGGTAGTGGGGTCGTACGCGGTTGTGCGGAGCCGACAATGTCCCCCCCTGCTGTAAATACCCAACTTGATGATTTTAATTAGACAAGGTTTTGACTATCGAAATGACGAACCACAATTACATAGATGACCAAGAGTTCCGCGAACGCCCGTATAAAGTATTCCCTCTTCTCATCATGAACTCGCCTCGACCGCTTCAACTTGCCAAGAACCCGGCAAGGAAGCTCAGGTACCAGCATGTGGTCTTCTTCACTCCTCCTCGTGGCCTCGCTGCTCTCGGGAGCGGCCGAGGCTGCCGGAACTCGCAAGACGTACATTGTCCACATGCAGAACGCCGAGGCGTCTGGTGTGCTCCGCCGATCCCTCATCGCTGCCTCGCTGGACGCCGCCTCGGTCGACGCCGACCACGTGCTCTACACCTACCAGAACACGCTCAACGGCTACGCGGCCATGATCACCGATGAGCAGGCCGACGCGCTCAGGGCCCAGCCCGGCGTTCTTTTCGTCAGGCCCGACCAGGTGTATCAGCTTCAGACTACCCGGACACCGGCCTTCCTCGGCCTCGAAAACTCGGCCCTGCTCGGCCGGGATGCCTACGGCGTCGGCCCGGAGAGCTACCTGGGAGAGAGAGACGGCCTCAACGGCACTAGCGCAGAGTCGAACCTTGTCGTCGGCGTCCTGGACGGGGGCATCTGGCCCGAGAGCGCGAGTTTCTCCGACGAAGGGATGCCGCCCATCCCGGCCCACTGGAAGGGCGCGTGCGAACCAGGCCAAAACTTCACGACGAGCAACTGCAACAGGAAGGTCATCGGCGCGAGGATCTTCTACAAGGGCTTCGTGGCCGGGGCTACCAAAGAGAATGGAGGCAACTTCAGCTGGGCCGGCGTCACGCAGTCGCCGAGGGACGACGACGGGCACGGCACGCATTGCGCCTCCACGGCGGCCGGTGCCGTGGTGCCGAACGCCAGCATCTTTGGACAGGCGGCCGGGACTGCGCGCGGTATGGCCCCGGGCGCGCGCATTGCCGTGTACAAGGTCTGTTGGGGTGACACCGGGTGCTGGGACTCGGACGTGCTGGCGGCCATGGACCAGGCCATCGAGGACGGCGTCGACGTCATGTCTCTCTCTTTCGGCCCTCCCCAGCCTCAGTTCGCCCCGTATGAAGGTCTCGTCGTCGGCTCCTATGCCGCGATGCGCAAGGGCATCTTTGTTGTCAGCGCTGCCGGTAACGCGTGAGTATAACCTCCTCGTCTTCCGTGGATCGGGTTACCTGGGTGATACGGTTCTTATAATCTGTTCTAACTTGCTCGGCTTATAGAGGACCTTCTTTTGGAACGACAGTTGGGCTCGCCCCCTGGGCCTTGACTGTTGCAGCGAACACCCTCGACCGCGATTTCCCCGCATATCTCACGCTCGGGAACGGCAAGACTTACACTGGCTACACTCTCTACACCAACGGTTCCGTTGCCGACGAGGAGCCTCTTACGGATGGCGAGGTCTTCCCGCTGATTCACGGCGCCGATGCCAGCAACGGCAACAGCACCAATGGGGCTCTCTGTTTGAGTGATAGCCTCGATCCAGCCAAGGTCGCCGGGAAGGTCGTCCTCTGCGTGCGGGGCCAGAACCGCAAGGTCGAGAAGGGAGTAGTCGTCAAGGCTGCCGGTGGACGCGGCATGATCCTCGTCAACCCGCCCGCCAACGGCGACAACTTGGTCCCGGACGCTTACCTGCTCCCCGCCATGCACCTCAACAAGGAAGACGGGCCCGAAGTCGAGGCCTACGCCAAGGCCGGCGGCGGAACGGCCGTTTTGGAATTCCCCGGCACCCGCGTCGGGGTCCCGGCCCCGGTGATGGCCGCCTTCAGCTCCCGGGGCCCGAACATCAAGGTCCCCCAGCTCCTCAAGCCGGACATCACCGGTCCCGGCGTCTCCATCCTTGCCGCGTGGGTCGGCAACCAGGGCCCCAGCGGCCTCGCCCAGGATGTCCGCAAGGTGGACTTCAACATCATCTCTGGCACGTCCATGTCCACCCCGCACTTGGCCGGCATCGCCCTGTTCCTCAAGGCCCGCCGTCCGGACTGGGGCCATGCCGCCATCCGCTCAGCCATCATGACCACCGCCTACACCACGACCAAAGGCACCCAGTCGCCGCTGCTGGACTACGCCAACTCCCAGCCCGCCTCGCCATTCCACTACGGCAGCGGCCACGTGGACCCGGTTGCTGCCCTGAACCCGGGCCTCGTCTACGACGTCGCGCCCGACGACTATGTCGGCTTTCTCTGCGCCGTCAACAGCACCTCGGCATTCATTGCCGGCATGACGAGGAGCAATGCTACATGCGACGAGCAGAAGACGTATAGCCCGTACGACCTCAACTACCCTTCTGTCTCCGTCTTATACACCAATCCAGGACCCGGCGACGGCGCCTATACCGTCAAGATCAAGCGCACCGTTACCAACATCGGCGGCGCCGGCACCTACACGGCTGCCGTCTCGCTGAATGACCCAAGCCTAGTCAAGGTCTCTGTGGAACCCGAGATGCTTGAATTCAGCGCGGTGGGCGAGAAGAAGAGCTACGAGATTACTGTAACGATGAGCTCTCCCCCTAGCGCGAATGCCACATCCTGGGGAAGGCTGGTGTGGTCGGATGGCAGCCACATCGTAGGTAGCCCGCTGTCTTTTGTATGGGGCTTTAAGTCTTGAGGAGATAATGTCGTATATCACAGCAGACAGACGGCAAACTTCCCAGCGTGTTTAACCAGCTGCTTATACCGTGACCACTGCCGCAAAAGATGTCATCTAATACTACACGTAATCAAGCAAGTAAAAGCACTTGTAAACCTAAAACAAAGAAACAAAATATAAAAACATACAACACCAGGTATTCGCTGGTCGTCACCGACCCAACTACTAATCCGGCCCTCACTGGCTTATCTATGGGAGAGCGGACGGGATCCCGAGTTTTCCAGTGGGTATGGTCGTATGTGCCAGTCTGCAAACGTTTTGCGGATCATATACTACCCTGGCGGGTGACAATGCGAAGGTGCAGGGGTTAATGTTTCCACTAGTGAAGAAAATCACTTTGTGCTTGGCTTTAACTAGCTGTGGGGGTCTGCTCCTAAACTAAATAGAGTTGTTTATATCTCCTTAACCTAATCTAAGTATTTTATAGTTAAAGTTTAACTTTTGTTAGAATACACAGTGTACCCCGCTGCGCCTTTAGTTGAGAGCTGAATTTAGTCCAGCAGCTTATCAAGTCGGTGAAGGATTGTTTTACCAATGTGGATTGTTAAACTAGGGTCTCGTAGGCATTAAAGAGAAGGCATGGCCGTGAAATTACCTGACCTTAGTCACAATCCTTGAACTTTATGCTGAATAATTAGCGTAGAGGGCGTCGTCACATGTTCCAAGTCTAGTGCAGTAGGGACAGTCAACAGGATGATACTACCTCGTTGTGAAGTGACGTTATAATAAACGTCTATGCTCTGGTCCGCCTTCTGAGGGTAGCCTACCTGCAGCTCTATGCCGGCAGGGAGTAGTAGCACTAGCAAAGTGCGGATGTTACGGGCTTTGGCGTTTCTGATAAGCAGAGAAGACTAATATGACTTGAAACCTCTAAACAAATGCGTATATGTGAATTTCTCGTCGTCAGCGAAGTCGATAGTAAGTTGTAACCCCTGCAGGTGAATTCTCGCGCGTGGCCCAAGCTGACTCCTTTCCTCTGACAAACGGTACACATAGTGGAATAAGCTTAAACGAATTTAGGGATCTTAATCCTCGGATTTGGACCAACTGCACGAACCTCTGGCTTGGCTCTTTCGTACTGTGTCGGGCAGATGACGGAGCCACCCGTGAGTGAGTGCGGGCAATGCGGGCCAGAGAACAGCCTTGCGACTTTTCCCCTTTCCCTCTCACATCCTACGAGTATTGCAACACTTGGTTTACTGACGACGTTATTAGATCTAAGCCCTACGCTAACGCTGAAACCAACTTATCTTAGCTCATTTTTGAAACATCTCTCCCGCCTTACCAAGTTTTGGACCTTGAGTCTTCTTGAAGATTCTTTTTTCTCTTTTTCCTTCTTATTTTTCCCACCTGGGTAGCAGCTATGACACCCTGTGTCCCGTTCAAAGTAGCCCGTGGTTATTTGCCTACTCTTTCCCCCATGTGTTTATCAATTCCGATGACTCAAGGTTGCTAGTCCTGCAAGCCACGGGATCTAGATCTAGATCCAACCGCCTTTCTTCGACCTGATCGATCGAATCATGAAATAGCAGCCACTTCCCTCTAAAGCACGTGAAGGTGGGTTCTTCCGTTCAGCCGCTTTTGGGCCGTGAAACCTGTGCGCATTAGCGATTGAAGAATGAGGCCGACGGGCTGTATGGACATCAGGTGACAGGAAAATGCAACGGCTCATGGACCTAGTCAAGCAACGCGGCGGCAAACTTTTGAGTGGTCGGCAGAATAATGAGGTAGGTGGGAATAAGGTGGTTCGGGAGGAAAACCCCCCCCATTTCGGTGTTACCCGGGAGCGTCTTGATCGCAAGGCTGGAAGCCAAGATCGACTGTGCCTTTCCTCCTTTGGGACTGGCGTCAAGAAACGTGGGATTCAAGAGACTCGGGGCCCCGGGCAACCCATCTAAGTCTGCGGCCTAGGCGACGCCTAATGACGCCATCTACTCTTGCTCCCCTGGCTAAAGCCCGCCGTGTGGCACCAGTGGCTGTTTAATTATTACTTATCAGCCTTGTGGTCGTGGTTTGTGTCTTTTTAGGAACTAGACCGGCTTTCGAACTTTATCTTTACCTGCGGCTGAAGACCGGTTGGTTTCCCCTTCACGAGCCACACAGGCCTCGTGGCCAGCCTATAATGTAGGTCAGGAGAAGGAGGGCTTCGAACTTGGTTGTTCATTGCAGATACGATGTGAGCTCGCGGTGCCGTGGCTTGAGAGGATCCGGGGCCAAACAAACGCCACGGCCTGGACGGCTTGCCCCTGGTGGCATCTTGGGAGGAGAGACTGAACGGCGGTAAACGCGAGAGTTTTAGAGTGTCTAGATGCGTGCCTTGTGCAGGATGAATCTAGCATATAATCCCTTCTCCATCCTGCGAGATGAGCTTGATTTTCCTCGGCATCCTTGTCATAGCCCGCTCGACGCTCATTCAAGAAAGGCGAATCAATCTGCAACACCGCAATTATGCGCACCGACATTCTTTTGTTCCTGACGCTCGTCACCGTTACCTCTGCGATCTCTCCTTCCCGGTCCATTAATGGCATGTTAAACCGCACCGCACCCAAGAACACATTCTAACAAAACCACAGGCATTAGCCAACCTGCTGGACTGATTCCTCGCGGCGCCTCGGCCCGTGGGAATACCCCAAAGCGCGCCGTAACTGGCATTAGCAGCACTCTGCCTGATCCATGGACCTATAGGGGATGGTGAGCATATATGCTAATGGTTACAAACAGCATATGATGTCTTGGTTGGCCACAGCTGACGGTGTTCCTAGTTTTACTGAAGCTGAGTCCTCGAGAGCTCTGAGTGGCGACCACTACAGCGGAGATGACATGTCTCAGGAGAAATGCGTTGCTTATTGTAATGGAAAGGGATATGGTGAGTGACACTCTCTTGAGCTCTAAACGACGTATATCAGGCTTTCCCTGACCTTATCTCGATACGTAGGCATGGCTGGCGTCGAATATGGCCGAGAATGCTATTGCGGCTACCTCATTGATTCCGCCTCCGCCATGGCGCCTGAGAGTGACTGCAGCAAGCCGTGCGCTGGTAATAGCGACGAAGTCTGCGGTAACGGCGGGCGTCTTAATGTCTTCACCAACGGCGATTCTGGACCTACTATCTTGTCTGCCTCTGGGGACTTTCAGTCGCGCGGGTGCTACTCCGACCATACCTCATCCCGCACCTTGTCCACCCGTATGAGCCTCCGTGGCGACCTCACTGTCAGCGAATGTACTACAGCCTGCGCTGCTCAGGGCTTCCCATACGCTGGAGTTGAATTCGGCGAAGAGTGCTTCTGCGGCACTAGCATCCAGAACGGCGCCCCTGTTCCAGCCACTTCGTGCAACATGGCCTGCGCCGGCGATAAGACGCAGTACTGTGGTGGCCCGGCTGCTATCAACATCTACATGAGCTCCAAGCCCGTTACAGGCAACCCCAGTGCGATCCCGTTCGGCTGGACCCAGACCTGCTACACCGACAGCCCTAATCGGCGCGCTCTCTCGTACAGAACGGACTTGACAAAGTTCAGCGCCGCCCAGTGCGTCGCTCAGTGTGACAGCCTCGGATACGTAAGGAGACCCCTCCCCTATTAGCTTTTTATCTAGCACCGCGATGCGTCCCTTTGTCCTCGTCAAGGATAACAGGGATTTTTGCCTACTTGCTTGCTCTACTCGCACAACAGGAGCTAACTCTAGGCCCTTGTAGACATACGCCGGTGTAGAGTACGGATCAGAGTGCTACTGTGGCAACAGCATCGATGGCGGCAACACGCCGGCGTCCAGCGGCTGTGATATGCCGTGCGACGGCAACCGACTCGACACGTGCGGCGGCGCCGGGCACATCAACATATATCACGTCAGCTGCCCCGGTGTGCCCGGCTGCGGCGATTCCAAAGCCAGCATCGGAAGAACACCAAACACCGGGAGCGTGAAGGAGTGCTCGGATATCTGCCAAGCCGACCCGCTCTGCCTGTCTTTCCAGTACGGCAGTGAAACAAAGGACTGCAACATTTACAAATCGCCCATTGCCGGCAGCGTCATGAAAAACACCGCGGGTACATGCCGAGATTCCTTCTACGAGAGGGTCTGTCCCATGGACATGACCCCGGGCCAGACCTCGGCCCAGACCTCCTCAACCTCGACTCTGACCTCATCGACACCGACCTTGACGCCAACCTTGACGCCGACCTTGACCTTGACACCAACCTTGACGCCGACCACAACCACAGGCCCAGTCTTAACCTGTGGCGTGGTGAGCTGCGGTAATGTCAACTATCTTCTGAACTCAGGCAACGTCATGTCCTTGGGAGAGTGCTCAAATATCTGCAAGGCCAACCCGCAGTGCCTGTCCTTCCAGTTCACAGATTACGGTAGAGGAGAGATGGCGTGCTACACTTTTAATCTGCCCGCTGCTGCCGCCATTGTCCCCGACACTGCGAATAGGTGTATCAATTCCTTTTTCTACGACAAGCTGTGTCCTGTTTTAATGCCAACCTCAACGCCAGTCCTGACCCCGAGCCTGAGTCTGACGCTGACGCTGACCTCTTCAACACCAATCTTGACACCAACCTTGACGCCGACCTTGACGCCGACCTTGACGCTAACCTTGACGCCGACCCCAACCACAGGCCCAGTCCTAACCTGTGGCGTGATGGGCTGCGGTGATGGTTCCAATCTTGTTGACTCAGTCGACGCCATGTCCTTGAGGGAGTGCTCAAATATCTGCATAGCCGACCCGCGGTGCTTTTCCTTCCAGTTCGGAGATCGGGGTGATGGAGTTCTGATCTGCAACACTTTCAACCAGCCCGCTGCCGACACCCGGGTCCCTGGCACTGAGAGTATCTGTCCTAATGCCGCTTTATACGACAAGCTCTGTCCCGTTTTGACGCCAATCTTGACGCCGACCTTGACGCCGGTCCCAACCTCGACGCCAACCTCAGGCCCAGCCGCAGGCTGCGGAGTCGGGGACGGCTGCTATAATCCCGCCTATCTTCTTCAAGCAATCCGTGACTCTTCCTTGGGGGAGTGTTCAAATAACTGTAAAGCCGACCCGCAGTGCCTGTCCTTCGCGCTTTTCAGTGACAATACCTGCTACACTTTCAATGCGCCTGTTGCTCTCTCCCGAGAACCCAACACTTCGGGCTTTTGCCGTCCTGGCTCCTTCTACGAGAAGGTCTGTCCCGTTTAGGCGAGCCGCGGCGATTTCCGCAAGAGAAAGCTCTGGCGCTTGTGAGCCGTGACTGTAGCGTTAGGACCGCATGTACCTATTACTGAGAGAGCTCTGGTGGGTAATGATGTATTGCTGAAGTATGCGTCCTGGGGGTGGTTCTTATAGTGTGGTGGTGATTCAATGCATAGTTTGAATCCCCCTAAATCTATTTCTCTCTCTCTCTCTTTCTCTCGGTAGAATGTGGTGAGGGCAGAAATCGCTCAGGTCGTGTGAGTCGGTCGGTGCTTCGGGGGACATGTGCGGTAGGGAAAGGCATAGGAGACCTCAGGTAGGAGGGGCTTAAGTCTATAAACATGGTGATGCCAAAAGAGTGTGCCTACATATAGGCAAAAGAAGGTGAAATCCTACGTAACACGAAACTTAATAAGAACAGACCGAGCACGTGTTTTGTAAAACCGGCCTCTGAAACAGCTGAGATATAGGGATAAAAAGACGTATCAAGCTTACGTCTAGTACCAGCATAGGGTGGCTCTGTAGTTGGATTCGAAATAACTTGGTAAGAAGAAATCGGGGTTGGGCTTTACAAGAACAAAGGTGGCGACAAGAGCAGGCTTATCGACGCTTGTCAAAGATAGCGGATAGCAATAGACGCATCAGTGTCACCACGTCAAGTCATGTGAGCCCGTAGTCAGTCAGCACACCGTTGAGGCTGACATGAGCAGTGTCGTCTACCTTGCGCTTAGGCAGTTGAAGGACTGGTGACCTGCCAAGACAAACACTGCAGAGACTACGGTGCTCAAACCATATGCCTGGCCCCTGGGCCAAAAGATGATGTATATTGTGGTCTGTAAATAGTACCAAGTGAGGTAAGTCTCTCCAAGATCTAGATGCACACATATATCTAGGCAGATATCTAGGACAAATGCAATGCCTGCTGATGCGCAAGCAGCAGATAGGCTGGCTCACATGGTATAATGTCAGCTAATTAGCAAAAGTAGGCAACACTAATAGATAAACACCCAAAGATGGGGAAGTAAGCAAACCCGGTTTTAGGTTCAATTGTTTGGGCCTTAGTACTGTACTTGACTCGGCGATATTCAGCTTGGAGAAGAAGCCTAATGAAGAAGAGCAGTGCTTATGTACCTCGAGAATCGCTGGAACCCTTTCGAAGCCGAGCTGCAGAACTTTCACTTTGAGATTTAGTGCGGAAACATTCCGCCATCAATAAAAGTCTTCAAACTATTTCTAGCCACAGCGTTCTGCTTCAGGGCTTGAATCTGAAGAAACCCATACTAGCCACATAATCAACAAATACCTTAAAATAGAGGCGCCTCAGTTGTGTTCCCTCGGTTCTCGCTTAACAAGCTCAAGTGCTTGACCGAGAGTCGGTCGCCTGTTTCCGACCACCCCATGGAAACATGGACGTGTACCCTCTAATGTCTGAATACTGAGTCTTTTTATAACTGCTATACACAAAACAGTGAGCCAGCGTGGAGCTTCAAACGCAGCAGGACACTTACAATTTGTTTCCAACAACACTAACTCGATACACATGTAACGTCACGTCCTCATACTTGGGCTTAGGTGATGTGCTTGTATCCGCATCAAGAAGTATTCATTGCTTCCCGTTTCCATCAATGTTGTGCGGCGGGTGCACATGGTCTTTATCCCAAGTGAAATTTCGGTGGAAACTTTGTGAGATGAAGTCGTTGACAAGGGTTATCGAGCGCTGCGAAGGCACACCAGGAATTTCTTCTAATCTGACCCTAAACCAGTATCTTTTCAGGGGCTGGTGTTTCATTTGATTCTGGGTTGTCAATGACTTGAGAAGACTTTAATTCCATAGTGGGTGTTATTGGGTAGATGAGTGAAAAGAGCGAAAGGTTGTTGTAGAGTCGTCATTGGAAGCATTATATATGTTGTGAGGGGGCCTGTGTGCTAGGAGGTCACGTGACCTCCTGGGCCCCTCACCTTCATCCAGCCTCTGCCTATAGCCTCAAGAGGAGGATTTTCCTCCTTACTACTACACACTACTATAGATTAGTAATATTACTATTTACCTTACTTTATTACTCTTATACTCCTATAGGTTATAAAGCCTAGGCCTATATTAATTTTTCTTATAAATTAATTAGTTACTTTTACTTATCTTTATTAATTTATAATTATTTACTAATTATTATAATAGTTACTTAACTTTACTTACTATTTTTACTATAGCCTAAGTTAAGGATCTTTTACTAATTACTATAAGGATACTTTTACTTATTAACTACCTTAATTTATTACTTTAGGCGTTTATTAAATAGTAGTAAATTATATAACGTTTTAGATACGCCTTTTATTATAGTAAAAGAAATATATAAAGATTAATATATAGTTAGGCTAACTATAGTCTAAAGTAACTTACCTATATTACTATTATTATAGCTAATAGTAGTAATTACTAAATAGTCTTATTAACTATCCTTAAGCTTAAGGGGAAGTTAAACTAGTCCTTATAAATTATACTTATTAGTACTACCTTTTATACTAATAAAGTTAAGAAGTATATTAACTATAATATCTCTTAACTAGCTAAAGATATTATAGCCTTTACCTTATAAAAAACTAACTATAACGTTATATATAACCTTTTTATTTTATTATATAATATATTAATTAATAAGCTTTTTAATATAAGATAGTAAAATAATAGTAATCCTTATACCTTAATAAAGACACTTAAGAAATATATTCCTAAGGTATCTAAAGATATAGTTAGAGCCCTTATTAATAAATTCTCTAAGGGTAGTGCTTAAGATTATAAGACTTTTTATAATACCCTTAAACGTATATAGTATCTATATACCTATATTACTAGTCTTTATAGTAAAAACTTTAACTACTATTAGGCTATTCTCTTACTTAATTATTTTAAGACGTATTTACTTAATATATATAAGCACTATACTAATAATAATAAGAAGCCTAAGTAGGCTATAGTTATTAAGACTATATACTTACTTAAGATAAAAAGTAGAAGATAGGCCTTATTACTTACTATAAGGCTGTAATTACTACTACCTCTAGTACTAATAGCTAAGGTACTACTTTTACTAAGAAGTTAGGCTATAATATTTACTTTTATTATAAGAAGAGTTATATTACTATAAAGTGTTAGACTACTTATCTAGAGCTTATTCTTACTAACTATATGTTTTATAAGAATCTACTTACCTATATAGCTAAGTATATCTATAATAAGGATTATAAAGAGGCTACTGCTTTTACTATACCTAATTCCTTTATATTAGTTTTTATAAAAGGTGCCTTAGGTATACTAAGCAGCTCCTTAATTACTAGCCTTATAATATAACTAAGTAAGGCTATTTTTACTACTATAAGTAATAAAGCTATTACCTTATCTAATATTATACTAAATTTAGGCTACTTAAGCCTTATTTATAACTTACTTTAACTTTTTATATTATATACTATTTATAATAACCTTTTTTTTTTACTACTATAAATAAAAAGTAAGTGTTTTTAGAGGGATCTAGTACTATCTTCTTCTAAACTTAAGATCTAGCTAATCTATCTTAGATAATTAACTAGACTATTAAAGATATTAAGTATAGCCCTTATAGCCTAGCTAACCTTTTTAGCCTTAGTAAACTTTATAAGGTAGGAATTAAGTATAACTATATAACTACTAGTATTATTAACACTAAATCTAAGGCCTAATTAGCTACTATTAAATAGATTTCTAATGTCTATATACTTTATATTATAAATAGGCTAACTATACCTATAGTAACTACCTTTACTTTATTAGTAGTTAGAGGTAAATACTAACTAACCTTTAAGATAATACACTATTAACTTATTTATACTTATCTATTATAGGTTATTAAGGCCTGCTGTTAAGTAGGTATATAATTTACCTAGGCTAAGATTAATACCTTTTACTATAAAGCCTACTACTTAGCTAAATCTATAGAGCTTATTAGCTATAACACTTTACTACTTTTTACTTTAGTAGGTAAAGAGATTTATCTTAACCTTATTAAGGTTAAACTACTATTAAAAACTAGTATAAGATATACCTTTTATTTTCTTAACTATTATAGTAGCTATTATTAGCTTTAACTCTTATAAGCTTATTACTATAGGGTTATACTTAATACTATTAAGAATTTTAACACTACTTTTACTAATATAACTAGCCTTACTATTAAGAGCTAGGTTTCTAATAATATGCCTAAGCTAAAAAAAGTGCTTTATAATCCTTACTTTATAAGTATAAGGCTTAACCTTATAATTATATATACCTTATTAATAAATAGATTAATTAAGTAAGCTAGTTATATACTTATAGAGGCTGCCTATACGTTACTAATTAATAACAGCCTACTAGAGGAGCTTTAGGATTATACCCTTAACACTATAGTGTAAATCCTTAACTTTTTACCTTAATCTACTAAGGGTAAGATAAGCCCTTATAAGATTATTACCTATAAGCTTAACCTTATTACTAATTATAAGCTACCTTATATTAAACACCTTTACACCTTTAGCTATATAGTATATATATATAAAAAAAGTAGTAAGCGCCCCTTACGTTTTATAAAAATAAAGCTATATATAATAAAGGGTTACTTTATTAGATATAGCTTTTTATATAGCTATATCTACTACGTCTATATCTTAAGTAAGAAGTAAGTTATTTACTATTATAATATTTATTTTTATAAAAGGCCTAAAAAGACTATTCTTTACCTTATTAATAAAGTTACTATCCTAGTAGATACTAACTATAATATACTATTTAATAAGCCTAATTTAATAACCTAGTATTTAGCCTATATCTCTAACTTATATTAACTTATTACTAAAAAGTCTTATAACTAGTAAATTAATTAATCTAATAGTAGTAAGTTAAATAGTAAGCGTATTAATAATAGCTACTATATAACTCCTCTTTTAGAGGATTATTAATAGTAACCTATTTCTACTATATACCTTACTTAACAGACTAATAATATAGATACTACTAAAGATAAGTTTTATAATATAAAGTAATAAGAGGCTAACTTTTTAGCCCCTATTATAGAAGAAGATTAGCTAGACTTTATTACTAAGGCTGCTACTACTTTAGTTACTAAAGGGGGCTAACTACACTATACTAGCACTATAAAGCCACTAGGCTACTACTATAATACTGCTAGTATCTAAAAGTATAATAAAAAGGCTTATCTTACTATAGATATTTAGGTTTATAATAACGCTTATTATTACTTTATTAGTATACTTACTGCTATTACCTTATTATATATACTACTACCTAGATATAATATTTTATTTACTATTAAGAAGGCTAAAAAAGGCCTACACTAGTAACACTAGAAGCAGGCTTATAATACTAAGATCTAATAATTTACTAATAAGGAGGTCTATACCCTTATTAATCCTCTTTCTAATATAAAGATTTTTTTTAGTAAGTAGGTATTTAATATTAAAACTAATATAAAAAATAAGATTATTAGATATAAGGCCTAATAAGTAGTCTATAGTAACTATAAGTAAGGTAAATAGTCTTTATAAGAGGTATATACTACTATAGCTACTACTACTACTATATACCTCTTTTTTACTATTATTACCTTATATAGACTAGTATATAAAATATATAACTTTAATACTACTTTTCTTACTACCTTTATACCTAATAGCACTTACGTCTATATCTATTAACTTACTAGTTATACTATTAATAATAATAAGGTGTAGTTACTTTATAAAGCTCTTTATAGCCTTTATAAGGCACTACTATAGTAGTTTATACTTATTAAAGGTAAAATAGAGAAAATTAGCTTCTACCTAGTTAAGGGAGAAATTTATCTCTTTATTAATAAGAAGCTTAATACCTACGCCTTAATATATATTAATAATAACGTAGTAGCTACTACTAATAAGGAGACTACTAAAAAGGTATATAATATACTTACTAAGGTCTGCCTATTAAAGGACCTTAGTAAGGCTTCTTAGTTTCTTAGCTTTTAGATATAGCGCTTTACTACTAGTAAGATCTTTATTAACTAATATAAGTATACTAATAGTATACTTTATTACTTTAGATATAGTAATTTTTAACTTATTAAGACTTTATTACCTACTAACTATAAGTTACTTACTATATAGGTAAAAGATAAGTGTTCTAAACTTAACTAATAAACCTATATTAAGTAGACTAGCTACCTTAACTAGTTAGCTACTAGTATATACCTAGATATTACTTTTATAGTTAGTAAGCTTTTTTAGGCTAATACTAGCTTATTATCTGCCTATCTAGCTGCTATTAAGTATCTTTTTTACTATCTTAAAGGCACTACTTATTATAGTATCTTATTTAGTAGACTTAACCCCTCTACTAATATTAGCCTCTATATAATAGAAATACTTTTTTTACTAATAATTACCTATTATAGGTTTTTATAAGTAGTTACGTTATCTACTTTATAAGATTACTAATTACCTAGAAGTTAAAAAAGTAGACCTTTATTACTTTAAGCTTTATAAAGGTAAAGTTTATTAACCTTATACTTACTGCTATTACTATAAAGTAGATTTACTACTATACTAAGTAGCTTTTTAGCTAACTAATAAATATACTAACTATCCTTTTTACTAATAGTGCTAATATAATAGTTAACGTTATAAATCCCCTTAATAAGGTATATACCTAAAGTATTAACGTTTAATATAAATAGATAATATAAGAGGTTTATACTTAAAAAAATATTACCCTCTAACTTATTAAGGGCACTAAAATAGCTACTAATAGTCTTACTAAACTACTAGCACTAACTAAATATAAAGACTTTATATAGTTACTAAGTATAATAAATAGGTTAAATTAAAAAGCTATATAGGCTATTATAAAAAATATATATTAGTAGATTAATATTATATAGACTTTAGTATATAGATTAATTATTACTAGACTAATAAGATAATTACTAGCGTATTACTAAAGTTATTAAATACTTTAAAAACTCCTTAGATTTAGAGGATTTAAGATTAGGCTGTTATTTTGCCCCTATGTATAATATTCATTAAGTTAGCAGAGCCTAAGGGGGAGTGTTATGAGGGGGCCTGTGTGCTAGGAGGTCACGTGACCTCCTGGGCCCCTCACCTTCATCCAGCCTCTGCCCATAGCCTCGAGAGGAGGATTTTCCTCCTCACCACCACACACCACTACAGATCGGCAATATCACTATTTGCCTCACTTCGTTGCTCTTGTGCTCCCACAATATATGCCTCGGGCATTAACTAGATCAGGTAATAAACACAGGCAGGTCTCGAGCCCGCACTCAGCAGGTGGCACCATATAATGTCTCATAGTCATATTTGCCCCATGTTCGTCTGTTTCTCTATCACATCCAACTCTCTATAATCCAAGGTCAGACTCAGCCAGAATAGTAGAGAAATAAAGTTAATGTTTCCAGCTTGGCACAAAACTGTCCAATACACCAGTTCTTTTACCGTTTCGAGTGCGGGCGTGACCGTGCCTATGACATTACCTGGTATGATGCTGCACGAGCCGCGGGGCAGTGTTGCCCTTCTGATCAGCGAGGACGAGCTCAGCAGGCTGGGGAGACCATGCCTGGTAAATGTCATGTTTGTGCAGGATCACCACCAGCGTCATCGACGTAGCAATATCATAAGCTACTATATATAGTGTCATGAAGTGCAAATCCACGCAGAAAGGAAATTGCTGGTAGGAGTAGCGATAATCACTAGTTACGTATTATACTTTTGTCTATTGTAAGTGTTAGCATCAGTTTCGACACATAAAGCCATAAGCATGACTCAAAAATGTAAGTGCAACTTCTAGAACAGGCTGTTGGACTCAAAGTTGCGGCTGTCGCAGTAGCAGCTCATTCTGTAGTTTGGTAAAGGGTGCGAGGCTCGCTCCAAGAGATAGGTTCTAGGACACGACGGCTACCAAAGGGCTGGCTTGGGGTGGTAAGTTTGATTGCACTACGACTAGGCAGCGTGCTTACGCGACAGAGCCAGAGCTGCGACTCGACGCCTGTGAGGTCTGTCTGGATATATTATAGGAGGCTTATCATAGTGTAGTAGGTAGTATTATCAGCTACGTTGTATGTAATGTTGCCTGGCTGACCTTGGCATTTGTATTTGTGTAGGCCCTCACTCGTAGGGACCCTTTTCCTAACACTCGAGCTTCTCCTTACCTTCAGTCGACGTAATCGGGGTTTGCCAGCAGGGGCCAACACTGCACGTCGGATGTTGGATCGCCATCCTCTTCTTGGGCCTGCTGGGTATTCGGCATGTTGATGTAATATTCCGGAATGGCCAGCATCTCGCCGGGAAGCGGACCGATGGGACCCGTCTCCCATGCCGAGCTTGGCGAGGCCGCCGTGGACGGGGTCGAAGCGAAGCTGACGAGGTACCTGTCTTCGAGAACCGACTTGCAGAACTGGAGGAATCCAGGGACGAACCGCCCTGGGTTGAGCAGTGCGTCACCAAGGAAGTAATGGCAGGGGCGGTACGTGGCGTCGCCTGCGGCCGGTTCGTCGACCTTTTCCTCTTCCACTTCCCTTGATCCTGTCTTCCAGCCAGGCCACACCGCAGTCTCGGGGTCTACTTTCTCAACATGTTCCACGGGGAAAAACTGTTGACAAACGAATATGTGTTTCACGGGGAAAGTACCTCTCAAGGCTGGCACGTCATGATGGGCGCCAGTATCCAGGTCACGAAGCCAGGCCGCACGTCGGAGAGGCGCGGAAAACGCCGCTGTGACGAAGAGGTGTATGGACCCGAGAAGCGCAGCTGCAAATGGCGAGGTGCAGGTTTGCGCAAAAAGACGGGCGGACTTGCTGTGGTCGCTACTTGCGCCACGAAACCCCTCAAGAAAGGATACGTGTCGGATTCTCTTGTGCTTGGCCAGAATCGCGAGCAACGGCGCCGGCTCATCATGCATTCGATGCAGATACTGAGCGCCTGCGCGCTACGCAGCTCGTCGGAATCCAGGGCCTCGGCGACGTGTTTGTACGATAAATGTCGATAAGCCGGCCAGTTGAGGTGCGGTTGTCCGGCGTGGGCGAGTCGGAGTAGCTGCAATGAAGCGCCCGAGGCCTGAATGTGTTCAGAACATCCGACAAGGTGGTCCCGGAGACGACTCTGAAAACCTGGCGATGAAATGATGTCGTGATGGGCCATGAGGTCTAGGTCTCCAGAGTCGGCGACTAGAGAAACAAGGCGACGAATCGCTTCATTAGAGCTGTGTAATGTAGGCTTCTGTCGGATCTAGTGGTCTCGGTGACATAGGTATTAGCTTTCCTCCGTATATTGTAATATCAGTCCTGTCTGTATAATGGCTAGTGAGTAGCTCAACCTGACGACACTTTGCCGAGCCAGACTTCATTTAGACATCCGAGCCTTCTCTTCTGCGGAACTTTTTATTGGAATAAGCACTAGAAGATTTGCTCACTGCAGGATCGCACACTCACCATGATTTTTAATAGGAGGCAACCTCTTTTAATTAGCCTAAAGTGCTTGTTACACCGCAGCACAAAGGATACACTTCTGCCTAGCTGGCAGCAATGCCCAGGAGAAGTAGGCTGTTGCCAACTAAAGATAACACTAGATAGAGACCGAGGGCTAGACTAGCGTAGGGAATTCTGACACTGTTTGTGCCGCTTGTCCAAAGGGGGCGTGAGTGATGAGAGTAGAACTATCATATCATACTAGATAATCATGTCTAATGATGTGACGCGCCATGCTCTCCATTAGTATCGCACGAGACCTACAGTACTATGTCAAAAGTCAGGCAACAGCAATAAGGACAGCCCAATCAACAGCGACAGTAGGGTAGTGAGACACACGTCCTTTGGTGGTGCACTGTGAAGTGACCCCGAGCTGATGGGCCCCTTCTGTGACTCCTAATAGAGTTGTGCTTATCGTTGTTGCCAGACTTTTGACTCTGTACTGTATAGATCAAGGCTCAAATAAGGAACCAAGACCATTATGTAGGCAGTTCCGTCACGCCACACCAGCGTATAAGTGACGAATCATAATCACAATGAGCGGCGGCCAACAAGCCGGGCAGAATCAAATCCCCGCATTTGTCTCAGCCTGACTTTTGTACACTGCACGTCTTGTCCTGCAAATTGCAAGTCTTCATGTCCTATCAGGCTGCCACGCATGCACCTCGAGCCTGCTTCCCGAGCCTGATTTCCATAAATATCTACCTGCCTTGGAGGGGGGAGAAGAACACTTTCCCCAGCTTCATTTCTCCTCAGGTTTACCTCTCTCTTGTTTATTTGCTCAAACAGACGTTACTTAAGATCTTCAAGTTTACCAAAAGTAATATACGGCGATTGTTCGCAGCCGAAGTGAGTGTTGCAGCATCATACATGCGATGATGATGATCCAACAAGGCAAGTGGTGTGCGAATCCTTTGATTCTGCAATTATTGCTAAACAACTCACCAGCCACTGCAAACGAGGCTCTGCCTACGAAAGTCATTGGCACGAGAGATATCGACTTCCAATACGTGGAACGCTCCGCAGTTCGCGTTGTGGTAACAGACGCCCAGAACAATGTCATCATTATCAAGGCCGCCAAAGACAGCTACTATAAGCTACCTGGAGGCGGTGTTGAAGCAGGCGAGGATCACTTGAAGGCTGCCGAGCGGGAGGTCGCTGAAGAAACCGGCTGCAACGTCTTGATCCAGGGCGCCTGTATGGCAAAGACGGAGGAGTACCGGAGAGATCTGCATCAAATGTCGTACTGCTACCGCGCGAAGCTACTTGATAAGACCGGAAAGCCCACCTTGACTGAAGAGGAGGTCGCTGACGGGTTAAGTCACGAATGGGTGCCCGTAGACAAGGCCCTCGATCTGATGACGGCAGAGCAGCCTACTTCTGAGCTGGGAAATTTCATCAAAGAGCGAGACATTTTTCTATTGACCGAGGTGATGCGAAGGGTCTGATGTAGACCTCTGCATCACTCAAGAGTGGCTGCGCCGTATCGCTGTCGGAGGCGTTGGGCCGGTATAAGTCTACAGAGTACCAAAGTCCGCTGAACATCACTCAAGACACATCTCGTAGTTTTAATGGGACCCTTTTCCATAATCATGTTGATGAGGGTGTGATCATCACACCGAAAACAGCCATGTGCCGCTACATTTCGGGCCTGATACCGTTGGATTGAATTGCGCGCCCGCTGGCGTACAGGTCGCAGCCTGCCTCCAGCCAGCCCGCTACAACAACCAACAGGATCTTATATATTCCAGCAGCCTCAGACGGTGGCATCTATGAGGCAGGCTGCGCGCCAAGTCTGGTGGGTGATCCTAGCCTCCTTCCTATTTTGTACCTGGAGGCTTCTATTCGGAATCACCGAGACATGTGCCATGCCTTCACGAAGTTGACGGTGCAGTAGAATGATCACACGAGTCAATATTGCATTTTGGGGTTGCAAGACGATCAGGCTGATGCATACATAGAACGCCACAGATTTCATGGAGTACATGGACTGGAGTGAAAATAAGCCGCAGTTTCAAGGCTGTCAGCGATGTATATATGTTGGGTTAACGTTCAATAACAGCAGGATTTTGTTTCTCACTTCTGCTGTATTCCTCCATTCAACAGACACGATTGAGATTAATCCCGTTCCGTTACCATAATACCTGGGAGACAGCTCCCGCGCTATAAGATGTTCTTTTACGACTCTACCTTGCAGCTCTACATCAACGACACGCCTCTGCTAGTTTCTGAGAAGGTTCTGAAGGCTGCCAAGAAAACTGGCATCTCAGTCACTTGGAACGATAATGGCTACGTCAACGCCGTATCCTATAGGATAGCCAAGGAACTCTGTCAAGAGTTGGGATCCGTACTCTTATCCGTGCGAGAATTCATGGGGCTGGTAAAGAGGCAACCACAAGTGGCCTCGAACCGTTTCGCCGAGTGGTTGGACAGCACATACACCGCCTCACCCGGTGGATGCGGTATGCTTGATGCTCATGGGCAGCTTGTTCCACTTGCTCAGGCACGTCCGGCATGGTTTTCTCTCGACAACATCAACATTGACGGGCTTCCCACACGCGTGTCCGAGTCTCCTGGCACTGACCTATGGAAGATCTGGACGATCGGTCACCACGGTTTCACCTCAGCCGCCGTGCGAAGTTTCGTGACGTCGTCGGGCACTTGCTCCTTGGACCTTGGCATACCCACATTTGCGCAACACAAAAACCTCATGATCAGAGAATGCTATCGTACGAAGCCAATGAGCGACCAGACACCGCTAGACAGCCTGTGGCCTCGGTATCTTTCCAAAACTTTGGGCCGAAACGATGCCGAGATTGGACAATTTCTCCTCTCCATCGATCTAGAGAGCCTCATCCCGGATGCGGAAGGCGACCAAGACAATTTCATGGTTGAACGGGACCGGGAGCGACTGGCTGATCTCGTAGGCAAGAAGCGGTTGCTTCTAGGCGACTATGGAGGTCTTCGACTCATCGATCTGGACACCATCTGCAAAGCGCTTTCAACGCTCGAGATGGAGAATACAACCTACGTCACAGGTCATCTGAATCCAGACGCCGACTCGATAGTCAGCTCCGTCTTTGAAGCTACTCGACGGGGCTTGTTATACCCGCATAAAGGGTGCGTGGCATGGGCAGAACGCTTGCCGCCAGTCGTGGAACACATTCTAGGGCCCCGGATCAGTGCCTACCTCAAAATGACGCCGAAATTTGAACCATACCACGAAGTAATACTTGTTGATTGCCACCATCTAGCAGGGGGACACCAGTACCAGGTTAGGTCTATCATAGACCATCACATCATTGGAACTGAATTCCCGTACTACGTTGCTCTCAGTCAGGAAGTGTCATGGTCATCTACACTTCAAGTCTATATCAAAATTCTAGGATCAGGATTTGATCTCGACGCAAGATCCGCACGGATTCTCCTCGAAGCAACAGAGATTGAATCTGAGCCTAGCCTCATGCAAGCTATGAGCAGGATCGATCAGATGGCCATCCACAGGCTCAGAACGATTGCTCAACAGTGTACCAGCTACCAAGATCTCATGAAACTTCTGGTTGATGGCAATGCACAGAACGACCCATTTTTGGAAGACTACAAAGAGACCAGTTATGGCTTTGCTGTGATCAAGTCCCAGAAGTTTGCATCATACCAAGATCGTGCCTTGAGGAACAACATTGAAAAGCATCTTCCGTTGACTGTCGTCAAGCAAGTGATCTATACCGACCATGGGTTCGAGTCCTCCTTGTGCGAACGAATTTCATTATATTTCAACGATAACTTCTACGACAAGGGCTTCAGAGATGCAATAAAGGACGTTACCCTAGCGGCCTGTGATGCTTTCCATGGACCCCAACAGGTATCTCGCAACGGATCCACCATAATGATAACTGGTGTACCGTCTCAAACTCCACGCTTGCTTCTGATGCCTACGTTAGAAGGCATTGTGAAGGAGCATTTGAGACTTTTCTACTCGAAAACCATTCAGATGTACATTTCATGCGGTTTTTTCAACAGCGGCACAGAAGCTTACGGAGATTCCCTTGAGAATCGGCCACCAACAACATTCATGTCCTATGACGACGTCAAGGCATTACTCGCCAACCAGACGAACACTTCGTTCATGAGCCTCCAACAGTACTGGAAGGTCTACCGCGAGCGCCTGGCTCTGGCAGACAAACATTCCCTCCAAAGCTTACGGGATAGCAATTTCGTGGAGCTTTTGGACACGGTGATTTATAACAAGAATATAGTGGTCCACAACAACGAGGTTGCCAGAGAAGTTCAGATCGACGAGGCAAAGCCTGCTCTCATCCGGATCACTGATATCGATGAATCTACAGGGTTTCCAAAACAGTTGAGATCTCCCGATACCTATGGGGACCACACCCTCTGGAGATACTGGTCCCCAGATCGGGACGAGAATGTCTCGACAAGAGGACACATCTTTGTCATGGACCAGACAAGCATCGATCTCAAGATAGGAAGGCATGAGAAGACGAAGCAGTTGACATTCCGACCTGTGTATCAGGACATTGGACATCTCAAATATCAGATTCGACATGATGGAGGGCGTTGGATTGTTGTGACTACTTTTCCAAGATTATTTTCAGTCCAGTGCTGATATATCAGTCTGGTTATTCATCCCTTTTATCACTATTCACTATACCCGGCTCGGGAATACTGTGGTGTACAGCCTTGTGCGTGGAATCCTTTACGTTCGTGACAAGATGTCAGCTGTAGGTTCCCGTTTGACTATAGTGGTTCGTGTAGCTTTTGCTGACCTGGAAACACCGTTGTAATTATGAATTAGTCATTTCAGCATGTAGTCATCCGATGTTTCAGGTTTCTCAGCCCTAGTCCTTCACCGCTCATTCTAAGGTCTGTGGTTACAGCCAAAGACAGCTCCGAGCGACTCATAAATAGGGCATGTGCACGCATACTATTCATGCCATTTTATTGAAACACTTGAAGGGCGGGAGGTAGTATATGGCCCCACTGAAGATCATCCAACGTTCTTGTTCCAGAGCAAATGCCTCTTGAGCCGACAATGGAGATAGGTAGTCCCCCATCCCCGCCGTTCATTGAGGTTGATGGACTGCCAAACTTCCGTGACTGTGGCGGCTATCCTGTCGCTCAAAAAGCAGACACAATCGTCCGGAGGGGCGTTTTGTACCGGTCAGCAGACCCTTCACGGATTTCCGAAAGGGGCATCGCCCAGTTACGAGCCCTCGACATCACCAAGGTCTTTGACCTCCGCTCGCACGGCGAAATTTCGGAAAGCACGAAGAACGGATGGGGCCAAATCAGAGAATGGGATTCCGCCCTGCGAATTCCAGCATCCGTCTTCACCGACAGCGACTTGGCAAGTGGTCAAAGGGCCAAGCGAGACGCATATCTGAGGGAGGAAGGACACCAGGTGGGTTTCGATTGAACGTTTGTTTGAGGTCTCATTTGCAGCTCGCTGAAGTTTCCGACCAAGGGGTTCGTGAACTATTACCGAGATGTTCTCGCCTCTGCCACCTCCCATGAGAACGAATTCGAGCCCCTCCGCCAGATTCTGCGGTACTTTTCCGAAACTCCGGCAACCCAGCTCAGGCCAATCCTTATTCACTGCTCGCTCGGGAAAGACAGGACAGGGGTCATTTGTGCCCTGATACTGAGCCTCTGTGGCGTCGATGACTCCATCGTTGCTCACGAATACGCAATAACCGTCCTGGGTCTTCGGGAGAAGGTGGCGGCCATAATAGCAGAAATCCATCCTGATGGGACCGGAATGACAGAGGTTGAAACCCGGTTTTTCGGTTCCAAGTCAGTCTCCCAATTTCTTTTGCATCACTTTCTTCACTCGAGCTAACGCGGCACAGAAAAGAGTCTATGCAATGTTTTCTAGAGCAGCTCCGCCAGAACGGCGGCGTGGAGCAGTACATTGAAGACAGTGGAATATTGACAGATTACCAGGTGAAGCAGCTGCAGCAGAATCTCACTGTTAGGCTACTGGAAGGCGAAGAGCCCCTAGATTGGAGACGGCACGCTGAGATGTTAGAGCAGTTCTTAAACACAGCACCTTCAAGTTAAGCAGCGACCCAACTCACGTGCTTTATGACGAGAGCGGGCGAAAGGAATTCAAGGAGAGAGACGTTTATTATGCAAAAGGTATGTAGGTTGTAGTGTAGGTCAGGAACAAAACAAAACAGAAACATACAACACCAGGTATTCGCTGGTCGTCACCGACCCAACTACTAATCCGGCCCTCATTGGCTTATCTATGGGAGAGCGGACGGGATCCCGAGTTTTCCAATGGGTATGGTCGTATGTGACATTTTGCTGCTGTTGAGTAAAATATATATGAAGATATAACAAGACAGCCATGTGACTAGCTGTGCCCGACCGATACGCATTGGTGAAGGGTGCGCCAACAAAAGGGACAGCTACATACTACTGCCCTTGTGCTATGGCATCTTTGGACGGAAGTGACAGCGGTTACGCCATCCAACGTGGTCTTCTTGTCAGCATGGACACAAGGCTAGCTAAAGATCTGGATCATGCATCTCGAACGCCAGTGTCAAGTCCAGGCGCTAGCCGATCTCTTCAAGCACTCAGGAGGGTCAAGGCAGCTGCAAAGGACAGTACTCGTTGAAGAAAAACCCCAACAGGACGATAACCAGTCTAATCATGACCTGTCGATTATTTGGTTGTCCGTTGGTGCGGTTGTTAGAGTCTCGACCAATAGTTTTACGTGTGAATGCGGACTTGGCTCCAGGAAAGGAAGTAGACGTTACTCCACCGCCTCCAACCTAGACGTGCCCGGGACAAACAAGTCTGTTTGGTGGGGTTGGTTATTTTCAAAACTCTTGGACTGTTTGTCAGACACATGTTGGTGTACTTATTGCTGGAAAGGGTGTCTGAACAAGGAAAACTTTTAAGTCGGAAGAAGAGAAATCGTGGGAGCAAACAAGTTGTTTGGTGAGGTCTATTATTCTAAGGATCTATAGCCTTACGTGCAAGAGCTATCATTGTCTTCTCCACCTGCATACTTATGAGAACGCCATGCAATCTTCAAGTCAGCCAGACGGAGGCTCACCCGCTAGTCACACAGTCAATCGCCACTCCGGGCACACGGACGGTAAGGGCAGTGCTTCCAAGCCTCTGGTTGAGCCCACCGCCCTTTGCAGCATGGGAATGAGGCGATGCCGTGGGTGGAGAAGGCACTTGCAGTTGATGGTGTCCAGGGCGGCATGGCGGCGGTCGGGTTGGGGCCGGAGCAGCTGACAACGTATCTTGTCAAGGGTGTTTTGGTCGGGTGCGAGAACAGCCCTGAAAGCACGCCGCTCACGGGAGACAAGGACAAGCTCGACGGTGTCTTGCGCCGAGTCAAGGAGGCGTACCCGGATGTTCTTGTCCGCGAGCTGAAGGTTGATCGCGCATATCATTGTCATCACATGCGCATCGCCGCACCGCACTACCTGTCTTACCTCGAGGCCCGAGGAGGCATCATGCCGCAAGAGCCCTCAGTCCCCTTCAGAGAGCTTAAACCGTTCCTCCTCTGGGCCGCTCTCCCAGCCCAGCGGCCGAATCTGAAAGTCCTCGATCCGGGGCATGACGAATTAGGCCGTGTAGATTGGGCACTTGTGCACGGCCGCGTTGGTGTAATGTTATACTGATCGTTGGCACAAAGGCCTTTAGGGTTGCGTATTACGTTTGACTGCCAGCTCGACTATGGTCTCACGAACAGGCAGAGGGGAAAGTTGGGAAGCCCTTCTCAAGGGGAAGGGCGGATCTTTCGGTAATATACATGGTATTATGATGGAGTTGGGAATGGCTGGAGGGGTAACATGCGCGTCGTATGCGTGTGATAAACCATTGGATCAATCACGCATCACCAACGATAGCGGATGGCCAAGATCCACCCGTTTGTTGGCCTGGGCGACGGCATCTTTGCAACTCATGCTGGCATTGCCCCCTGTTCTGGGACGAGTTTATCTAGACCCGCCCATCCTTGCCAGGTTTGTCGTGTCCTGGCCGCCATGGCACAGCGACGGATACAAACACGGGAACTGGATCCTCCAATTTTTCAACAGCTAGGATTCATTGGTTGCGGCGGATGTGCAGACAGGGGTCTGGAGGTGCGGCCAGATGATACAGAGTCGGGCTACAAGCAGCTTATCCGACAACTGTTTACCCTCTTTTAAGATATAAGAGCCGAAAGAAATTGCATTGGATGATATGATGGCTGCTGGCTTGGAAAGCCTTTTGGGCATGTATGCCTACTTGTCCATGGCGATCCAACCTATTTAGATTATATGGAGACATAAGCGGCGACATTGATGCAGTCGACAGGGTATCGGCATGGTTCAGTCATCTTACTACCATGGGGTTCTTTTGGGGGTTTCATTAATGGGAAAGATCCTGCATGTCTTGCCTTGCTTGAAGTCTGGGAGTACACGATAAGGAAAGTGTTAAGCACCCTCGGACTGAAAGATCAAACGACAACTGAACAGAAAGGTCCACGGGAAAGGAACTTGATCGGGCAACCTCCGATTGACACTCAGGAAAACCATCATCTTTCCTCTCTGATGAACAATTGCACTTAGGGTTAGGTTTCACCTAGCACGATAAGGAGGGAGTTTCTGCAAAAAGAATTTGTCTTTCCTGCCACTCTGAAAGGTTACTTCTTGCCTTTCACCCACTACCTCATATGAAGGCTTGCGGGGTACCGATGGAGATTGTGTGAACGAAGGACAGCTCTGGCGTCCCTGGCTAATGCTATGGTATCGTGTATGTTAAATCTTTTACATACCAAGGTATACTTCAAATCAAGCAAGCATAAATATGTCAGCCCGTTGCCTAGCCATGTGAACCACTAGACCGTAATGTCAAGAAAGTACCTAAATGTCTAACAAACATCTGAGCCCTTGCGGCCTCTTTGTTGTTTTCAGCTTGTCTAGAACGATGTGACGTAGCGAAGCAGACAGCTGTGTGACATAAAGCCTGGGCTAATTAATATGAGACTACGGAGAATTGTATGCTTGTGTAATCATGTTACACGCATGGGGTACGTCGTCTATGTCAGATCCCGGAACTTAACCGGAAATTTGCTGCCGTCGTCGGTAGGAGTTGCAGGCGGCGATTCGTCCCATCTTTGCGCCCCCTCGTGGATCCGCACGACCGCGCTGCTTGTCCAAATATGTTTCCCGTGATCCATGTCAATCCCGGCGATGAGCCCTCCCTTGATGCTGACGGTCTGTTTTGGAGTCCCGTTTATATCCTGTGCGCGGTGGAAAACGCGACTCCCGCACACGCGGCAGAAATAACAGTCCATGTGTCCGCCCCCTTTGGTCGGCCGCATCCACATCTGCAGTTTCGACTTGAGGTCCTCGTCAAGAGGGAACAGGCCGTCGGCGGGGAATATAGCGGACGTGCCGAAGGCGGATGCGGACTGCTTGCGGCATTGGGAGCAGTGGCAACAGTAGAGATCGAGAGGTTTCGGTACTGGCGTCTCGAAAGCGACAGTTCCGCACTGACACTCAGCCTTCATATTGGATGAGGGTGGTGACTGACGAGCACTCCAGTCAAAGTATCAAAATGGTTACGGCAATCAGGGGCTTTGCCGCTCGGACATTGGGATGTTCTGAAATGAGGCCCATGGAGCTCGGTACTATCAAATCGGAGAAATCCTACTTCCGGCTGCTTGCGCCATTTACAGCACACCACAGCACACGATTGAGAACTAAAGGGCGTAATCGACCAGCGCAGATCCAGATAAGTCTTCCATGTGATTGGTTAGATCATGACGGAACATGTCGTAGGAACAATATAGAAAGCGGCCAATGCCTGTAACGCAATCACGAACCGATAAACAGTACTCTGTAGTTCGCGTGCAAAGGGGCCATCATATTTGGCTTTAATATATATGAATCTATCATGCCTACCTATTCCCGCTTCTTGTGACATGATGATGACGGCGCAGAGAGGTTGATTGAAACTGAGATGGGCCAGCAGATAATAATCCTGCCGTCTACTATGACGGGACAACCCCTGGGGAGTTCCTTGTTCCTGCGATCGTCTCATTTTCCCCCCTTAGCATTAACCCGGGTCCGTCACCCGACAAGGTATGGATTTAGCCAGTTATCCCGAGTGCAACTTGGCCAACTATACTATCCCATGATATAGCAACCTTTCTCCAGTTCCCCGGAAGATTCACCCTTTGTTTACATGGTGCATGGTGCCGGCAGGGCAATTTCACCGCTCCACGATCGCATCGTCACTATCCTGTATTAATCCAAACGCTTGAACGTGGTTCGTTCTGCGGACGGATAAGAGGCCGTCTGAGTCCCTGATCCCTGCGGTTCATCTGGGCTGTTCCGCTCCCCCCGCCACCAAAACCTCCTTTTGACCGTATGTTCCGTTCCGCATTGAGTATCGCCAAGGGTCAGGAAAAGAGGCTAAATGCAACCTGCCTTTCCTTCTTTGGGGATCTCACTTAGATTAAATATTTGGCGGCTTTTGGCCCCATGCAGGTAGTTTGCACCCCTGTCCCCCCCTCACTGCCGGACAAGCAACGTGATCCTCCAGACCTCTGGAACCAGAGAAGTGCGTCCATATCCGGCCCTTCTGACAAACACCCCACAAAGGAGGTTTTCCATCAATTGAATTGTTCGGAACGATGAGATTGAAGTGGTTCAATGCGGGCTGGCCGTCGTCTGGAAGGCTCTCGTCTAGCAAACATATATAGACGACGCCCAGCCGTGAACATTGTCGGGTTTCCAGAAGACTTGGCATCCCGCAAAGCACCACCAACTCTCCGTCTTTCATTTCGAACATTTCAAAAGCGCCCATCATGATCATTGACACTATCGTCACCGGCCTGCTGCTGGCCGCCAGCGTCGTGGCTGTTCCCATCGAGAACCCCTTCGAGCTTATCAAGCGCGCCCCCAGTGCCGGCGTCGTCATCCAAAAGTGCTCCAAGCCCGGCGTCTTCGCTCTCGCCTACGATGACGGCCCCGGCCAATACCACTCCCAGCTCGTCGATATCCTGAACAACGGCGGCGCCAAGGCCACTTTCTTCATGACCGGAAAGCTGTACGGCTGCATCTACAACCAGCGCGCCGCCGTGAAGAAGGCCTTCGACTCGGGCCACCAGATCGCCTCGCACACCTGGACGCACCCCCAGAACTTTGGCAGTCTGAGCTCGTCCCAGCTCACGACCGAGATGAAGAACCTCGAGCAGGCCTTCGTCAACATCATTGGCAAGAAGCCCGCCTACATGCGCCCGCCGTACCTCGCCACTGGCGGCGCCGTGCTCTCAACCATGAAGACGCTGGGCTACAAGGTCATCACCGACGATATCGACTCCGGTGACTGGAACGGGCAGACTCCGGCGCAGAGCCAGCAAAAGTTCCAGCAGGCCGGCGCCGGCGGCAACGGCCACATCCCCCTTATGCACGAAGTTTACGCCAGCACGGTGCAGACCTTGACCCCTTGGCTGATCAACTGGGCCAAGCAGAACAACCTGAAGCTGGTCACTGTTGGTAAGTCGAGAAAGCAGGAACCATAATGAGTCTGGCCTCACGACTAACACATGATGTGCAGCCGAGTGCCTCGACGACAGCGGCGGAGCCTACCAATCCGGTTCCTTCACCGGCAACGGTGCCAACTCTTGCTAAATATCGAAAGCTACCCGGTAATTTGCAGGTGTGAGGCTTAGCTGGGCGGGAAGTGGACTCGACCTTTCAGGCTGCATTACAGTTCACTGTTGCGCTGGCTCGTATACAAATCTTCATGAACATAACTTTGGGTACATATCTTTCTCAGTATATAAGATATATCGGGAGAAAAAGAACTCCCGTGAAAATAAACAAGTTTCTAAATAGTGACAGAAGCCGATGTATCAATATTACGCTAGAATGGTCTGGACCTACATCATGATGTAAGGAGGAAGCAGTCGCCTTCCTGGCAGCATCGCGACCTGGTGCTCACCGACGTGTCTCTGGTCAATGACCGGAACGTGGGGTGACCTGATGGCGAGATACCACATGCAAAACCTGGGAAACGTGGTAGCGTTAAGCTTTTTAACGTCCAAAGTTAACACGGTAGAATCAGCCATAAAGGTAGCGGCAGGCCTTTATAAAACTGCCGTCTGTTGATGAATCCTGCTAAACCTTTTCACGTACACACACTCCCAGCCTATTCATCATCCCTACTAAGGCCCTCCACTAAAGTCAACGCACCCCACCTCCTTTCAAAGGTTCAAGTCTGGACCTAAGCTCCAGGATTGCCATGCAATGGGCAGCGTAACCTTGGAAATCCTAGCGGATCTGGGGTATGAGATCCATCAATGGGTTTTCGATATCGATCCTTTTCGAGACTATGATAAACCGTTGTTTCGAACTATCGGCGAGCGATGCTTCGCGATTCAAACGGGTTATTTACGTATCCCTCCTCGACTCGGCTTCTTGTCACCTGGGCCCAGTCGCCTCCAAGGGGCAGAAAGCTACTTTTTTTGCAAAATTGGTCATCTTTTCCTTTACACTATACTTACCTCTCGGTATTTTTCGTATTTTCAGTGAACCTGGCACTTTTTTACGACGAGTGGCGTTTTTGCCTCCAGTTTTGTTTGTCATCGCCTGGTTTCTGATATGTACGTTAAGTCATCATTTATCCATTGCTTTCAACTATCGCTAACGTCTTCTTACAGAATCGCTATTTTGCAAGAGATTATTGGCGAAACGACGGGCCTCCCCAAGGTCGCCAACGCCTGGCAAAGATCTTGATGGGGATTTGCAAAACGCGAGATATTAATACACGACGTAATGCCTTTGACGCGACCCCGCGATTCCGCCAACTCTCAACTCTGGCCGACGATAACATCTGCATCCACCCCAGCCCGCTTGTCCCGTCAGCAGCAGGCAGGCAGGCTTGTTCATGGCTGATGGCCGTCTACTTATACAGATTTACACAACAGGTAAGAACAGGTCCGAGGTCTGACGGGCTCGGCTGGAGTCCTTGCTGCCGAAAGTGACTGTTGATTTAGTTGGAAGCTGCGATGCTGGACCATTGGTTGAAGACAGTACGCCTACCTGTTATCAAGAGCTCCAAAATTTGGCCTTGCAGTCTAGTTCGATGAGCTCCAAAGTCAATTTGAAGTTAGAATTCGAAGACTATCAAGATTTATAGACGCAATCTGGGCAAGTTTGACTTTTCTACTGCTTCAAGCCCGACGGCCTCCGGCATAAAAGTGTTTTTCTCTTCTTTGGCATTAGTTTGCTGATGGACCAAGCTTCGACAATGTTGGAGATCGTAGAAAGTAACAGGATATAAAAGACAATATCGTTTTCGAAATTCTAACCAAAGATGAATTCAATCAGAACGGATCTTGTTATCTACCTTCCGTTCAGTCCGCATAAACCTTATTCCGCAGAAACTATCTTGTCACAAAGTCTCCAACAGAACCCCGCTGATTATGTCGGAATATCATCCAGGAACGGTTTCATATGCAGGAGGCCGTAAATACTGATAACGAGTGTAAGCCCGTGGCCGTATGACCAAGAAGCCATTGGTGTCTGCCAGAACTCTGCTGACTGGAAGAAGGTGAGTTAAGCCTCGATGTTGGCAGAACTCATGGGAATCTGAGAGCATTTAGCCAACCGGAGATGTCCCAATGGAGATAATTAGGGTTTCTGGAAGACCCCGAGTGAGATATGATCGATACGCTTCGTTTTTCTACTGTTAACTCCCGATGACCACAGTCGGCTGTTGAAGTTGCCTCCAATGACCGTGATAGCCATAGCCTGGGAGATTTTTGTAATCGTCATGACAATGAACCCGAGAGAGGTATAAAATCCCTGGACATATCTCCGTATGAGCGTATTCATTTTCGCTACCAAGAACCATTTTTTGATCCAAGAACACTTCCGAGAAACATCCATTAATACCATAAATCTAATTCCCAGAGATACTCTCAAAGAGAAATAATAGAAACAGAAATCATGTCTCCTCAATCAACCCTTTATCTCACTCATCATGTTTTCCTTACGGCGAAGTTGCCCCAAGCAGACGACTTTAGTGTTGAGAACGAGGAGGCTTTGCTTCAGTGTCTTTGTGATTCTCTCACCAAGTTTCGCGAGCTTGTGCCGAAAGAGATGAAAAACATCGTTGAAATAGCTGCCAAGATGATGTATGATATGGCCGACGTTCATCAGCCTCTGGGCGACACTATTGCTGTTGATGAGGGCAAATTACTCAACATCCTACATAAGATATCACAAACAGGTATGTCTTGTCTTCCGATCTCAGAGAAATTCGCTAAGGTCACACAAGGACATGCCATTCCCATTCCCCTCAACATCAGGGCTCAGAATGCTGGAGTTCTAGTTACCAAGGTCAACGACTCGGTTCATTTTGAGGCGTTTGAGCTATCTCCGACCAACGAGGCCGTGATCACGACTAAAGGTCGTCTTCGTCGAACCTTCCCTGGAGTCGGGTCTGTCATCGACCTGGATAAGTTCAACGAGGCAGGTTTTAAGGAGACCCTAGCTGCAACTCTGGCAAAGATGAGCGCTCAGCCTGCCGTAGCGACTCAACCGCGCGTGAAGAAAGCAGGGCGATTCCACGACGAGAGTCGCGACACCGCCAGCCCGAAGATGGTTACTGAGCTTCTATATTCCTTCTTACAGGCTTCTGGAAAGTCTCTCGAAGCAGAAAGACTTTCGAAGAACACTCGTGAAGAAGTGAACTGGGCTGATTGTCTTCTCCCGTGGCGCCGTTCTCCGACATGGCTTCTTGTTCGCGTTTGCCTGCAGTTGATGTTCGGTCGATTGGCTGTCGAAGCAGGCCGCCCCGAAGATAACCTTTACAAGACATTCATGGCTTTCATGATGGCTCAAGCTCTCAGTCTTGGGTTACATCATGAACTCGACTCGGATTTGATTCTTTCAATGGTCGCAAAACTTTCTAGACGCCTTCTAAAGCTTACAACCGAGCCCGCATCTGCAGCAGTTGGTCATGTCCGCCAGATCATGTGCCGGGCGAACGAAACTTTGTCAAAGCGGTGGTCCGATATTCAATCCAGAGACGCCCCTGGGTTCAGTGGTGAGCTGGAAAGTCTCAAGACGGTGGACTTTGAAAAGGACTCCGTCATGCACCTTCCCGATCTTGACAACTTTCTGGCATCATTTGCCAACCGAGATATCAAGAAATCAGGTTCTGACTTTCGTCCCTCATGGGAGACGCCAACATACAGTCCATGCAATCTGCCATCAGATGTGAAAATACCCGACGAGGAACACTTAACTTTACACCTGGCAAGCTTCGAGACCTGGGTCGACAAAAATTTACAAACATGGTTTACAGAACAACCCGAAAGAGAGTTAGAAAACGTGGTCTATTCGACGCGCAAAATTCTCGAAAGCTACCACGACGCGGCCAGTTTGTTCTACAATGGCAATCCGGAATTGACGTCCATCATGCTGCTGACAATCTTGGACCTCTGGATTGTCTGTGACAAAGCCGCGATACTTTTACACCCAATGCTCAAGGATTACGACCCCAAGATCCCAGTGCGTCTCTTTCAGAATCTTCTGCTTCCGGAAAAGTGTCATATGGAAAGGTTGCATGCTGCCGAGCAGTATCTCGCAGATCGCGTTGGCAATTGCAAGTCGAGGAGTTGGGCTCCAAACATCTACACAACCTTTGGGACTTCCACATGTTTCTCTGCTCGTTATTTTGATCAATCTTCTGAACACATGATTCTCAGAGATAAGATCGAAGAGGAAGCCCGACAAGATCGGGAAGCAAAGAAACTGGAACTCACCAGATTGAAAAGGGAGTACGATGACCTAATGAAGAGATGGAGAGACAGTTCCTGCGATTATTATGAAGGTGTCAACAGGTGGGGACACACCTATACTCGGCACGACAGGTCTTGCACGCGGTGTCTGCTTCACAACCGTGCCGACAGAATGAAAATAGAAATTCACGAGTGGCCGCTTCCGAGGAACTCTACCGAGATAAAGTCAACCGTTTTCGAGCTTTTATTGCCAAAGGCGTTCGGGAACTGGCGCGAAGTCAGTGTCTATTTTCTGTTTACCGTCCTCAAAGCCAATTTTGTTTCACCACAGAAGCCCCGTGCAAAATATTCGTTGAAACGCTACGACGGCCTCTCTCGCTATTTCAGCGAAACGGTAAACCGGCAATACATTGGGCTCCTGTCACAAGACAAGCCTCATATGAAGACGCATCGCAAAACAGTTTCGGTTGCAACAGCCACTGAGATCGAAGTCTGCCTTGATAATGGGTTGAATTACGCGTACTTTATTGAGCACCGGATGTTTCTCACTTCTTTTGAATTCGGACATGTTATACCAGAAGCCTGCATGTATCGCCTGTCAACACATTCAAAAGCACTCCAGCCGTATATTTTCCGTCCGTCATCTAAGCCCAGCGGCCCTACACCAAATACCGTCATAGCCACCGTCCAGAAATGCCCGGATGATATGCCCGTTGAGGAATATAGAGCCCTAGCTTCAATTCCTCTCGGGTATAGGCTTCAATGGAAAAACATCCTCATTCAAATATTCTCTCCTTCTGTAGATTTCAGGAAGAGGGATACGGCTCTTGTAATTCAGCAGTGCGCTTATCAAGCTGGACCACCAAGCGACTGCGCAATTCGAAGCGCTCACAAAATTTGCCAAGAAGAAGGCTTTGCATCGAGGATGTTGGAAGGCCTTTTCGAAGCCATTCAACGATTTGAAGAGAATTGGCAGTCTTTGGCTGCCTTGGGGACTTTCGCCGCTTTATCCCGGCGTCTGCTTTCACTCACACCTTGCTCTGAGACTCAAAAAGAGTGCCTCCGTTTCTTGTCCAGGGCCAGAAAAGTCTTGTTTCATTGGGCGCAGACTTTGAAATGCAGGGCCCAAGGGTCACTTGACGATAAAGAGAAGCTGGAGTTTCATCGCAGGGCTCTAGAAGCTTTTCTAATGTGTGCAGACACGTTCAACGTCGAAGAAGCTTACCAAAAAGCCGTCTTCCTGGATGACTCAACGATCTCAGTCTTCATGCAGTGCTCTATTGGGATCCATGAGGGGTCTCAAACTCTCCTGGCATCTCTTGAGACGCCTGTTCGACACCTTTATTCTCGTTGGCAGAGAACTTCACACATGCATTGTGGTTTCTTGGCCGGAAAGATTCTGGCTGAGGGCAGCTCTGCCCTTGACGACACAATTACCGCGTCGTGGTCTGTCTATGAACCCAGCCGAAGGTGGAAGATACATTCGCATACACACCATTCATGGCTAACAAGCATTACCGCTTCGAAAACACCCATGATGGTGAGTTTCAATCTTATCACAGGAGAGCTTCTAGTTGCCGGTGCTCCATTGGATCATCTGCCGCATCGGTATCTCACACATGACTCATATCGATACTTATTTGGCCGCTTTTCTCTTGAAATCATGCCGACCCCGGTCCCAGGAATGCAATACTCCTCCAAAAGACGGCATGCGGAGTACGATGTTCACTTGGGTCTGGGCCATGATTCCAGCAATTCCGAAGGAGATCTTTTAGTACAGGCCTCAAAAGGCGACTCGGATTATGAATTGATTCCTAAGCGATGCCTAAAAGGAAATTTACCAACGAGATTTGTTGACGAATACGTTCACTGGTGGGACTACAAGATGAAGTGTGTCGAGTTCCGTGACATCACTACTCCATGGAAGCACACGTCGCCGCACTGGAGACTTTCTAAAAACCCATCTGGATCCAGCTGGGAGCTTATGCGTGATGATTCTTCCACCTTGGTTAATATCCGTAGCCAGTCGGCAAAGCTCATATCGGCAATTTTTCAGCCGCTCGAGGATCCCTTCTGGCTGCACATCATTTACAGGAAATCGGAAGCATCGGTCACGGTAGAACTTCCTCGAGCTCAACTTGAATTCATTCACACTCCTGGCCACCCGTCAATCCACCCGAGACAATTTCGCGGTATGGTGGTTGACTCAGATCAATCTGTTGGAGCACTGATAGGCTTGAAAGACAAACTGGTCTTGAAATCAGACCAATCTGACCATCCTTGGACTCCTACATGTCGCAAGGTACTTGTGCTACAGGGCAAAGTATCCTTTGCAAAGGCAGACGGCCACGTCAATGTCCACATCGCAAGGGGTGCTTCAAGAGTGCACGCCTACCAAGTAGACCGCAGACTCGCCAAGCTCCTAAGCAACAATGACTTGCAGAGTAATCTTTTCCTCTGCTATCTGCATGCTCTTACGTCCTTCGTAATTCCGGATCCTCTTACGAAACGGACAGGTACAGAACAAGCATTGTCTATACTGAACTCAGCATCAGTCAGATCGTTTTCACTCTTGACGCCGGGGAATGTGGCGCTTCTTAACCATATAGCCCAGCTTACGCCTAGTAGAGGTTACTACCCTGCCAACGAGCGAGTCATGCAGACGGTTGTCTGGTCGTCAAAGTTGAACTTTCTAGCTCAACATGGCTTCTTCTATGAGCGAGTTAAATCAATCTTTGAACAGGACAAAAAGTCTAGGTTCTTTCACCCGGACTTATACATCCAACCACCGACAATGGACACAATGGAATTGGATCTCCTGAAAAGACACATGATTCGTTCGTCAACTTTTCGAGTGTCTGGATTCGGAGCCGAGAGCTACAGCCTGGATCATGATACTCAATATACTGCAAGAGATCGGAATGAGTCCTTGCAAAGGTCGCGTTCTTTCGCGATTGCCCGACTAGCTCTATCCGCCGAAGAGCCTTTTCTTGTGGAGCCCTTACCCGCGAACATGGCTTCACATCTGTGGGAACTTTTGACCAACGGTTCTCCGATCCTCGGTCCTCATTGCACTCTCCCTATCGATCTCATTGCCTACCACGCTGGATTGCTTTTAGAATTCCCCGAGTTCATAACCACTCATTGGATTGGGCTACAGAGAAATTTGAGAACCTCGGTCAACAAGTACCAATCTGCGATTTGGCTAGCGACACTAGCTTTTGCAAAAAAGCCAGACATGGCTGTGCTCCAGGTATTAGCCTTGTTCCGAACGGCCAAGGACGTTGCTAGCGTTTCACCGCCACCAGCAGGAGACAAGTTCAACTTGAGGAGAGGAACCGACTTCATAGAAACGAAAATTCGTCAATGTCTCGAGAACGCCTATATGCCTTTTACCGAACGCTTGGAGATCGATTTAAAGAGGTTTCAATGGGAGACGTATTGGTCTTTTTATGAAAGACGGAAAGATTTGTTTGAAACGAAGAGGGCTTCGGCGGTGACTAGTCTCCTCAATGTTCTTGAGGCCCAGTGGCCCTGCAGCACACCGAATATACCACTTACACATACCGACGCGTCTTTGTGGCACCAGTATATCATCGTTGACAAGATAGTACCCGAAACCGAAAACGTATTGACAGAGTGGTATAATAACCTTCAGTTCCAGAAATATATCGAACAGATCACTCGTCAAATACCATCTCACATTGCAACTCAATACCACCCGAAGACCTTATTGACGACAATTGAGCCGACATATTCGCACAGACCACGATTTATTAGTGAGGACGACATGTTCAGGCACTCTCCACCGCCTCTAATCGCTCATGAGACTTGGATTCTTGGCTTTGAATCATTTCATAAACGTCAGAAACAAGACTATCAGTTGCCTGATTTGCTCTCCAGCCTTTCCACGAAAGCTTCGGGACAATATCAAGAGGAATATATTGAAGACCTGACGTCAAGCTTGACTTCTTTGCAGAAACGGCAGGTTACGGACGACTCCAAAAGCCTATCGCAAGATTATACGGAGCAAAAGCTGGCGGAATATTTACAAACTTGGAAGACACACACAGAGAAACTCCAGAGCCTCATTATAAGCGCTGTTCTCGACCTACAGGCAACTGACTCCGTTGAAATTTTCGCCGATATTTACGACCTCTATCAACGGCCGAGACTCTCCGCTTCTTGTCTTTTGCAAAGACTGAACCACATCCATCGAAATGTGACACCGGCTGCATGGTCTGAATGCTTGATCCAGTTTGGCACGGCGATAACCCAACTACAACGCGCGGAACGGATGATGGCCTCGCTGGGTGATACGGCGGCTCTGATAAATGAGCTACAGAATCCAGGGCATACCAACTGGTTGCCCAAAGAGTTTCCAGACACGCTGCTCTTGGAGATAGAGAGCGGTATTATGGTACGCGAGGTTCAAGAGAGCATCGCCGACAAAATGAGGAGTCCGCCCGGTAACGAAAATGTCGTCATGCAGCTAAATATGGGGGAAGGGAAATCGTCGGTCATCGTACAAATGGTCGTGGCAGCCATTGCCGACGGATCTAATCTTGTTCGAGTCATTGTTGCGAAGCCCCAGTCGAAACAGATGTTTCAGATGATGGTGTCTAAACTAGGGGGTCTGCTCGACAGGCGCATATACCATATGCCGTTCTCCAGAGCAGTCAAGATTGGCCCGTCCGAAGCGGAAGACATTTATGCAATCTTGAAAGACTGCATGGATTCAAAAGGAGTTCTTTTGGTTCAGCCAGAACACCTACTCTCTTTTCAGCTGATGGGCATTGAGACAGCCACCACAAAGAAAGAAGTGAGTGCTTCTCTGGTGAGGACAAAAGACTTCCTTGACCGTGTGTCTCGCGATATTGTAGACGAGAGCGATGAGAACTTCAGTACCAAGTTTGAGCTCGTGTATACGATGGGAACACAACGGCCGGTTGAGCATAGCCCCGATCGGTGGATTTGCATACACCAAGTCCTCAACGTTGTGAGGAAATTCCTCCCAGAGATTCAGAACAACGACCCCAGCTCAGTGGAGATCGCCACAGGACACGATGGCTGTTTTCCGAGAACACGAATATTGCGGGAAAGCGCCAAACGCATGCTTCTCGAACTTTTGGCTCGCCATCTCAGCAAGGTGGGCACAAAAGGGCTTCCTATGGCTTCCCAGCCATCGGCGATACAGCAAGCTGTATACACCTATGTATCCAAGTTTGATCTTTCTCATTCCGAAATCGACGCGGTCGAGAGTTCAAACTTGTGGACTGCCTCAACCAAAAACACACTATTACTGTTACGAGGCCTCATTGCATGCCAGATCATCAGTTTTGTTTTCTGTCAGAAACGATGGAGGGTCGACTACGGACCACACTACAATCGGGTCCCTAGCACGCGGCTCGCTGTTCCCTACCGAGCCAAGGACAATCCAAGTGCCCGATCTGAGTTCAGCCATCCGGACGTTATCATCACTCTGACTTCATTAAGTTATTACTATGGAGGGCTAGACAACTACGAGATACTCCTCAGCTTCGAACACCTTATGCTCTCAGACCAAGCCGACACAGAGTACCGAGTTTGGGTACAAGATAGCGATCACCTACCCGTCACTTTCCAGCAGCTGTCGGGTATCAACCTAGAGGATCTGCAGCAGCGCGAAGAGCAAGTGTTTCCATGCTTCCGCTATTCCAAGGCCACAATTGACTATTTCCTCGAACACATTGTGTTTCCCAAGGAGATGAAAGAGTTTCCGCATAAACTTTCGGCTTCGGGATGGGACATTGGAGCGCGGAAAGGAAACGCAACGACAGGTTTCAGTGGCACGAACGACTCACGAGCTTTCCTCCCACTGAGCGTCAAGCAACTTGATCTTCCAGACCAAAAGCCAACTAATGCGCTTGTTCTGGAGTACCTGCTTCAGAAGGAGAACTCGGTGGTTTTGATGCCTGTGGTTAGAAGCGACACCAAGTCGGACGCCGAGATTCTGTTGGAAAAGGTCGTTCGGCTGAACCCGCCAGCCCGTGTAATTCTCGATGTCGGAGCTCAAATTCTCGAGCTTGACAATCTTGGAGTTGCGAAAAAGTGGCTACAGATGATTGACGACAGGGAAAAGACGCAAGCCGTCATCTTCTGCGATGAAAACGATCACATCCGCGTTGTCGACCGCAGAGACCGGATCGAGAGCTTGCACACGTCTCCTTTCGCCAACCAGACCGATGTTTGCCTGGTATTCTTGGATGAGGCGCACACAAGGGGAACAGACCTCAAACTGCCCGAGAATTACCGCGCAGCCGTGACACTTGGGGCCAACTTGACCAAAGACAGATTGGTACAGGGTAAGTTCACCAACGTTCTTGTCTTGGTGATATCTTGCTGAAACCTCGCAGCTTGCATGCGGATGCGGAAACTCGGAAAGGGCCAGTCTGTGGTTTTCTGTGTCCCGGACGAGATTCGGAGGAAGATTGAAGCGCGAAAACAGGATTCGCACACCCCAATAACTGTGGCTTGCATTTTAGAGTGGTCCATCTCTGAGACTTTCGCGGATCTCGAGCGAGGCATATGGTTGTGGGCGAATCAAGGCCGCCGATACCAGCGCAACAACGCTCTCTGGAACGAGGCTCGTACTGATGGGAAAACTGAGCTTAGCGGTGAACATGCGGATAAGTTTCTTGAAGAAGAAGCGCAAAGGATCGAGAAGAGGTACTCACCACGCAACCGGTTCGACGGTTCTGAATTCAGCTCGGACGCCGAACACCACGTCGACGATATCACCAAGAGGCTACTCCAGTTTGGCGGTCTCAACCCAGAGTCAACGACGTTTCGTGAAGAGCAGGAGCGGGAGTTGTCTCCAGAGGTCGAACAGGAACGTCAAGTAGAGAGGCCTCCTGCCGCAACCCCTGCCACACACAACATCCATCCTGATGTCCGAACATTTATCTCTCAAGGCTTTTACCCGCCACAGTCTACAGCCTTTCTCGCCGCCTTTCGAGCGCTTTCTGATACCAGCGCTGCGAAATATTACGACGTGGCCAAGTTCAATCCCGGTCTGCTGGTTACGCAGGACTTCGCGCGTACCATTGTCCCATTGGGCAAAGATTACACTGCCGACCTGTTTCAGCGAAACGTCCAATGGATATTGGCGAGTTCAACGAGTTCTGGGACTATAAAAACAGCAATTATTATTAGTCCCTACGAAGCGCAAGAGCTCCTACCCGATATACAGAACTCCCATTGCGTTTCGCTCCATCTCTACGCTCCTCGTCCGAATATAGGGTACCGCGCTCTCGACACCTTGGACCTTTATACAACGCCAAGGCAGTCTCTGAACAGAGTTCTTCCAGACCTGTTCTTGACCGAGCTGAATCTGTTCTCGGGCCAGCTCTATATGAAGTCAACGAAGGAGTACCTAAACATTTGTGGCTACTTGGGCTTGAGATTTCCGGATCAAGAGAGCTCCGGATCAGACGGTCTTAGTTATTCTGCGAATCTTCCTTCCTCTGAAGCTGCAAGTTTGCATCAGTTTATGCGGATTCTTTTAACCAAGATACGAAGAAACTGTCAGTCAATAGACAAGACGCATCTGGGGAGAATTTTGGAGTATAGGGCGCTCGAAGCCTCGGATTTTGTAAGTAATTAGAATCTTTAATGACCGATTGTTCGCGTTTTCAAATTACCTAAAGATTGTGTTCTACATCTCGCGTTAGTAGTCAAACCTGTGATGACATGGTTCTCGAGGTAGCTGACTCCATCCTGGGGATTAGTCGAGAGAGCGTGTGCGGCAAGCTTCCTACGGAGCTTTGTCCTACCAACGCACGTATCAATATGTGGTTAGCGTTTTAAGCTATCGGGATTATATTCTATTGGCTTTATTTTATCTCTTTTCGATCTTCGGCCTATTTTGCTCCTGGCTCCTCATAATCGCGATATCGATGGCCAACCCTCGCACTCAGGCCACCAACTTTGAGCAATCGGTCAGCTTCCCCAAGTTATTTCCCATGATACTCATCTTCCCCATTCTGACCGATGGATTAGTTGGGCCGTCCGACGTAGTAAAAGTAATATAGCACTTACGCTAGCTTGAATGCAGAGTTCCACTGTGTCTGGCTGGCCCCAAATCTTTTCCAGATATGCTTAGTCGCTTTATCATTACCGAGCGCAACATCGCTGCCCAAGGAGGTCGGTGTCGTCTCCTCTAGCGTTTCCGGGTAGAAAACGGTGCTATCCAGCTCCTCCGGGGTCGAGTCGAAAGACAGCTCCTGTAAGCTCCGTCCCGCACTATGGGCCCCGACAAGGGCCACAAGATCCGTAGCAGAGAATCCTTTCTTCTTGAAGGCGGTGATCTGGGTAGCTGCGTCTGAATCTTGTGTGGGCAGCACGCCCTCGGTGCTGGGTACGGATGAATCCTTTCGCCCAACGAGGAAGTAGATTTTGGGACCACCACAGGCTGCAACGCCGAAAGCTAGCTTCTCCGTCAATGAAACTTGCGCAAATCTCTCGTTGTAGATGGCTGTAGTCCCTCTACTTACCTGCTGCCGCTTGTATCATGTCGGCGGTGCTGACATTGTATGCAGCGGCTTTTTCACCCAATATGTCGCAAATCGGTTGCATCTGCATGTTTTCCTCTCTATCAAAGCACTCGTTGGCTAGTATCAACGACCCGTCGCATGATCCAGGGAAACAGTCATGGAATGCGGCACGAATTGCCTGTCTCGCCTCACTGGGACAGCCTGCAAAGGAACCTTTCAGGTCAGCTGCAATCTCGGTCCAGACCGGGGGGCAGGATCGTGCATGTGCATTGCAGATCGTGGTGACTGATAGAGAGGCTGCCAGGAAAGAAGTGCATCTCCGAGAGAATTGCATTATGTAGATGATAACGACGGTAATGAGGTGAACTGGAACTAGATGTCAAGAATTGGGGGAAAGGAGAACTGGAATGGCTTGACTGAAAAGAAGACTGTATAAAGGTTCCAGTTCAAGAGATTTAGAAGAGCTCCGAAACCATTCCAGGTATTTCGGAAATAGCTTCTTCAAATAAGCAATGTAGGCGGAAGGGCTCATGTTTCTTAGCGCCATCTCTATCTGTGCTAGAACACGTACTTGTGCGACCAACTCACAAATCGAGAGCTTAGGATGGTTTAGAACCATACTGTATTCAGAACTGTCACCGTAACTATCCGCCAGGGATGGCTTATGACACTCGGACAGAATTGTCAACTTGCGCACGGCTCTACCCGAAGTGAGCAAGCGGCGAGGGACGCCACCACCCCTCCAGCCTGCGCTGCCCTATTTTCTGATCGACAAGGCTAGAGGCGAAATATAAATAGCAACAGCTGTTGATACCTTGACACAGGAAAAGCTCGGAAGCCCCCCTGAATCATGTTATGATGTCCTCCCAATGATTATAGCTCGGCGCCGCGCCCCGTATGGCGCGTGCCGGATCACGATGGTCGGAACCTTGTCAGACTACTCGTCGTGTCCCACACATGTATTAAGAGTGCCAAGCCACCGTTGTTCTGCAGATGATGTTAAGTGAACCTCCTGAAACAAGTCTTTCGTATTCGAAAGCCACGAGAATATCAACCTTTTCAGCAAATTGACATGTAATAGTATGGAAGAGGGACACCCAGAACAAGCGATGTTCACGAATACTTCTACTCGGCACCGGTCCCCGTTATTTTGGATCTGCTGTCTCGATACGGGCAGCATCTAGAGAATTAATCCCTTTCTACTCTCGAAAATACATTTCGCAATGCCCACCCTTCGCTCCGCCCTCCGCAACCTGCCTGCAGCGCTGCTTGCACTCGCTGCAGCCTGTGAGGCACAGAACGTCGGAAAATGGGGCCCCATGGTCAAGTTTCCTGTAGTTCCCGTTGCTGTTGCCTTGGTTCCGGAGACGGGCAACTTGCTAGTCTGGTCCAGTGGTTGGCCGTAAGTCAAACCGTCTCCCTCTCTTATCGGATACGTTATGGTTACGTAGCTATACAAAGAGAATGCTGATGTCAAATATCCAATAGGAACCGCTGGACTACCGCCGGTAACGGAAAAACATACACGTCTCTATACAACGTTAATACCGGGAACATCAGCGACGCTATCGTTCAAGTGAGTAACCCGAGCGATAACCCATATACGGCGCTTTTACAGAGCTGGATGGGCTGCTGGGATGCGTATTGCCAGAAGAAAGCGGCCAAGTATTGACGCACTTTCATGGGACAGAACACCCAGCACGACATGTTTTGCCCAGGAACTTCTTTGGACGCAGATGGACGCATTATAGTTACCGGAGGTTCTAGCGCCGCAAAAACCAGCGTCCTTGACTTTAAGAAGGGCGAGTCCTCCCCGTGGACGCCGCTGTCCAACATGCAGATTTCGAGGGGGTACCAGTCGAGTTGTACAACGTAAGCAAACGCACTATTCGTGATTAGTCGGAAAGGTGCTAACAACGGCTTTTAATAGTTCGGAAGGGAAGATATTCGTCATCGGCGGCTCCTTTTCCGGAGCTGGCACACGAAATGGAGAGGTCTACGACCCCAAGGCTAACACTTGGACGAAGCTGGCTGGGTGCCCGGTCAAGCCGCTCGTCATGCAGAGAGGCATGTTCCCCGACAGCCACGCATGGTTATGGTCATGGAAGAACGGCTCTGTCCTTCAGGCAGGCCCTTCCAAGAAGATGAACTGGTACGATACTAAGGGCACTGGGTCAAACACGCCCGCCGGCCTGCGGGGCACCGACGAAGATTCCATGTGTGGCGTTTCCGTCATGTACGACGCGGTTGCAGGAAAGATCTTCACGTAAGCCACGGAAAATTCCAACCCACCCTTTGTTTCGTTTCGCCCGATCTGACCCATATCTCCAGCTACGGCGGTGGCAAGGGCTATACCGGCTACGATTCAACCAGCAACGCCCACATCTTGACACTTGGTGAGCCTGGGCAGGCTGTCCAGGTGCAGAAGCTTGCGAACGGCAAATACAACCGCGGCTTCGCCAATGCCGTAGTCATGCCCGACGGCAAGATCTGGGTCGTGGGCGGGATGCAAAAGATGTGGCTCTTCTCGGACACCACGCCCCAGCTCACCCCGGAGTTGTTCGACCCGGCGACGGGGAGCTTCACGCCCACGACTCCGCATACCGTCCCCCGCAACTACCACTCCACGGCACTCCTGATGGCGGATGCCACGATTTGGTCCGGCGGGGGCGGTCTCTGCGGCGCGAACTGCAAGGAGAACCATTTTGACGGGCAGTTTTGGTCGCCGCCGTACCTGTTCGAGGCCGACGGGGTCACCCCGGCCAAGCGTCCAGTCATCCAGAGCCTTTCGGACACGGCCGTGAGGGCGGGAGCCCCCATTACCATCACCATGCAGGATGCCGGTGCATACACGTTCAGCATGATTCGAGTCAGCGCAACCACGCACACAGTCAACACGGATCAGCGACGAATTCCGCTGGATGGACAGGACGGCGGAGATGGCAAGAGTTTCACGGTCAATGTTCCCAACGACTACGGTGTCGCGATCCCAGGGTACTATATGCTTTTTGCCATGAACGAAGCTGGAGTGCCTTGTGTGGCTCAGTTCTTCAAAGTTACTCTGTAAGAAAAGAGCAGTGTTGGGTGATGCAACGACCTAGACGATTCGGGATAGTAAACCTATTAGTTATCTGCTTAGTAGTACGAGATACCGTCTCATAAAAACAACTTGTATATTTGTGCAATTTCTCCATGTATTGCTTTTGCGGTCCTGGTAGTAATTGTGATGACGCATAGTACGTGCTTGTATCTGCGAGGCGCCAGTTGTGTTCGCGTGTCCTATTACCCCGTTATCAGTTACAAGCATGTCATTACAGTGGCCATGGCTACAATAATAGCCATGTAGAAAGATGCAATAACTGTCACTATCGTTTCTAGGCACATATGCGACATCTGCTATACTCCATATAAGGTTTCCATACATTTGTTATACATAGGCTTTCCGCATTGAGGTAATTTCAATTCCATCAAAAACCCCAAGGAGATGATCGCACAAGGTGCCGTGGCATAACACAAGCCTTCCTATCAGGGTATTTATCAAAGTATGGCTAAAATAAAACGAGGTTATTGTCATGACCCAGCTCCTCCAGTTCAACCAGCCCTTAACCTCTTATTGTTCAGTCTTCCAAGGGGACCGTGTTTCGGACGGCCTAGATACGATTCGCGGTCGTCCAGCGGGTGGCCGGAGCCGTCAAGTAGCGTTCGACTTCGACGACAGGCTTAGTGCCAAGAGTGGAGGAACTAGCCTGCGAATCGAAAGAGCGACGGTTGTCGGTTCGTTGAGCCATCACACGCTTCGTAGCCTTGGACGCGGGGGAGAGGGTGAAGGAGAAACGTCTGTTGGAGCTTTGGTGGCTCAGTCTATGTCAGCTGCGCCTCTTTTGTGTTTATTTTGAGGTTTTTGGCCTGGAAAACTCACTTGGGAGCCATTTTGTTGGTATAGTCAAATAATATTTTGGGGTTATGTGGTTTGTGGTGGGGGATTTTTGCTTGCTGGATATTTGTTGCGTTTGTCTTGTTTTTCTGCCATGGATTCTCTTCTTTGTCTGGAACGGGATTTCGGGTGGTTTATATACACCTCGAGGTCGAGGGCTCTTTTCCTTTTGGCGTATGATCGATGCTGAAGGCTTACAAACAGTGCAAAATAACGTCATACACGTCCGCAGCCACGCAGGTATTGCGACCATCATTACTTTACACGTAAGTGATGGTTTTAGACCCGAGCATCATCTTACTGAAGATCAAGTATCGCTATCGCCAATGGTATTCGCAGTTAGCTTTGTTCGTTCGCAGCCTCTGACATCTAATACATCCCGTGGCTTAGAGGTGTCATGCGCCACCTCGATGACGCCCATCCCTATGGGATTTTGGACTGTAGTGGTGGGAAACTCATATAGGTTAGAAGTCACTGTCTGCGGCGCAGTCCAATTGCAATGGCCAAAATCAGCCGGATCGGCGGACCCCGAACTGCTTGGGACCCTTCTTGCATCACCATGCAGGCCAAGTCTGCCCCAAATCCTACTATGATGGCTTCATTGACCGACGCGGTGATCACGTCGATCGCATCCTCACCTAGTAACTTGGAGAACTGACAAGAACTTTGCCTGCAAGATCACACTGCTTGCCTACTTGGGACTGTTCCGAGGCTTCCGGGGCCCACCCGGGCGTCCTCCGGGTCTAATCTGCTCCGGGGTCCTCCGCGACAGCTCCGCTGTATTGATTAGTAAGCAAAAAACTTTGCGTTCCGCTCTGCCGAATATGAATCTTGGGAAGGCCGAGAAACCTCGTCGGCATTGCAGAAAGACGCCATCAACCACCGACATGAACGCGAAAGACTCTTCAGCTGCCAAGGGCTCCAGCGTCCCGGTGCTACCGCCCAACGTCACTATCTTCTCTCCAGCGAAGCCTAGCACCGCTGAGGCTCTGCTGAACGGCCGCATCTTCACCCGACTTACGGCCAACGCCCAGGCCGAGCCCTTGAAGCTCGTAGCAGCGCTAAAGGACGCGTCTCGCCACGCGGTCGACGACACTTTCTGCTTCAGCCACGGCAACGTCGTGCTCATCTTCGACGCGGAAAGGGACGGCGTGGATGTGACTGATGCGCATCACGAGCACTTCCGTCAGGTCTGCCTGGCGCTGAAGGACGCAGACATCAGCCTCGATGTGGCTGGTTGCGTATTCGATTCCCCCAGTGCTTTGCAGGCAGGCTTTCAACTGGACACGCTGAGCTCAGGCTCAATTCTTGTTATTGACCTGATGGGAGGAGACGACCAAGACTCCGACGACGACGATGACGAGGCTGCCGCCGAGAAGCTCTTGATGAGTGGAGATTCGGGAGCGACGATGTCGTGAAATCCTGCGTTGTCAGGCCCGGATAACCTTCCTCATCATCTAACGTACTCTGTTGCTGAAGGCTCCAACGGAACGAGGGCGATAATCTATTCGCCAACTTTTATTAGGCTCCCAAGAGCCAAGACTTGACGATGTTAATCCACCATCATATCGAAATAACCCCACGAAAAGGTTATGGCTACTTTGAAAAAGAATCTCTATTAATTTAAAAAAAGACGAAGAAAAGTACTGGAGAATACCCACCCTTAAAACAGTGAAGGGGCGACCATTGCATCGTTTGACCATAGGCTCGGTACTCACTTTGCCGAGTCTTATAAGCGATTCTTTCCTCTTGGTAACATTCATTCGAGACTGAGATATCTCTTAGGCAGAGTCTACATGTAGTTATCCAATGGCATCCCACGCACTGGCTGAATATCATATAACCTTGTGAGAGGCGAGGCACTGCAGCTGCAATAGCCGGACCCAGCTCCAGTTGTCAAGGGTGGTTGTGATTTCATAGCTTAGATCTGGTCGACTCATTTTTACTCCATGTATATCATCACCGTGGACCTCTCCAACTAGTCAATGGCACGCACACTTTCGGCCGGATCTCTGCGAGATCATTAGGTCGTTTTAAATACAAATGTTCAATATGATTGGCGTGTCGATGCGGAATGAGATTCAGGTCATCGCATACGCATCCCAAAATCCGCATGTTCATTGGTCAGCAGTACTTATAGCCAAGTATGACCTTCTATAGATCGTTGAAAAAATGTCCCTGGCTAGCAAGTCTCACACAGACATGAGAGGAGGATTTGTGGCCTTGATGGTAGCTTTCACGCGGTGTTCTGCCCGCCGCCTAGGTCTTTCACGCGGCCTCGGCTTTTCTGGCCCGGCCCAAATCAGAATGGGTTTCAAAGCCAACAACTAGGGTTTGTATTGAAAACAGATGCAGTAAGAAGGGGGCGGCGTAGACGGACTGGCTTGCTTCTGGTAGGAAGCAGGCCTATCCAGATCTGAGAGTCCTCAGAGAAAGGGTACGGATTTATAGTCGACATACTCCCTTGTCGTTGGGATAAAAAAGTAAAAAAGAGAAAAAAAATAAAACAGAATCAAGCGCAAATGGCCAAGAATGCCGAGCTTGGCGAATCTGACCACTCGTATTGTTGGTCCATATGTATAGATGTTTTCTAGTTTGGTGCTGCCTTTTGGGCGACATCGGCTTCTTGATGTGCACCAGAGCCTCGATCCCGATACGACGGTAATGGCCGGACGGTACGCCGGGCACCTCTACCAAGCAATCGGTCTCAAAGCCACGTTTTGTTGTGTCATGCGAAACGGCATACAGACGTGTCCTCCGCACCAAGAGCTTGACAGAGACCAACGGCCGTGGCGTTCGGTGCGCAGCGGTCTGTCTCTAGGGGCACAAATCGCCGGGAGAGATTATCGTTCACGCCACAGCCGTTTAGGCTCCGCAAGACTCCGCATCCTGCTGTTTGGTCCAAGTCTACGTAGTATACATGCCATGGCGGCAAACCACGGCCTATTAGAACCGGGAGATGAGCGCCGCTGATCCTAACCTCAAGTTGATGGCTCCCGCTTGCTATGTAGGAAGGTCATTGGACGATGGTTTTCCCCACGCTGCCCTCTTCGTTTTACTCGTCTAGGTAGTCTGCTCCGCTGCTCGGCTCTCACACACCACAAGCCTGCCGAGACCGGTGTTTTTGTTCCTTCTTCTTCTTCTTCTTTTCTTCTTTTCTTCTCCGGCGCAGCATCAGGTTGTCAGAAGACAGACGGATCTCATCCCGCACTTGGCATGGATTGGTGGCCATCCAGCGGGGTCAACCCCCCCGGTCGAGATATCGGCCCTATCCATCATCAAGCCTCCCCATTCTCCCCATCCGTCCCCGTAGCGCCTGTATTTCCCCCTCCCACAAGTTTTGACGGGACAAACTGCGGGATCCCCTTGGGGAAGTCTGACACCTGAAAAGCTGGGGGGCTCCAGTCCCAGGAATCCCGCCTTCGGGGCTCTCCGACACTCCAGCTGTCCTACATACACGAGTTTGTGACCTGGGCAATGGGGCAATGGGGCAAAGGAGACTGATTCAGTCAGCCGTATGTCGTCCCCGGGATGCAGGGTGACGTTCCCCGTGGATACAAGCACGAGCTGGAGCCGCTCCGTGCCTTGTCACCTTGTCTATCCGTGTCCAGTCCCAAACTGGTTTGGTTTGGAATTCTCTCTCTGTCTCTGTCTCTTTTTATTTTTCTTTTCTTTTGCCCCTCTTCTCCAAGTCCCCAATTAACCCCGACCTACATCCCCCGTGGTGTTCCCCACGTCATCCTGATGCGGCCGAAGAAGCTCCATCGGAGGCGCGAATCCTCGATTGTCGTTGGTAGTCTACCTTGGCTCGGAGGTCGAAGGACGAGGAACTGCAGCCGACTGTGGGCTCTTCGATCCGTTATCCCGGCCTACACACAAATTCTTACTTCCCACGCGCGCGTGTTCGCACCGCAGTAGACTAGGATCTTACTCGATGGGCGGCGCATGGGGGGTTTACCCCAATTGGAATACTCCTGTTGAGAGGAGTCGGGGCATGATTAATCTTTTCCCCCTCCCCCCCCCCAGCGAGACCACGGGACTTGGCCGAAGAGCGCGCCGCCATCCTTTATAATTTTGGACCGTCCCGTCGTATGTGAAGCTTTTAAGAACTTATCTCTTGTCAATCCAGACGTCCTCTGAGCCGGTCCCCCTCACCCCCCCTCTACTCAGCCCACGCTCTCAGCCGTCGTCCTCTTCATTGTGACAAAGAGCAACCGCAAAGATGGCGGCAGCGAACGACGAGATGAGCATCACACAGGGTCTCGACACCAAGGGCGGCGATGTCGCCAACATCGAAGACCAGTCCCCTGCGGACCCCAACGCTCCGCGGACCATGAGCCCGGAGCGCCGCGTGGTTGTCGAGAAGAGCTTGAAGCGCAAGATTGACACGCGATGCTCGCTGTTCGTGCTCATCTACATCATGAGTATGTATTTTCTTTTCATCTGCTCGCTCGCGCCGTGGCCTCGCTAACACCAGGGGGGGGGGGGGGGCTCAGACTACCTCGACAGAAACAACATCGCGGCCGCCCGCCTTCGCGGTCTGCAAACCGACCTCAACCTGAACGATACCCAATACGCCACCTGCCTGAGCATTCTGTACGTCGGCTACATCCTCATGCAGGTCCCCTCCAACATGATCATCAACAAGATCTCGCGCCCCTCCTGGTACATCTCCGCTGCCATGGTGGTCTGGGGCCTCATCTCGACCCTGTCCGGCGTCACCACAAACTTCGGCGGCATGGTCGCCACGCGCTTCTTCCTGGGTTTCATCGAGGCCGCCTTTCTGCCCGGCGCCCTCCTCATCCTGTCCAAGTGGTACACCCGCCGCGAGCTCAGCACCCGCAACGCCATCCTCTTCTGCGGCAACCTCATCTCCAACGCCTTCTCCGCCCTGATCGGCGCCGGCGTCCTCTCCAACATGCAGGGCGTCCTCGGCCACGCTGCCTGGCGCTGGCTCTTCTGGATCGAGGGCGCCATCACCATGACCATCGCCATTTCCGCCGCCTTCATCCTCCCCGACCTGCCCACCAACTCCAAGGGCTTCACCGAGGAGGAGCTGTACGTTGCGCAGCTGCGCATGACGGAGGACGTCGGCGAGGCCGATGTCGACTCGCAAGAGATGGGCCCCATGGATGGGTTGTACATGGCCGTCAAGGACGTCAAGATCTACGTCATGATGATTACCTTTACGGCCTACGTCGTGGGTCTGTCGTTCAACGCCTTCTTCGTAAGTTTTGTTGCCGCCAGTCCTGGACATAATGATCAAAGATGCCTTTGCTAATATGACCTTCAGCCCACTCTCACCGGTACCCTCGGCTTCGATTACGTCCCGACTCTACTCATGAGCTCGCCTCCCTGGGCCTTTTCCTGCATTGTCTCCCTTATCAACGCCTGGCACGCCGACCGTCAGCAAGAGAGAGTAAGTTTGATCAAGCATTTCCGAATGGACGTGTCCAAGCAATGGTGCAGTTCTAATGTTTCCTCCCAGTTCTGGCACATCGTCGGCCCCATCTGCGTCGGTATGGTCGGTTTCGTCATCTCCATGTCGACCCTCAACGTAGCGGCCCGCTACGTCGCGCTCTTCCTCCAGGCCAGCTCGTACGCCGGCTTCATCGTCTTCTACTCCTGGATCTCCTCTTCCTTCCCCCGCCCGCCCGCCAAGCGCGCCGTCGCCATCGCCATGATCAACGCCTTCTCTCAGCTGGGTAACATCGCCGGGTCCTACGTCTGGGGCCTCAAGGACCACGGCTACCGCAAGAGCTACGGCATCGTCACTGCCATGTTCGGCGTCACTATCATCGGCTGCTACGTCTTCAAGGTCATCCTCGACAACCTCAACAAGAAGCTCGAGGCCGGCGAGCGCGCATGGGAGGTTCACGGCGACGTTGCCCACCAGACCGCCGAGGTCACTGACGGCGACGAGATTGCCGCTGCTCGCAAGATGGGCAAGGGCTTTAGGTACCTTGTCTGAGCCGTATGGATTATCGACATAATAGCTAGTAGGAGAATTCGTCGTCGTTTTGATACCCATGACAAAAGCATATATATAGCACATCTAAATAACATATCCATCGGAAGCACATGATAAAACCTCTGCAAGTTGCGAAATACGACCGCCATTACGTCGATAAATTGAACGAATGATATAATGCTTTGATCCTTCTTCGGGGTCACGGTTGCGGCCTACAAGTTTCCCATGATTGACGTGTCACACGATGCTCGGTATGGTCGTCATTAGCAAACGATTCTCTTGTTGGGGTGACCGTGTCGAGGGTTAGAAATCGGAGAGATATATCCCCAACGGAAAAAGAACAAGACTGCAAAGGAGCCAGGGAGAGAGCGGCCGGTTGACGAACCCTGCCTGAACAAATGTAACTTCGCCAGCCATGGGTTTTGGTTATCAAACGTCATGTCAACACCCCGGTCATAATCTCCCCGCCTTATTTACTTGACGAGACCGACCGACCGACTTTTCCACTCTTCACCCGGCCAATCCCCACGTTTTGAAGAGCCTGTCTTTTCTGTGGGACGGAATGCGGATGCTGGGGGGAAGATTCCGGAGCAGTTCTGGAGTTCCCGTCCGAGTTGTACTCGGAGTCTGACCGAGCGCGGGAAACTGGCCTGTCTTGACAAGGATCTAGACGTGCCTGGATGGGGTCTCTGCCCCGCATCCCGCCCCTCCTCTTCTTCAAAGTCTCTGGATGGGTTGCAGGTTCGGGTCAGATTCCCTGATTAACCGCCGCAGCCGTGGAGAATCTTCATCCATAACCGCGGAGCCCCAGACACGAACGCGGGAGCGGAACGGGAGCGCACAGGTTGTCTGTCTGTCAGACTTCTAATCATTCTCAGTTGTCCGCTTGACACGATTTCCCCTCCAACGCTTGCTTCTTGCTTGCTGAGCTGGGATTCAATGTCTGTTGTGTGTAGTCAATATCTCCTCAATACCCAGCAGAAACACCGAGGAATGTGATGCTGCTGCTGCTGTTGCTGTAAGCGCCTAAAGCCTGCACTTTTGATGAGAGTCGTGGTCTGGGGAGATTCTATATGAATCATGATCATTCACGACGTGTTCGTGGTTGGGTTAAATCTGCGGTGTTACGGTAAATAACACTACACCACCCCAGCGTCGACTGCATCGGAGCTTTTTCAAATCAAGCTTTCTTGCAGGTTCAAGGACACCCTCCCGCACCCCCAGGCTCTTGGCTCGAACTCGGTTTGTCATATTGTCCGTCTTGGCTCCCCTTCTAGCTGAACCTGTCAAGGTGACGAGATAGTCGGAGACATCCTGCATGCTGCACGGCGATTCTCCCGGTTGCCGAAACCACCCGGATCTACGACGAAATTTCCAATGCTGTAAAACTGACCGGCACACGGGGGCACGAAATCCAGACAACTCTTTGCGATCCTCGGCTATGGCAGCTGCAAATTGTCCGATAGGCTGATCATGCGGCTTACCACTTCGTCATTGATCATGGAGCCATATGGTGTAGACTCGGTCTCCTATTGCGACTGTGTCTTTGCTACGTCGAATTTCTTTCGAATGGTGAATGTTGAATGACACAATTGACCAATTGAAGCATCAAGTCGTTGAAAAGATCTGCAAATTGTTTTATTTCTCTTATTGTTCATATTGGAAGAACCTGAAAACACCAAGCCATGGAAGCAAAAGCCGACATCTGCCAATCAAAACCGGAATCTATCTTGACGGCACTGTGACATGCACAGGCAGGCCTAGAAGTCGTTCCGCGCCAGACAAAGATACATTGACAGAGGTTGCCGGCTCGCATGTAGGCGGTGACATGGCTGGCAGGGGCGGGGAGTGGCGAAGGGAATTGTGAGAAGACTGGGGCCGAGAGTCGACGCTGCAGAAACCTATTAGGTGTGTTGAAAAGGAGAAGGCTTAGCACCTGTTGATGGGACTTCGGACTATGACCTTACCAAAGCCCCAATCTGGGACATGCTGGTTGATAGAGAACTGTTCCCATAGTTATAAATGCTACCACAGAGGAAGATATATGTTAACTCGTAAGAACATCGTTGTTGTTTGGCTTAGTTGCGCTAAAACATGCCTGACGTATGTTTTCCATTCTCAGCTCATACGATGTGGGCGTCAGAAATTTGTCCACTTGTTGCTGCCAAAACGGGGTTTGATTCACAAACCATGCAGACGTGTACTCCCAATATGAAGGCATCCAGCCTGCCGTTTCCCAATCAACGATGTCTGTCTATATTGTATGCAAAGCACAAGCGCGGGCCAGGGAACATACGACGCAACTTTCTCACAATTCTGTTGGATTCTATAATACAAGATAACACTTGGTTTAAGATGACTCTACCTAAAAACCTAGGCCACTATTACAACCTAACAAGTAACAGGTAGTGTCAGCCCTACTAGGCCCTAGAAGCGCAGGCAGAACAGCCTTGATACGAACCGTTAACCGGGGTTATTATATAGATAACTCTACAAAAGGAAAGAACTATAGTACAAGTTATATAATGATAAAGATTACATAATATCTATATTAAAACTGGGTCAGAAGCCAGAGAGCTAGTGTGTAGGATAGCTAGCAAACATACAACCAAACCACATCACAGTAGTCAAAGGTTTGTCACCAGTGCATCTAGGGCGCCAAAAAACCCAAGGTGACTTACTAGCCCGTCCAAACAGGGAATCCTACATCCTTGGATACTTTATAGTCCAATTAGGGCCTCAAGCATCCAAGAAGCAGGCCTCTAGTGCTTAGTAGCTAACTTTGGTCAGTAACTAATACCGTTGTTACCGAGTATTATAGAAGCGTATGTGCTAAGCTGTTAACATGCTGTACAGACTGTAGATACAAAAGATATGCACCTTACTTAGACTTCGTCCATGCATATCACGTTGACCGGCCGCTAATGAATGACTACCTCGGACCACCTTACCTCCTTCGACGGGAGCCTCCAAGCAAGCCTCTCCCACCAGGCGGGTGCCTTCATCTGCGCAATCGCTTCGCCAGTCATGATGCCGTCAACTAGGAAATCTGTCAGCAAGTTTCTGGGCGGTCGGTGTTCTTCCAGAAAAGACTAACTGTTGGTATCACAGGGATCGCGATCGTAAAGCAGTAATAGTTCGATTGACTACTAGTTACTTATTCAAATAGATAATAGGAAAAAGAAGAAGAAGTTGTTACCGCAGATATTCGTAGTGGTGTAAGTGAGCCGCTAGGGTAAGTCACGTGATAGTAAATCACGTGACTATAGATTAGCTCTATTATTAAATAGTTAAATATCCTAACACTAGTAACTTTCTAAAGTAAAAGAAAATTACTATAAATAGCCTAGATACTGCCTAGCAGCTAAAAAGCTTAAAAACGTAATAAAAATTAAAAGCATAAAAGTATTTAATACTTTTTGTCTATATAATCTGTTATATAGCTTAAGAAACCTATCCCTCTATACTAATCTAAACTATCTTATTTCTAACTAGTTATTCTAGCGCCTTATTAGGTAATAATTTAGTAAATTTATTAGTAGGATTATTATTACCTTATATCTATTATACCTTATAGACCTTATATTACTTATATAACTACTAAAAGGCTATAATATTAATTATAAGCCTTTTTTTTTTATAGTCTTAAGCTTAATAAGGTACTTATAAAGTAAGTATAAGTTAGTATAAAAGATTATTAGTATATATAGTAGCTTAAGGTAGTTAGTAATTATTATAATAGTTATATTAAGTATATAAGTAATATTAGTGCTAGTAACTATACTATAGATCTTAGAGGCTAGTACACTTTAGGTAACTTACTTATACTTTATTAAGCTAAAGTAAATAATATTACTAGTTATAGTAAATTTATTACCTATAGTAGTACTTATAGGTACCTTATTAATAAGAATAATAATAAATCCTAGCTATAAAGTAAAGTCCTTATTATTTATAAATAATTTATTTATAAAGATAAAAAGCTTTATAAATTTAAAGTTAAGTAAGTAAAATAATAAACTATAGTTAAGGTTATTTATTTACTATATAATATAATAGTTAAATATCTTAATCTTATTTATATTAAGTAATTAGTGTTATACTATAATAAAGTAGTTAAAGTATACTTTAGGCTAGTAGACTAACGTAATAAATACACTATAGGCCTATTATTTAATATACTACTTAAGTGCTTATAGAGATTTTTTATTAATAAGTTAAAGTCTCTTACCTTAGCCCTTTTATTAGAGAAAAATCTTTTCCTTAGTAGTTAAAGATACTATGCTACTATTAAAAGTAAGTAGGTTATTAATAGTAAGGATTTACTTCTCCTTAGTAGTAAATATAGCCTTAGTAAGCTTATTAGCCTTATAGGTAGAAAAAGATTTATCTAAAAAGGTAATAGTATTATTAGTCTATATACTAATAATCCTAAAGTCTAGGCTCTCTATATTAGTAATTAGTAGGTATAAATTAAAAGTTAAAGTCTTTATCTAAAGCTTTTTTTTATAGTAGTAACTATATATTACCTACTAGTAAGTACTTACCTTTATAATACTATATAATAGCTTTACTACTTATATAATAGTGCTCTTTAGATAGTAGTCCTATATTTATAATAAAAGGCGTATAAGAATTATATAATTTAATAAGGTAGTTAACTATATATACGCCTAAGTAATATTATATAACTAAAGTAAAAAATTATTATTATTATAAATAAGAGATAAAGTAAAAGTAAAAATAAGGCGCTAGCTAGCTTACTAGATTATAAGTAACTAAGTAAGAATTACTTTTTTACTATTATTAGTATATCCTTAGATAATAAGGTAGGATTTCTTATATAGTTTTTTATTCTAGCCTTTTACCTTATTAATAATCTATAATTTAAATATTTATATTCTAGCATACTTATTCTTATTATATTAAATAAAGTAAAATACCTTATAGGTAATAAGCCCTTTAATCTTAGTAGTAGTTACTTACTTAAAGGGTTTTCC